ACGCCCCGCTGAGGGTACCCCCCGCCGCCACGCGCCCGACGCCCTCTCGAGGGATGGGGGGGGGCAGGCGCTTCGACCTTGGGATCCCCGGGGGCGCTCCGAGCGCGGGTGGCCCAGGCACTGTGCATGCATTTGGTCTCGGCGCCGACGCTGTGCATACATTTATGTCGGGCGTGTTCCCCTATAGGGGGATTTTCGACGAAAAATAAAAAGTACCCCAAACACGCCCCAAAAATGCCCAAACATATTCAACAAATAGTCCCCAGACCATTTTTGCATCATCGTTTTAATTATTCTTGGGGTAATTTTTATTTTTCGTAGCCCGACTTACGCGTACATCTGTTTCGACACCTGGTCGCCTGGAGAGCCGGGTCAAGGGATTCTGCACGACACGCTGTCCTTGGGGCGTTGCTGCGGAGCTCCATGGTGCTTTGAATGGCCCAGCTGCCTCGGTGTGGCCTCGGAGGGAGGCCCCGTTTCGCCGATGCCTCGCCGGTGCCTCGGCGGCAAGGCGCTGGGCGCACCGAGAGGCGCACGGGCGCTGCGTCAGCAGCGCACCGTCGCTGCCACTGCGTGGCCCGTGCGCCCCGCTCACGGGGAGGCCCCGTGCGGAGGGCGCTCGTGGCGGTCTCTTCGGGCACGAGGGGGGGGGCCTGGGGGCCGAACGGTGCGCCCTGCTTCCCTCTCCCCGCGAGCTCCGACCGATCGCAGCCACGTCGGACCGATCGTCAACCGCTTCGGACCGATCGCAGCCAGTGGCGATCGGTCCGAAGCGGTTGCGATGCTGTTGGGTCGTTTCAGTAAGGTTTCGATCAAGGAAGAGAGCATAAGATGCGGAACTGCGACCCCCACAGGTCTGGACGAATGACCCTACGGTAGGTTCGCGCGGCGTCGGCACTCGCAAGGCTTTTGGCACCGCGTCGATCGTTCAACCTTGAATCGATCGCGGCCACGATCGTTCAAGGTTGAATTTCGTCAGGTGCAGTGGCCCCACCGTTTCCCTCGGTGCTTCCGCGTCGCAGACTGCAGCCTTGAACGCCTTCGCCAGCGTCGCCGGCGTGCCAACGCCGCATGAACCTACAGTAGACCAACATTGCATACCGAATCACTTTTGGACGGCCCCTGGGCCCGGGAGCCTGCGGGGCAGGCGGGAACGGTGGGATCTTTGGGACTTGTGCAACCAGTGGGAACTGTGGACTTGTGCGACCTGTGGAACGCGCGGGGCCTTTGAAAGCTTTGGGGTCCTTTGTTACCACGGTTAGAACCCTCTGGCTCAAAGCAACCAGGAACACAAACATCTCAGGATGAAAATACTTCTCAGACCGAAGTAGTTCCTGAACAGTCCGAAGTGGTTGTGATCGGTCTTATTCCGGGGCCGCGAGCCTCTGAAAGGCTTCAGAAAAGCCTCTGCAAGGCTTCAGAGAAGCCTCTGAAAGGCTTCAGAGAAGCCTCTGAAAGGCCTCGCTGAGGCCTCTCAGAAGCCTCGCTGAGGCCTCTCAGAGGCCTCGCTGAGAGCTCTGCAGAAGCTCAGCAGAACCTCTTGGATCGGTTGCAGTCCGGTGTTCTTCAGAAACGTTTGTATAGGAATCCTTGAGGTTGCGATCAGTCCGTTTCCAACCGTTGCAATCCGACCGAAGTAGTTCCTGAACAGCCCGAAGTGGTTGTGATCGGTCTGATTCCCCTTCCCCCCCCCTCTGTCGCCCCCAACTTATTCGCGCCAGTCCGCGCGCTTCGGAGGGGGATGTGCGCGGGTCGTGGTGGTCGGGCGTTCGATGTAACGGGTGCACGGCTAATCTCGATTCCTCAGATCAAGTGTGCGATTCGATCTCGATGGGTTGCGATCCCGATTCGATTCGACTTCGGATTCCGAGTCGGACTCCGATTTCTCATTAGAGGCCTTTCGCCCGCTGTTTTCCGCCGATGCGGCTTCTCCCGACTTGGCTGCCGATTTCCGCCAATCCGGTTCATTTCGATTGCCGATCTGATTTATGGACTCGATTCTGGGCTCTCCTGCAGTTGATTCTAGGCCTCCGAGATGGGGTCCGAGTAGATGGGATTAGATGATCGCGCCGCATCGCCGTTGCATCGTCGATGCGGCTCGATGTGGAGCCCGATCATTGCCACGCCGGCGTCGCCGATGTGTCGCCGACGTCGCCGATGCATCGGCGATGCGGCGCGATCCCCGACCCATTTACTCGGACCTCATCTGGGAGGCCTCGAATGGTCACAAACATCAGCATAAAAAGGTGCAGGCTTTTGCCCATCAACCGGAGTAGCAGGGGGATGAGGTTATCGGGCGTTTTCGTCGGTGCTCGGCAGTTTTCCTGCCTCGGGATGCTTGCTTGCAGCTGCGCCTCGCCGAGAGCGTCCCAGGGGTGCCAGGATCGTCCCGAACGGCCGCCGAAGCCCCGAGTTATGATGACCGGAAAACGAGACGAGGATCACTCGGGGGCTGGATCGGGGGTTCGCTAGAAGGGGTTGGAGTGTGCACCCTCCCCAGCGCTCTTTTTGAGGCCCTCGGTGGCAGCTTGGGGGCTGTTCAAGGCTTCCTTTGCAGAGTCACCCTCCCGCAATCTTGGACCCCTCCTTCCGTTGGTTGCCCCTCCGCTATACCGACCCGCCAAGGTGGGCCGATGTCCCGGTCACGGCGCAGGCGGGCCAGGAGTTCGGGGGCGGCCGCGAGGGGGGTGATGTTTAATCTAGGGGGGGAATCTCATGGCGGGGGCTATGATATCTCCCAGATCTCAGGGCCCCCTCGTCTTCTTTCAATACGTCCCTCGGCGCCCCCGCGTCCGCGCACGTGCCTCAGGCCATGATCTGCGAACCCAGGTCCCCGTGGTCACGATTCTGTCACGACGCCGACCCCAAGGGTATCGACCCACTTCCCGAGCCATATGTTTCCTCCCGAGCCTGTCTTTTGACGGCCCCGAGGCCCCGTCACGGGCCCCAGAGGCCGAACATAGCAAGCCCCTGGCGCCGTGATTTGTTTCTTCATGACCCGAGGGGCTCTGGGTCTCTCCAGGCCTCCCACAGTTGGGGTCCGAGCAGTCGGATTGGGCCAGAGGATCGCGCCGCATCGCCGGTGCATCGCCGATGCTGCTCGGTGCCGAACCCGAGCTTCTCCACGCCGACGTCGCCCGATTTTCTCCACGCCGACGTCGCCGACGCATCGCCGACGTCGCCAGCGCATCGCCGACGCATCGATGCATCGGCGATGCGGCGCGATCCTCCGACCCCATCTACTCGAACCCCCGACGTCATGATTTTTCATTACGCGACCCCCAGAGGTCCAGACCCATTCCCCGGGACCGATTTTTCATCCCCCGAATCGTTTTTGACGGTCCCGAGGGCCGGTGACCCAGAAAATACCGAACACCTCCTGCCGTGATCTGTTCACAACGCGAGGGGGTCTGGGCACTCGGACCCCACCTGCCCTGACCTTCCGGAGTGCTAAAACATAGCCCTCCAGACCTATAGACCTATATCTGGGCTGCCTGAAACTTCGACGGGAATCAAGATATCGAGGCCCTGGTGCTGTTTTTTAGCCCTCCTGGAAGGTCAGGGTGGGAGGCCTCTCGTCTTGACCGCCCCCGAGGACTGCCGCCACGGGCCCTTCGGGCCAGCGCCCGGCGGCGCCCACCACCCGCACCGCGCCGCCGAGGCCTTCGCCCCCCCGGGCGTGTTCCAGCCGCCGGCCGCCCTCGGCTGCTGCGGCGGCTCGCCGGGGCCTGGCGGCAGCACGAGGCATCGGGGCTCCATCCCTGACCTTCCAGGAGGGCTAAAAAATAACACCAGGACCTCGATATCTCAATTCCTGTCGAGGTTTCAGGCAGCCCAGATGGGTCTATAGGTCTGGGGGGGCTAACCTTTAACACTCTGGAAGGTCAGGGATGGACGGGGGTCCACCCTGAGGTCCTGGCGTTGCAATGTTTTCACAAGGGGCGTTTTCGCGCTCCCTGTCGGGCCCTGGGGCCCTCACGGATCGGTCCGGCTGGAAAAACGACGCAGGAGGAGAGGGTCCAGGGGGCTAGGGTGGCGGTTTTTTGCGATGTTGCACTTATCTCGCAACGTCGGATCTCAAGGCATGGGAAGGGGGGGTCAGCCAGAGCGCCGGATCTTGCAGGATCCTGCAGGGCCATGGGTGTATGGACCCGGGCCTGGGTGCAGGATCCCAGAGGATCTTGCAGGATCCTGTAAGGCCTGACTGACCCGGGTCTGGATGGACCCGGGTCAGTAGGTCCCCGAGAGGCTTCGCAGGAGGAAGCGATACCAATGCCGTTGCCCGTCCTTCAGGGGCGACGACAGGCCCAGACCCCCTCGGGTCATAAATAAATCACGGCGGGAGATGTTTCGCTATTGTCGGCCTCTGGGGCCCCGTGCCGGGCCTCGGGAGCGTCCAAAACACGACTCAGGACGAGAAACCGGTCCCAGGGAACGGTTCCAGACCGCTGGGGGTCGGCGTCATGAAGAATCATGAATCATGACGTCGGTGGTCTGGGGGTGGGGATGGGCATAGGGGGGATGCCTCGACCCCAACTGCCCACTGATCGCCGGTAGGGGGCCCGATAGCCCCAAGCCGCCCAGGATGGCGTGCGTGGCTTCACCATCGGGGGCCCGTCGCCGAGGTATCGGCCAGCGTGTCGCCGATTCCGGGTCGATGTGTGTCTCCCCCTATGCCCTTGGCATCGCTCGGACGTGTGCGTGTTTTCTTCGGCGAGGACCATCGAGGAGCATCCTTGATCGTTTGGCGAAAAAGCCACGCACGAAACCAACAAAAAACACATGGAATGGACGTCCGAGTGATGGCCAGCGCCAGTCCCCCCCCCCCGACGTTGCCCTCGGTCCTCGGCGGTGAGATCCGAACCCCACCCGCGCCGATCCACGATTTGGGGCACTCCACGGGCGGCGCTTGGCAGGGCTCGGAATTCGCCGACGCACGTGGCGGCATCCGAGCCCCGCCCCCGTCGCCCATCGATGGAGGAGGATCGAGGATCGGCGGGGGCAGGGCTCGGATGTCGCCACGTGCGTCCCTCGTCGCCACGGCTGTGTATTCGCCCCGAGATATCCTGGTCAGGGCGCACCGCGGGAGAGGTCTGGCAAAAGAGCACAGGGCGTATACCCGGGAGAGGTCCGGCGAGAGTCCGTGTAGCGGTGTCGGTGCCTCTTCGCCCCCCCCCCACCAAGGCTCCCGGGGCCGGCGGGTAGCGTGAACGCGAGCCAGAGGCAGCCTCCCCAGAGAGAGCAGAGGAAGGCGCAGCCGCCACCGCAGCCGGCGGTGCGGCAGCAGAGGCAGGAGAAGCGGCAGCAGCAGCAGCAGCAGCAGCAGCAGCAGCAGCAGCAGCAGCAGCAGCAGCAGCCGCCCTCTGCGGTGTCCGCGCCGCCCGCGCAGCGCCCCGCCGACGAGGAGGGCAGCGGGGAGACTATGCGCGAGCAGCTCCGCCTGCTGAAGGACAAGGACCACCGGTGCGTCATCCTGACCCGCAGGATCCAGTACCTCGGCTTCTCGGCTTCCACGGAGCTCGAGAACCACTTCAAGGCTCCGGGCCTCCCGAATGAGGCGGGAGTAGACGGGATCGGAGGATCGCGCCGCATCGCGGGTGTTTCGGCGATGCTGATCGATGTGGGGCCCGATGTTCTCCACACCGGCGTCGCCGATACGTCGCCGACGTCGGCGACATGAGCGACGCAAAAAATGGAGTCGTCTGCGCCGACATGGGCGCGTAAGCTGCCCGCGTAAGGTCGCGCGCAAGCGCCCTCGTCTCCAATGCAGCACGCCGCGCCGGCGGCCCGCGCAAGCCACCGCGTCAGGTCGCCACGCCACCTCGCGCAAGACCCGCTTCTGATCGTCGCTTGCATGGCGCCGTCTCCCGACCCCACCTGCTGGGCCCCGGTAGGGAGGCCTCCACAGGCCTTCGGCCCTGTGCACCACGTGCTGGTGCCGCGGTCGCACGTGAAGTCCTCCTACCTGCCCACCGGGTCCAGGAGGCGCCAGGCGACGGTGCGGCAGCGGCCCGCTCACCTCGGCTTCGTCATCATGGACAGCGCCGCCGGCGCGGAGGCCGCCTTCGCGGCGGGCGCCGAGCACGCGATCGGGGGCAACACGATCTGATGGGCCAATTTTCCACCACCGCTACTATACGTAGGATGAGGAGGTCCTCCTCCTCCTCCTCCTCCTCCTCCTCCTCCTCCTCCTCCAGGAGCAACTCTGACCCAAGACCCGCCTCAGCTCCGACCGCGCACCTGCTCATTGAACCCCATGTGAGCAGTACGTCCCAGGGCAGCGCAGCGGGGCTGGGTCGTCTCGGGCCAGATAGTTGCATGGGCACACTACCTCTGACTTGGTGTCTTATAGTGAAGATTATCTTCCATAACGTACAGAGCGCAGATTACGCGCGCCTCGAGGAGATGTCCGAGAACACAGCGAACAACGATTTGGTCACTTCCATCGGCACTGGCAAAACGGCTCACATCGAGACATAGATCACCCAGTGCCAGCTTTCTCATCACAAAGCTATACAGTTTGGATCGCGGAAAAGCAGAGTTACGAATCGAAGCTGTGGGCTAGCAGTATTGGACGGCGACAGGCTCAACGGCACCGTGTCCAGCATACAGGTGCCGCCGAAGTCTCGTGGACTATTAGGGATTGCGTTTAGTGAAGTTCCACTTGGGCAGAATGAGTCTTGCAGTGCTTGTCATTTACTTACCACCGAAAGGAACTGTTGCAAACATATTACACAACATAGTCAAAACAGCGTTTGGATGGATTCAGAATGAGATGGACCGCATGGGCAGCAATTGTTTACAGTTGATCGTGGGAGACCTAAACTGTGTATTTGGGGTCTGCACGGACGTCATGGGCAGGACGTGCGTACGGATCAGCGACGCGGCCGGCATAAACGAAACCGCAGTTGAAGGCAAAGTTTCTACTATTATGCGCGAGTTGCTGGAAGAAAATCACATGGCGGTCGCTGACACATTTCGGACATCAAGGGCGACCTTCTTCCAGTGGGTGCACAGAAGTAATATCGACCACATCATAATTCCGCAATCAGTCGCCCCCCGAATCACGATACTGAACACCCTGCAGGGACTTGGACGGAGGATGCAAAACATCGCAGCCACACATTTACACGATCACGTACCAGCCGTGGTGCACATGGACATCGGAGCGTGCAGAGCCCATCAGGCTCATTTCGCACCACCTGGTACTGGAGATGCGGTGATGGCGGCTTACTCCAGAGGTCACCGACGGCAAGGGTTTCTTGAGAAAGTCGAAAGTCGTGCGCAGCAGATCACATAATATGACTGCGGACGGATTTGGGGCCGTGGTGACGTGCAAGCAGCGTGGGACCTTCTCTCGTGATGGATTCGCGGCAGCATGACAGAACATGCCCCGAAGCAAGTGAGCGCGATCATCGATTACGAGCAGATGCGTCGCATCGCACTGGCAGCAACTGGCATTGGCGGCCAGGCATTCGAGGGCAATGGCCCCAGCGAGTCGACATAGTTGAGCAGCAATTGAAGAATCTGGTTCGTCGCATGCAGGGGCTTCGCAGACCGCAGAAATCGGAGAAGACGGAGACGCTAGCCAACGAGATCATGAAGGCTTGGCGGAGTGGCAACGTGGCAGAAATGCACAGGATACGTGTCGCGCTCTCGGGCACGGGCAAGGGTCCAAAAAAAGAGGCTCTTGTTCTCAGCCAGGCAGACGATGACTACGACAGAATGGGAACTGGGACTGGCCAAATCCCCGCAGGACGGAGGCATACGGTTCACTAGATTAAACTGGGCAGAATGGATCAATGATCGCAGTTTGTTTTGCCACATCTGCATCAACAGCCTGACCGCAGAGAGCTCGTGCGCAGCGACAGGGTTGGGGCAGATCGGGCATCTTCGTCGGGCACCTGCGCGGCGAGCTGGGCCGTCTTGGGGAGTACTATCAGAGGCCCTCGGCATGCTCATTGATTATCGCGTGTACCGTTTTCCAGGGCGTGGGACATGCACGCCTGAGATGTCAGTAGGCGTTGCAATGATTTGCTGGCTGTGATTAGGATCGTCGAATTCGTTCCGCTCACGTCGCTCCGCTCGCAGTAGTTCGCGCAGGCCAAGAACGATGGCGAGACAGGCATCAAAGGGCAAGGGGTCCTCCATTGCTTCGACGAGTTCGGCGCGTCGCTATTCGGTCACCTCGGTCAAGTTTCTGGTCGACCCGCACTTCTTGATTGCGCCCGCGGGGGTGTGCGAGGACGGGGGAGGGAAGGATGCATCTTGTCTCTTTCGGCGGCTATGTGGAGATGCAGAGATGGGGGATTCAACCGCATTGTCTCCAACTTCGACGGAACGAACGCCTTCGCTTGCACTGAGAGGGAGGCGCTGAGAGAACATCCTGCGCAGCACGGGCGCACAGAAACCGTCGGGCTTCTGGGCCAGGCAGTCGACATGGCCAGCATCCATGCAACGGGAATCGACGGCGAGGTAGACCCCCTCCCCCACACAGGCACCACCATGAGGCACTCCATGACAGCGGGGGATTTCGTAGGCGTATACTGACCGACAATTGCCAGCTGGAATGATGAATTTGCTGGATCTGATGTTAGCTATAGTTGGCTTCGAGGTCCCTCGGTAACTGGTGGGGGTGGGCAGGTGGCCATAGGGATCGGCCTCTTCGTAGACAGCGCGTCGAAAATTAATATACACGCATGCGCACCTACTGGCAGGTACATTGCACATCAGCTGAACCATGCGACAGAGAGATTGCAAACACACATACAAGTAAACGGACACCATCCGAACGCAGGCAGGACTAACCGCCTCATTGCCCTGAGTGGAGACGGCTCGTTCCAGGCCGCCAAGGAGCTCGCTAGAAACCGCTCCGCCTAGGGAGAAGTGTGCCGAGAAGGCCGCGCCCCCGGGCCCGTGCTCAGTTTCGGCGGCAAGTTGAAAACCGAATTCCCCCCGCGAAAAAAAAATCCGAAGGGGCTCGGGCAGATTGGCGATCTTCAGGTGCAGTTTGGCATCAGCCGCTACATCGCAGGCAGTGGAGGGCGCGTTTCATTTGTTTCGTGCGCAGCGTGGCCATAACGGGATTGACGACTTTTGTGCTGCCGCCAGGTTTTACCAACGCGCTGGACACCATTCTCATCAAGTTACTTCGATGTTTGGCGCATGGACGAGCTCGGCAACAGTGCGGAGATCGCGCCCGTGCACTCAGCAACGCGCAGGTTTTCGAATATCCGGGGTTATGTGACGCAGCCGCAGAATTGCGTGTCCAGCGCTTACGGCGGCACCGGGCCATGGCACGAGAGCCCGAGAATCATAAGCAGGTGTTCGTGGCCATTCTCGGCACCGCGGAGCTAGACCATCAGCTTGGCGGCCGCGTCTGACACTTGGAGGGCGCCTAACACAGCGCAGTGCACCGTGGGCGCGGCAGTGCAAGCAAGACCTGCTGGCATTGGCAGCGTTGGGCAGCACGTTCGGAGACGATCGGCGCGAGCGTGAACATGTCCTCAGCGTTTTTACCAACAGGAACCTCGCCCTCACTATCTCCAAATTAGGCGTCTCCAAAGACAGGGGCCTCCTTGCGCCCGCAAGTGCAGCTAGAATGTTACGGGTGCAGAAGTTGGTTGGACTCATTGCGTCGGAGGAGATGGGGGAGGGCAGCGGCGCGCAAGCGCGACGGCGCGAACAGCGATAACCGCGCAGTTATCGACGAACGGATTTGTATGCATGAGAAAGATGACGGGACCCCTTGTGGCAGCACGTTTCAGACATTGACAGGCTTGACGGCACACATCACACATGCGCACCAAATGAGGGACATGCACTCCATGCTCATTTGCACGAACGCATGGCCCTGGTGCGAAACAGTCTGTGCCTCATGCGCGCCGCGCATACGGCGCTTCCTCACTATGGACATGCGAGTGCCGCGTGCCTTCCCTACTCGCTCTACGCCCTTTGCTTTTCGGCCCATTGAGCAGCGTTCACACGCGTGCGGCTACTGCGCCGCCGAGCATACCGAACTGAACAACCATCTTGAGCACGTTCGCACATACGCAGAAGGGCCCGATGGCGCAGAGCTGGAGAGTCGCGACCGACGGACGACGAGCGAGAGGACCCTCGGACGGAAGCGAATCGCAGCCAGTGCGCAAGACGGCCCGTGGCGAGCCGAAGAAACAGAGTTGCAAATCCCATGGCTTCGAGGGGGCGGCGAGGAACTACTCGCCATGGAAAAGCTGATTGTCAACAACGCGCAGCAGATATGGGCCATCTCAGGCAGTCTTTGGGATTTCTTCTTGGTGGAGGGCGGTGGGCATCCGGCGATTCTGGCGGGGTCGGGGGCATGGGCCAGATGCGCCTCGCGCAGCGAGGCGGGCGAGAAGGACATCCCCCCCCCCCCCCCCCCCACGCCACACCACGCGCGCGCGCGCACGCGCGCGCGTGGCAGCGGTTATCCTGGGAGCGCTCGGCAGGATGGGCAACTTGCCGCCCGCGATCAAGAACGACATGAACAATCTCATCCTGATCATGGACGTGATGGGATACTGGCAGACCTGGCGAGGCACATGCGAATCAAGAAGGCCTATGAAGAGCAAGGGCGAGCAGAGCGCTAAAAAGTACACATCATGCTAACCCCCTGGGCATGACGCCGTTCGCGTCGGAGAACGAGGCCGAAGTCCACGATGTCCGCGAGGGGAACGCCGAGGAACCTCTGAAGCCCCACGCCCTCGGCACCCCGCAGATCCGCAGGATGATCTACGCGGCAATGAAGGCCGCGGGCGGATCGGCCATCGCGGGGGCGCCTCCTCCCATGGCGCTCGAGAGGCAGGTTCAGAAGGTTGTCCGCCAGCGGCAAGCCGCGGCGTAGATGTGGCAGGACTGCGCCGACAGGCGCGACAAGGCAGCGCGAGGGCAGCGGAATTGTTGAAGCGCCTCGGAGGGAACCCACCTCCAGGCAAGCGGGAATGATTGTTTTTTTTTGGTATGTATTTACTCAGCACGGCTGGGAGTGTGCAAACCTCGCTGAGGGCCAAGGGGCCCGTGCGCAGATAGGACGGGGACTTGTTCGCGGCGCTGAGCAGTGGTTTTGTCTGACATAGGATGCAGGCCTCGCCCGTTCCGTCCTCGTCGCCACTACCCCGCTGGACACCTCGCCCCAGGTCCTTGCTCCCTCTCCTGGCGTCTGGCCTGGTGTCTTGAGGCGACTCTGAGGGACCCTCGGAGCTTACCTAGTCTAACTGTTTTTTTTTGAGTGGGCAGCGCCCACAAACCAACTGGCGGGTGGGAGTGGGCGGGGGGGGATTGGAGCTGGGGGGAGCTACTCTTGCAGCACCTCTGACGCGTCGAGGTTTTTTTAAACAATCATTTTGGAGTTTGGGAGCCTCGCCCGAGTGCCCGAGTGTGAGGGGGATGCGCCATAGTTTGATAACCCTTCACCCGTCCAGAGCTGTAAACGTAGGAGGGAATTCGGCCCAGCGTCGAAGCGGGCCCGAGAGGCTCAAAAGGCCATGGGTCCCGCAGGCATCCCTCTGCCACGCCGAATCATCTAGCCAGCAGCGAATAGCTCGAATTCCAGGCGAGTAGCCTCGTTTCAGCCGTCGAGACAGAGGTGAACCTAACTGGCAAGGCTTCCGGCTCCGACTCCTCTTCCTCCTCTTCCTCCTCCTCCTCCTCTTCCTCCTCCTCCTCCTCCTCTTCCTCCTCCTCCTCCTCCTCCTCCTCCTCCTCCTCCCCTCTCCTCCTCCTCCTCCTCCTCCTCCTCCTCCTCCTCCTCCTCCTCCCTCCCTCCTCCTCCTCCCCCTCCTCCCCCTCCTGCAAATTGTAGCGGTGGTGGAAAACGGGCCCATCACGATCATCCTGGAGCCCTTCGACGAGGCGCGCTGGAGGGCCGGCGCGGAGGAGCAGCGCGGCCCCCCGTGAGCGCGCTCGCCATGAGGCAAGCGGGTCCCGGGGGCAGCGGGTCCGGAGGTTTTCGCCGTGCACGGTAGGTTCGCGTCGTGTCGACGGGCGGCGAACCCGCCGTCGGCGTGCAACGTTGGACGCCGCCGGCGACCCAGAATCGGTCGATGTTGAACGATCCGGCGTTTCGGAAACGGCCGGTCCCAGACCCCCGACGTCATCATTTTTTCACGACGCGACCCCTAGAGGTCTGGACCTATTCCCCGGGACCGGTTTCTCTTCCTGAGTCGTTTTTGGCGGTCGCGAGGCCCGGGGAGGGCCCCAGGCCGAGAATAGCGAAAGACCTTCCGTCGTGATTTTTGCCCGTGGCTCGAGGGGGTCCGCGCGCGGTCAGAGAAGCCAACGCGCCGAGATCGGGCCGCACGCCCCGAGTCTGCCTACAGTTGGCAGGGGGCCTGGCCTCTCGAGGGGCCCTGTCCCCATCGGCCCCGAGAGAGATCAGGGAAGGGAAAAACTCACAGACACAATGAATCCTCGATTCCCCGGAAAATATGGGAAAATATGGGAAGTGGGGGGGAAGACAGAAACCCAGAAAATATGGGAAAATATGGGGATTATTTTTATTTGTGTGTATTCATTTGTGTGTCCTGGGGCCCCTTCAAGAGAGAGAGGCCGCCAGAGCGCGGCTCTCTCGCGCGGAGGAGCTCCCCGGCCCCGGCTGGGAGCCCCCCCCCCAGGCTCCCGGACCCCCTCGAGCCATGGACAAGCACCACGACCGGGAAGCTTCTTCGCCGCCCCCGGGGGCCCTCCCCCGGGGCCTCTTGGCGGGTGAAAGAGGGGGTCTGCAGCAGGGGGCCTTCAATGGGGGCTGAATGGCCCATGTGTGCTCAATGTATCGCTCATGTGTGTGTGATCGGGAGCGATTGGCATCCAATGCTGGCGGTCATGGAGGGCCAGTCGTTCGTGCCCGCGCGTTGCCCGCGTGGGCACACGCGCCGTCCATCCATTATCGTTCATGCGTGCGGGCGTTCTTGCATTCTGCGCGTGGGCTTGCGAAGTGGAGTGCAAGTGTGTCCTGATTGGGCGATTGATGCTCGCGTATGTTCCCAAACGATGAAGTATCGACCCCCAAGACAGATTTGGAATGGGTCCCGCGACTCCCCCAAAATGTGAATATTCACAGTTTCCTTTTTCCCAAAATGTGAATTCACATTTTCCTTTTTCCCAACATGTGAATTCACATCCTGGCCTTGTCATAAAGATTCCTACACAAAATCTCCAAATGTGAATTCACATTTTGCTTTTTCCCAAAATGTGAATTCACATTTTCCCTTTCGGACGGTCTCGCGAGGCCCTCGCGAGACCGTCCAAGAACGACTCGGAAGAGACAGCGCCAGTCCCGGGGAAGGGGCCCGGACCTCTGTGGGGGGCCGCGCCCTGCAGGAAGCAGGGCGCCGGGGCTTTCTGGGCAAGTTCCAGAAAGCGCCTCCTTCGGCCACGCGCAGACGGGGGGGGGGGGGGTAGCCCTGGCCTTCAGAGTGATAAAAAATAGCCCTCGAGGCCTAAAGACTTACCTGGGACAGGAATTAGGATGTCGAGGTCCTGGTGCTGCTTCTCTGTGCCTGCAAGGCCGGCGCCTTCTGAGAAGCAGCCCCCTCCTAAGAAGCCCCCCCCCTCCCCCTATAGACCCCCCCTCTCCGCGCGCTGCCGACTCCCACCGGGACCCGCCTCCTCCGCTCCGCGGCGCGCATGAGAACCGGCAGGCTCCTCAGCTGTCGGAGGCCCGCGCGCGCGTGCCTCTCTCGCCTCGGCGCCGCGGGGCCCCTCCGGCGGCGCTGCTGGGCCGGCCCCGCTCCCCGGCGCGCGGGCGGGCCTCCGAAGGCTCGCGCTCCCGCCGCCGCCCGCTCCCCGCCTCCTGCCCGGAGCCCCCGCGCGCACGCCGCGGCGCCGGGGCGGCTGCCCGCCCCGGTGCCCCGAGCGCTCGGCCACGCCGGGGGCCCTAAGACCCCCCTGGCGCTGCGTCAGGGGAGGCCCGCCCCCGGGTGGCTCGGGGGGCACCGCGCCCCTGCCTCCGGAGAGAGAGCGAGCAGGATCGCGCTTGTACCGCACGGTCCTGCCGCCGCCTCCCCTCCCCTCTCGTGGACCTCGGAAGTACCCAGTCTCATTGCCGCGCCGGCCGCTGCCGCTCCGAATCCAGGCACGGAGAAACAGCAGTCGTGCTTGCGGGCGGCAGAGATGACGGGCCAGTTTCCCACCACCCGCGCCAGAGGAAGGCGGGGGGACGGAGGGACGATGGGGAGGTCCTCCTCGCCCTCCTTCTCCTCCTTTTCCTCCCCCTCCTCCGTTTCCTCCTCCTGCTCCTCCTGCTCCTCCTGCTCCTGCTCCTCCTCCTCCTCCTCCTCCTCCTCCTCCTCCTCCTGCCTCTCCTACCTGCGGTAGTGGTTGGAACATTGGCCCCTCAAGAGAGAGACGGAAGTGGTGCTCCGAGGAGCGCGCTCCACTCGGCGGCAGAGCCTCGCATTGCAGCTTCGACAGCCCTTTACAGATATGACAACAGGGAGGACGTCGTGTGCTTGCCCGCTCCGCCCTTTGAATCAGGCCGGGCGAAAGGGGGGGATTGGGAAAGGGGGGGGGGGTACGAAATTTGCTGCATGCAGCTGGTTTCGGCCTCACCGAGGGGCCCATTCCTCGATACATAGCCGCCTCCGGCGACGGGAGGCGCCGGGAAAATCAGCTACGTGAGCTGATTTTCACCCCCCCTTTCGCTATCCCCCCCTTTCGCCCGACCCGATTAAATCACCAGTGGTGCTCGCTAATGCTCGCCTTCTTCCTGGCCGGAGGAGGCAGCCTTTTCCGGGCCTTTTTTTTGTCGAGGGGCAGACAGCGGCAGAAGCATCGACTGTTGACGGTCCGCGCGGGCTTCTTGGATAGGCGCCGGGCCCCCTTGGCGGTGCCGCTGGCGGTGCCGCTGGCGCCGCCCCTGGCGCGCGGCGCCACAGGGGCGGGGCTCCAGCGCCGATCCAAGAAGTCTGCGCCGAGCTCCAAGAGGTCAAGTTTATGCAGCTATTTGTTCCTCCGTGTTATGCCCGCTCCAGCTTCTTCCCTTTCTTCCTGGTCAGGAGAAGCCATCCTGCTGTGAGATTTTCTTTTTGCTCTGCAGAAGCGGCGTGCCGGCATCGGGGCGGGCGCGACGGAAGTGGCCCGGAGGGCCCTCGCGCCCGTGCTCCCGCACTCAAGCCTGGCCGCCGCCTTCCTTTCTCAAATCACAGACATCGGCATACAGTGGGGACGCACATCAAGAAGCCATCTTTTTTCGTCAGGGCGCCTTAGATTTCGCCCAGCGCGGCGCGCGGTGACTTTCCGCGGCCGTTGAAGGAGCTGCTGCGTTCAGGGTGCTCTGTTTCCCCCCCTGTGTGCACATCTCGCGCGGGTTTTCAGGGCTGCTGTGTTTTGCAAGGGTTTCTTGCGGCCGCCTCCGCACTGTAAGCATAACTATCGGATGTCCGCGCGGATTTTTTGGATCGGCGCTGGAGCGCCTTCCCTAGCGCGCGGAGCGCGCCTGAGGCGTCTCCAGCGCCGATCCAAGAAATCCGCGTGGACCGCCGACAGAGAATGCTTATGCCGATGTCTGTCCCTCTACTTCCGCGACCCTCTTCAGTCTGCGACTCGAGGCGCGTGAAGGTCCCTGCGCCGAGGCAGCAAACATGAACATCACCATCACTTGGCCTCTGGTCCCTCTGTAATGGAGGATGACGATTAATGAATGACCGGGGGTCGTGTTCACGCGGCGGCGCCCGGGATGACGATTAGAAAAAACCGGCCGCGGGGCTGGAAGTTTTTTTTGTTGTTTCTCTTTTTTTTCTATCGGTCTCCTCCAGTCAGAAAATTGTACAGAAATAGCAGGAAACTATTTTTGTAATCGTCCTCTCCCGTTTTTTATTAACCGTCGTCCCGCATTATTTTGCGCCAAGGCCACAGGCCCAGGCCGGGCCACACAAAATTCACCATCATCACCAACACTACGCTGTTGAACCTCTACGCTATCGGCACTGCGCTGTTGACACTACGCTGTGGACACAACGCCATCGACACTACGCTGTTGACTTGATTCACAACGCTATCGACGCTACTCTACGCTATCGACACTGCGCTATCGACACTCCTCGTTAAGACGTACTCTCCCTCGCCGCAGGCCCGTGTCGCTGGCCCTCTGGTCCCCGGCCCTCTGCTCGCCCACTTGCTGCCCCGGCAGAGCCCCTCTCCCGAGGCCGAGTCTGCTTCGTGTGCCGGCCCGTGCCAGATCAGTGGCGCGTGCCCCAGCGCCCCGTGGCCTGCCCGTCGCGTCTCGTGCCGGCGGCATTCCTGGGGCAAGGGCTGCGTCCTCGGAAGGGTCTCGTGTCCTCTCGCGTGGAATCTCCAATCGGCCTCGACTCGACTGAAACGCGGCAAAGCCGAGCAGCTCATGGGAGCTGGGCTTCGGAGGTTGGACTATTGCGGGTGTGCTTTCTGTGAGCAGTGAGTAACAGGCTTGCCCCATTCCGCCGACTCCCCGGAGAGGATCTGTGCGGTTTCAGCTGTAATCGGTGTTGCTTTCCGCTTCGTGGTGTGCTGTTTGCGTGCAGTAGTTGATGGTTCTTTCTCCATTCCTCTGCGTCTGTTGAGAGCCTTCTTGGTAAGCTCGGGACAATGTCGCGATCATGGGATACACTCCAGTGTTCGGGTTTGTGCGAGGAGTGGCTGCCGCGCAGTCGCGCAGTCGCGCAGTCGCGCAGTCGCGCAGTCGCTACTCCGCTCATGGGGCTCACCTCTCCCACTCTTGGCTGTACTGTGTGGCGCGTCGTGCATGAAAATGTTCCTGGAGTGACGTAGGCGATAGTTGATATAGCCTTCGTATATCGTGGCTCGGAGAATGAGGGAGGAGGAGGAAGAGGATGACATTGGTGACGACGATGGTGAGATGAAGAAGGAGGAGAAGCAGGAGAAGGAGGTTGACAAGGACAGCGGGAAGGTTTTATTCCCTACCTAGGCTCTGCCTAGAAGGGTTCTCACTCTCTTGGCTTAAAGGGCTGGGCAGTGCTACACGCCTCGGGCGGTGCCCCTGGCATCCGCCCCGCGGTTCCCCCCGTTGCGTCCCCTTAGCTTAGCGTTGCTTATCTCATCTTAGCTTAGCTTATTTCATCTTAGCTTAGCTTAGCTTCATCTTAGCTCAGGTGTATCTTAGCTTACCTTACCGTCATCTTAGCTTCGCCGAGATTTAGCATAGCAGAGCACAGTATAGCATAGCGTAGCATAGCATAGCGCAGCACAGCATATCATAGCATAGCCCAGCATAGCATAACATAGCGCAGCCCAGCATAGCGTAGCATATCATCGTTGCCAGTTTAGTTTTCTGTTCGGGTAATTAGCATGTGTGTAATTCCCGACCTAGGCTCTGCCTAGAGGGTTAGCTTAACTTGGCATAGCATAGCATAGCGCAGCGCTGCATTAGCATAGCATAGCATAGCATGACACAGCCAATCATAGCATATCATATCATAGCATAGCGCAGCATATCATAGCATGCCATAGCATAGCATAGCGCAGCATAGCGCAGCTTAACCTATCATATCATATATTATCATATCATATCATAGCTTATCATATCATAGCTTAGCATAGCACAGCCAAGCATGACATATCACAGTTTAGCAGATCATATCATCGCATATCATAGCATAGCGCAGCATATCACAGCATATCATAGCATAGCATAGCGCAGCATAGCATGGCATAGCATAGCGCAGCATAGCATAGCAACTAATGCTGGTTTCCTAGGGGCTCCAACTTCTAGGTAGGGTCGCACTGGGGTAATCAAATGTTCTGCCGGCCCTGTTCAAGGTCCACCTCGTGCTGCCTCTTTGGGTCAGGGGAGTTCGGGGTGGGGGTCGTCGCTGGGGCCTCCTTTGGAGTAGGTTCCTGGGAGGTGGGGTGCGGGATGAAGCCGGCTCCAGACCGGGGAGCCCCGCAAAGCTCGGCGGACTTGTACAAGTAGACGTGCTCATGACGTCCTTTCGGAGGCGGTTTCGGGGTGTCTTGGGAGCCTCTCGAGGGCCTCTTGGGGGCTTCGTAGGGGCCTCATTTGTTTTCGGGGCCTGCTGGGGCTTCCGAAGCTTCTTGGGGGCCACTGCTGGCGGTCACGGGGGCCATCTTGGCGGGGGAGGGGCTCGAACTGCTCGTTCCTGTTCCCCCTCTTGGGGCTCTCTTCGGGCCTTGTCGGGGCTGTTTGGGGTCGTCTTGGGCGCCTCTTTGGGCAGTCTTGGGGCCGTCTGGGAGCTCTCTTGGGGGCCTCTTGGACCTTCTTGGGGCGGTCTTGGGAGCTTCTTGGGCCGTCGTGGAGCGTCAGAAGTTAGAAAAGGGGAGATGTTCTAAAAACTGGCAGAACCCTCCCTACGGAAAATCAATGTTTGCAGCACCCTGGGAGCTTCTTGGGGGGCATTTTGTAGTCTTCTTGGGCTTTCTGAAGGCTGTCTAAAGTAGTTTTGAAGCCAGTAAGGCGTGTATGTGCTCTTTTTCAGCTGTCTCGGAAGTCTTCTTGAGCATCTTGGAATTGTCTGATACTGGATTTGGAGGCCCCGAGGGGCCGGGAGGCGCGCTGACTAGTTCGTTTGGGACCCACCCCCGCCTCGAACGCGATTTCGGACCACAGGGGAAGGAAACAGGTGGGAGGGGGGATAGCTAAACATCTCGCACGCCTTTTCAACCCCGGCAAACGGGGGTCGGCGGATTCTCACACTTGTAATACACTGGTTTCGATTGAATGTTGCTGCAACTTGTCAGCTCGCGCTTCCCAAGCGCATCCCCAGCAAACATTGTTGTTGTTTTTTTAGGAGGTGTGTGTTTCAGTGATGGGTACGGAACAGCGACACGCCCCGCTCATGTAGGATCTGGCTCTCGGAGGCCAGGGTCGCGTCGTCGTTCGGTTCACGCACGTGGTGGATATTTATCCGAGTGGACACGCGATGCTTGAGCCCGGGGCATGGAGAGACGAATCCGCCGTTTGCAGTGGAACCCCTCTCAGGGAGTCATTCCAACAATGAGTAAGCACGAAATATATCTTACACGTTGTTCTGCTTCACGAGATGATGAGATGGAGGAGCGCTAATGATGCAGGAGGGCATGCGTTGGAACTATACCCGAACACTCCTCACAGGAAGTAGGGGTACATTATGTTTGGAGCGCGACCACTTCCTCAGGCATTGGTCTCTGCACAGCAAACGAACGACCACATATGCGGTATCCAACCAGAACTTGAGCGCACGTGAACCACGAACGATGATTTTAGTGAGTGTGTGCATATATTAGCAGGGGTCAAGCAAGTATACAACCGGAGCATGATTTAGGTGTCAGCTCTGATGGAAAATACTGCTGTCGCCCAGGCGCAAGCCACATCTTTCATTGAGCTTGCCGTTCTCGCTGTGGCGCCCGTCACATGTCTGATGAACAATGTCGATGTCTTCCAGGCGCCGGCCACATCTTTCATTGAGCATGTCGTTCTCGCTACGGCTTTGGCCACCTCTGATCGAAAATGCTGCTTTCGCCAAGGCGCCGGCTGCACGCATGATTGCGATGATTGTTTGCGCCTCGATGCCAATCATGCCAATACTCCAATCAACGCCGATGCACAGCATGCCAATGATGCTCCAGTCACCACCACTGCACCATGGTTAGCAGGTGCACCGATTCTTACACTTCTCGACCCAGCCCAGTCCACCAACGCATCGATTACAAGGCGCACGCTAAGTGTACTGGGCAATGAATTTCACTACTCTGTATCCTGGATTAGAGTTGGCCGTTACATTGTGCGACCAGTGTGACGAGTGGGCATTTGTCTTGGGAGCCGGGGCAATCGTCTCTGGCGAGTCACCGCCGCCCCTGGCCTTGGCGGCAGCGCATGGTGCCGCGATTTGATGAATACACAGGGGTTTCTTGGCTCCTGGTGGCTTCTCACGTCGACGGCTTCGGGGCTGCCTTGGGTTTGTTGCCATGCCTCTTCGGCAACACTCGGTGCAGAGAGCTCGACCAGACTCGAGGAAACTCCACTCCGTGCCTCGCGCCATGGTGGCGGATACCCAGCCACCACAAGGGGCTTTGAGGCTCTCTTGGCAGCCTCCTGTGGCGTTTGGCCCCTCTTGGGGCTATATCTACAGCCGCCTCAGAGAAGCCGTCTTTGAGCAGTCACAGCCGTGTTGACATCTGCCCGGGTTGGTCGATCTCGACGCCAGTGGTGCATAATTCAGGAGGGGGAAAACACACAGACACAATTAATCGTCGATTCCCAGGAAAATATGGGGAAATATGGGACGTGGGGGGAAAGACAAAAACCCAGAACATATGGGGAAATATGGGGAATCTTTTTATTTGTGTGTATTTACTTGTGTGTCCTGGGGCCCCTTCAATAATGCCTGTGGGCAGCGGGCGACGCAGCGGCGGACGGCGCAGCGGGCGAGGGCGAAGGGCTCTCGTCGACGGGTCTCGGAGGGCCGAGCCGACGGATGGCGCACGAGAAGGCCCATGGCAACGTTGGCCCACGAGGAGGAGGAGGAGGAGGAGGAGGAGGAGGAGGAGGTGGTGGTGGTGGTGCTCAGTTGGGGGCCATCAGTCTGTCATCTCTCAACTGATCGGTAGCCCCTCCGTTACATTTGGAGGCTGGGCCGCCTGCAGGTGCAGCAGGCCGCCACGGCAAGAGGCGACGCGGCGGTGCAAGGACCGCGCACGAGGAACACGCCCTCTCGAAGCGTGAGCGCGCGCCACCCCGTGGCCACTCGGTTCTTCCAGTGCGGCACGGGCCTGCAGAACAACGCGCTGCCCCCACGGTGCCTCGCGAGCGGTGGCGCCTCTGACTGGGGGAAGAGCCAGGAGGGCGTCTGCGCGGACGAGATTTGTCTCATCCAGATCCGCTGCGTCTTGGACCTTCCGGGGAGGAGCACCAGGGAGCCGAGGCGCAGTGGACACGGATAACGATCTGGCCTCGTAGGGGCCGGAGTTTGACCGCTGTCCACTGCGCCTCTGGCCTCTTGGCGAGGGGATCCCGAAGTTCCAAGCCGCGGTGGATGTGGACACACCTCCTGCCCACAGCATGCACCGATCCAGGGCACAGGATGGGACTGGCCAGGATCCCTTCGGGTGCGTGCACCGCTCTATTTCTTCTCCCCCTCTTCCTCCTCCTCTTCTCCTCTCCGCCGCCTCTTCCTCCTCCTCCTCCTCCTCCTCCTCCTCCTCCTCCTCCTCCTCTTCCTCCACCTCCCTCTCCTTCTCCTCCTCCTCCTCCTCCTCCTCCTTCTCCTCCTCATATCACGTCATCACGTCCTCCCACCTCCCCCTCCTTTTTCCCCGTCCTGCTCTCCCCCTCTGTGTCCTCTTTGCCTCGCCCGTACCTCCTCCCCTCCGCGCCCAAGGAGCCCGTCGCCGTGAAGTTCGAGGACCTCCGCAGCCAGCCGCTGCAGCTGGAGCACGAGGCGCCGCTCCACCGGCCACTGCTCGGGGACGGGCAACTCGTGGGGTCTGTGGCCGATCTGTCGGCGGCGCACCGCCGACTTCTGCTCGCTGCCCCCCTCCCACCCCGCCCCCGGAGCCGAGCCGGCCGCTCCTGAGCCGCAGGCGGAAACCAGCCCGTGTCCACAGCGTCGTGGGCTGGGCCCCTGGACCGGGATCCCGCGGATGCGGGGCGTCTTCTCGCGGATGCCTCGCGCGGAACGCAGCCGTGCGACCGCGCATCCGCGGGACCGCGCCCTGGAGTCCAGACCGCGAGTGCGCGGATACGGTTATGGTCGCCGCTCGTGATTAACCTTGGCATCGCTCGGACGTGTGCGTTTTTTTCTCGGCGACACCGTGGAGGACCATCCTGGACCGTCGAGCAAAAAAAGACACGCACGAAACCGAAAAATGCACGGGAAATGGACGTCCGAGCGATAGCGAGGGCCGGCTTCGAGGAAGAACGCTGCACGAACATGAATCGACGCCCTGCGCGGATTTCTTGGATCGGGAATGGGACCCCCCTGGCGGCGCCCACGGCGCCGCCACTGGCGCGCTCCGCGCGCCAGGCACGGTGTCCAGCGCGGACGGATCCATGGAAATCGCGCGGGCTTCCAAGAGTTTACGTTTACGCTGCTTTTGTTCTTCCACGGCTGCCCGAGCTGCATCCCCAGGCACTTCTCGCCACTTGGCGGCTTTGGGTTTTCAGACCTAGAGGAAGGGCGCCCGTCCCGCCTCGCACACCCTGCGTACCGCGGCCGCCCAGCCCCAAGGGTCCAGGTGCTCCCTTTGTAGCCCGCCTCACGTCTTCGACGGGTGACGACTGCACACCGCGGTCGCCAGGCCCAAAGCGGCCCGTTGCTCCTTGAGTATGACGCTTCGCGCTCTCGAGTGGGAATCGCTCGAGGGAAAATTATTTGTTTGTTCTCTCTCTCTCTCTCGAGGTACGTAGGTGGCACAGTAGATGGGCCCAGGGATGGATCGAGCACGTTCGGCTGGTCTCTGCATGCGCCGAGGTGTCCGGAAGGATGACGATCACGATGTTCATGCTCATGTTGATGGCGAGGATGTTGATTGCGGTGATGGGGATGGTGGCGATGATGAGGATGGTGATGGCGATGGTGGTGATGATTACGGTGGTATTGATTTTGATGAGGATGGATGCGGACGATGATGGACCTGACACCGATGCTCTGTCGAACGTCATGTTGCGTGATGCACTGCGATGCCATCCAATATTGTACCATGCGATGCTACGCCTTACCTTGCTAAGGTATGTTGCGCGACGCATTGATGTGACCATTACCACTCAGTTACTTGCAATGGTATGCCATGCGTCGCTGTGCGATGTAATTATGCTTAGCTATGCTGTGGGGTACGTCTTTGAGTGTTGCTATGCATACGCGCTGCTATGTAATGTCATGCTTTACGTTGCCAGAAGGTCGTGCACTATACAATGCTACTGTATCGAGTGCACTGCAATGCTGTGCCATGGAGCTGCCATGCTTCCTCATGCCATGCCGTGGCTCCTTTCGCCATTGTTGGTAGGCTGCGCTGTTCTATGCTTTTGTATCGGTACAAGTCAAGGGTTGCGCAGCCTTAAGCTATGCCGCGCCATCCGACGCATTGCGTTTGTGCACGCCGATTTGATATGTAGTACATTACGATTGCCTGTCACTTGTTGCTGTGTTATGCTACGTGTGGCTACGATCTGCAGCAGCATGTCTTGACCTGTTCAGAGCTAGCATCTTACACTATTCGAGGGGATTGTGGCGACCTGATATGATAGACCATGCTATGCCATGCAGTGCGATTTCGTACCATATACGTTTCGCTATACGACGCGTTGTGTTGTCATGCAGTGATGCGTGGCGCTGCAACCTATTACGATCTGCGATGCGCCGCCGTGCATCGCACCATGGTGTTCTGGTTTGCAGCGTCGTTCCACGCTTCGCTGGTATGCTATTCTATCGCATGTAGTGCCATGTTTAATTCTGGTATGCAGTGCTAGCTCGCGATGGCGAGATAGTTCGATGCTAACCTTGTAGTACAATGCAATGGTCTGCGATCTCATTCAATGCAAAGCCGTGATGCACCAGCGTGCGCAATATGTTTTGACAGAACGCGGGGGTACGGTGTGTGACAATGTGCTACACAGTGCCAGGGCTATGCATCGCCGCGGTATAGTATGTATTGCAGTGTGCTGCGTCGCCTAGCTTGGCATTCGCCATACACGCGTACACATTCAGCGGCAGTGAGCTCGCGATTGAGTGGTGGGCATGCAGTGTTGCCATGCGCCGCCATGTAATTTCCTGCTGCAGGAGGCTTCACGGGTCCATTCTTCCTTGGTGACACGGTTCCAGATCACCTGATATGCATTGCCAGTCAAGCTATCCCCCTCCTCGCCGGCCGCACCGCCCAGCCACGTCGCCCAGCACACCGCCCTCATCCCCACATGGCAATCATCCACATCCCACTCCTCACCGGCCACATCGCCCTACTCCCCCGCCCTCCTTCCATGCGACGGCTTCTGTATGAACATCTCCGGCACCACGGTGTAAGGGCCCAGGCCCGCCCGCGCCGACCCTCAAGGGTCCCGCTCCGGCGGACTTGCGCGCTTCGCTTCGTTCGCTTCGCTCCTCTTCCTCTTCATCCCCCTTCGTCCTCCGCCAGGGCAGCGGGCGGGCGCTCGATGCAACACGAGGCAGCGGGTAATCATGGTGAAGGGGGCGGCGGGGCAGGAGGAGAGGGGAGAGGGTGGGCAGGGCAGGGCAGCAGGAGACGCAGGAGGTGCACGAGGAGGAGGGAGGACGGGGAGGATGAGAAGAGCCGACAGTGGAGAACGATGACGCGGAGGAGGAGGAGGAGCAGGAGGAGGATGAGGAGGAGGATGGAGGAGGAGGATGGAGGAGTGGGAGGAGGAGGAGGATGAAGAATACGCTCTGGGAAGAGACGGGGCACTGGACATTGGGGAAGGAGGGTTCCCGTGCAGTGACATGGGCAGCGCATCATCGCGATCGCATGCCTGCCGCAGGCTTCCATCTTGCGGCAGCTGGCCACGACGGATCAGCCCCAGGCGGGGTCACGCACAAAGATGACATTGCTCACGTCATGCTCAGCAATCGTGCAGTCCCACCTTTCTTCTCGTCCTGGCGTGCCCTGGTGTACCTCGGCCAGGCGCATGTCCCCTTCGTACCTTGAGGCGTCAGCGCCGCCAGCTTATGCCGACCTCAGTCGCGTTGAACACTTGACACGCGCCGCGTGCCATGTGTTGAAAGCCGCTGCGCAGCGTCATGCTCTCCATCCTCCCATGATTACACATCATTGGTCGTGCATGCTATCTTCACACTGGTCGAGTTTGGTGATCCGAACAATCACGCTTGAGCCCTCCTACAGTGCCGTTTTTAATGCATGCTCCGCGTGCGGATCATGCATTAAAAATGCAGGGATTTGGTATGAAAAGCAACGACGAGTTCATGCACACATTTATTCATTAAATTAATCATGAATTAACTATCCTATGTTTTTGAAAATCCCATGTATTAAAACCTGCCCTGTACCATCATTGGTCGTGCATGTTATCTTCACAACGGTCGAGCTTGGTGATTCGAACAATCACGCTTGAGCCCCCCTACTTCCAGGGAAGAAAAAACACACAGACACAATTATTCGTTGATTCCCAGGAAATATGGGAAAATATGGGAAGTAGGGGGGGGAAAACAAAAACCCAGAAAATATAGACAAATATTGGGATTGTCTCATTTGTGTGTATTTATTTGTGTCCTGGGGCCCCTTCATACTTGCATGGTCGATGGTCGACTTGCCTGCACAGCTGCCGTACAGACTGAGAGCTGGGACTTCGACATCGCCGCGTTCTGTTGGGAGGCTTCCGTTGTTGACGGTGTGCGCTTACCAATATCATTCCTATCCCCCACTCATCTGGGCCTACTGTTTTTCGGGTGCAGCTCCTGGTAAGTCGAATTCTGATTTTGCCCTGGTCCGAAATCCAGCTTGATCTGGTTTAATTCCGCTTAATCCGGCTTGATCCCGCTTCATCTGGCTTCATCCCGCTGAATCCGCGGCCCAATCTGGCGTACCGGCCCCATAGCGGGGTTTAACTATACCACGAACCCTTCCGACGAAGACCTCCCAGTAGTCGCCTCCTAATGCTTCCTGCCCCCCACGCGTCTGGATGTGCCTGCTGTTCATACCCCACTCGTGCCCACATCTGTCGGGGGCGGCACAGAGGGAGGGGTGTGAGGACTAGGTCATGATTTGCACCCCCCCTGCTTGGACGCCCCCCTCCTGGCCGCTCCCGAATCTGGAGGGCTTCGTGCGCTGCTTCCACCTGGGCCAGGAGGGGCGGTTCAACTGCATGGTGGTGGACCTGCTCGGCAGATCCCTGGAGGAGCGTCCGCGGTGCCGCCAGCCGCTCGCAGTGCAGGGTCGGCGGCGATCGAGGGGGGGGGGGGGGGGGAACGAGAAGGAGAGGGCCTTCTCCTCCACCTCCTCCTCCTTCTCCTTCTCGCTCTCCTCCTCTTTTTCCTCCTCCTCTTCTTCCTCCTCCTTCTCCTCCTCCTCCTCCTCCTTCTCGCTCTCGCTCTCTTCCTCTTTTTCCTCCTCCTCTTACTCCTCCTCCTTCTCCTCCTCCTCCTCCTCCTCCTCGGCGGCGAGCGAGGGGGGGAAATCGGAGGAGGAAAGGGTACCCATACCTCCACCCTTCGCCCGTTTTCTCATTGTTCGGCCTCCTGGGAGGCCCTCGTCGCCAACGCTGGATTCGCCTCGACGTCCCTGTCAGAACGCACCCCCCTGGAGAGGTCCAGGAAGTAGCGACATCGGTACCTTTTGGCCACCCCAGGAGATGAGAAGGAGAAGGCCCCCCCTCAAAAGGCGGCGGGACTTCTCAGAAGCCCTCGCGCCTTCCGAGAAGTTGCCTGCGTCCTCGGCGAGGGCCGAGGCAGCTCTTCGGAAGGCCGGGGGGGGGCTTCCGAGCCCTCCGAGGAAGGCCTCGTCCTGCTCGCTGCTTCCCCCCCTCGCCCGCCGCCGAGGGATCGACTAGACGTAAGGATGACCTTTCGCCGGGGTGACCTTTGGTGCGGGCACAGATGGGTCCCCGGATGGCTGGAGACGGAGCAGGAGCAGCGGCCTGCGCGCCCAGGTTTGGTCCCCCGCGGCCCCCAGAAAGCCGCGCACCAAAGGTCACTCTTACCCAGGGTCACTCTTGCATGTACAGTTGGGGCGCTGAAGAAGGAACCCTTCTCGTTGGCGAGGGGCTCGGTGTTCCTTGATTGTTTTACAGTCTGCCTTAGGTATTCCATGGAACATCGAAGTTTAACTTATGGGAAAAAGGGGCCTCGTTCCTAATTTAGGGTTCCTTCGGTCAACGCCCCGACAGTAGCCCAGAGGGAGGGGACGGCAGAGGCAGGGGAGCCCGGGGAGCGACGAGCGCGGCCCGGGGGGGGGGGCCCGCCGTCGGGCGGGCGGGCCGAAAAGGGGGTCGCGGGGCGGCCGCGAGGGCCGCGGCGGCTCATGGGGCGCGGGGCATTTCATGCGCTGCCGCGTCTCCCTCTCTCTCTCGCTGCATCTCTCTCGCTCTCTTTGTCTCTCTCTCTCTCTCGCTCTCTTGCTGTCCCTCTCTCTCTCTCTCTATCTTTCTTTCTCTCTTTCGCGCATCTCCCTGCGCTCTCTCCCTCTCTCTTTTTCCCTGTCCCTTCCCCCTTTCCTTCATTATTTATGTATTTCTCGCTTTGTTTGCTTCTCTCTATCTCTCTGTTGTTGTTTTTTTTTCTCTCTCTCTCTCTCTCTCTCTCTCTCTCTCTCTCTCTCTCTTTATCTCTCACACATCGCTTCACTCCCCCCCTCTCCCTCCCCTGTTTTCTCTCTCCTTTTTTTTATCTCGGTCCTCAATGTTCTCCCGCTCTCTCCGTACATACAAAGATACATACATGTATACGTACATGTGTACACAGTAAGAGATCATATCTAGCGCCCTTCGGCCCATCCCGTCACGGTGTTGGGGCTGTGGTTCAGAGGCCTCTTGGATGCATATGAGGGCCTCCTTGGGCCCTCGTGAGAACCTGTTGGGGCGTCTTGGGGGGTCTCTGAGGGGGGCCTTGAGGCCGTCTTGGGGCGGAAGGCTCGGGATGTGCGTCTGTTTCCCCTCTTGAGCCCCACTTGAGATCCTCTTGGGTGCATATTGGGCCGTCTTGGGGCCTTTTTACTTTGAGGGCATCCCCCGAGAGAATCTTATAGATTGCTCGGCCGCCGCATCTATGGTTCAAGGCGGCGCCGCCCTGCCTGCCTGAGTCGCCAGCACCGCCAGTTGCGATCTGCGGCGCTGTGGTGGACAAGAAGCCATGGTGCCCTCCTTATCGCCATCCCACTGTAACCCTCACCTCGTGCAGTCATTTCCCTGCATGAGATGTGAATTCTCGCTGGAACTTGGTAGCGGGGCTGTCGCACCCGCGGCAGCTCCGCTCGCCCCCGCCCTCGGCGTGATGACGTACAAATTCATCTGCGCCGGCGACCACCGGCGCAGCGGAGGACATTCCGAGGACCACAAAAGCATGGAGGACTGTGTCTTAACTCCCACCTCATTGGTACCTACCACTGCGCAACCATTGCGCCCCCGCCGACATCAGCCTGGGATGTGCGCGCGCGAGGAGACTCGAACGAGTCACCAAGGCTTTCTTTTCCCCACTTTTATCATGACAAGTTTGTCCTTGAGCGCGCGAGGAACTTCGGCCGCCGCTGCGACGACTCCACCCACCACCGCGACGTCCACAACCACAGCGACCCCATCGTCTACGACACACGGGCGCGGGGACCCGAACGTTTATCCCATCTCCGAGATCGAAGGCCGCCGACTCGCGAACCTCTCTCAACCTCGTGCCGCTCATGGGGTCACGACTGGCTCCCTCCTCACAGCGATTACATCCGACATCCTGTCTTTCCGTCTCCACCATCATAGTTTCGCCATTTGCGGCCTCAGGTTCTGTTATGCGAAGGAACGCGAGATGCGTCAAACCTTACAACGGGTGGGCTCAGACGAAGTCCGACTGAACCTGATCAAGTCCAGTGATGTTACACGCCGAGAGTGTTGGACATCGGAACGTTCCGGCACCTCTATTGAATCATCACTGAGCTTAGCTGGCCGAGCCAAAAAAGAGGCGGAATGCGACCCGTTCTCTTGCAAACAGCACGTCGCCTTTCAATATTCGGCCGATGCATCGGGTGCGCCCGCGGTTGTGACACCAGCAACAAGTCAAAGGACACCCTCTTGGATGCAGATTGCTACTGTTGGGTGCAGTACGACCACGCCGTTGAAACATTGTGTACCGATGGCGAAGAAGGCTTCAACAACGATGACGTTAAGAGCCAGGTGCAAAGAATTAGTTGGCAACCGAACTCCGCATTCGAGCATCAGGACGATACGTCAACGCTTTTGAGGCCCGAAGCGGTGTCTTCAGAGGAGTCACGCGTACCGAGGGAGAAATTTCAAACGGCATAACGATCCCGTTGTTTTCCACGGACTATTGACCGAAACATTTTGCGCTTGCAACGCATGCGCCTTCTATGGCGGAGTGTTCCCATACAGGCCCTACACGGGCACCCATGCTTCCTGACCTTGATGTCTCTGTTCTTGACGAACCCGAGGCCGCGGGCCAGGAACGTGAACGCCGCGTCCGCGGGATTGCTCTAGAAACTAATTTTCATGCCTCTGCCACAACCAACGTAAGCAGGGTTCTCAAGACGAAGACAAGAGTGGACGGCGGCAGAATCTTCCCGGGTAGGTGATGTAGCGGACTACCATCGGCTAGCCGCCACAAAAATCATGACGAAGGTGGGTAGGGTGGCCCTTGCAATGTCACGGAAGTGAGATATGGAGTGGATGCTGCTCGTCGCCGAACCTGGGACTAGATATATTGTTGTTCAGTTCCCCGATGGTAGACTGACTCCTGTCATCGAGGTGCTCGTGGCCAAAGATTCTGGCATGGGCAACGTTGCTATGCTAACACTTACATCCTTTAGCGCGGCCTCCCCTGCAGGAAAGGCACTTGTCACCGTTGGCTACGTTCCCGATCGCAAGGAGGTGCGCCGACCATCTGTGATCAGCAAACTTGCCCCGAAGGTGCATGTGGCGTTGCCGTGCGTCGTCAGGTCTCACGCCAAGATCGACGAAGTCATGGCCGTGTGGCCGGGAGACAAACACGCGCCCCACGCCGCTCTATGACGGGGTTGACCGAAGTGCATTGGCCAACTGCGACAACGACGCCCAGCCCAGCACATTTCATTTCTACGAGACCGCCAAGCCCTTCTTAACATTCGGGGCGCTGGCAGCCGCCGTGCAGTGCCTGATTGCAAATGGACTGGTCCTGTCGTCCGACGAGGAGCTCACTCGATGTCCAGAGCTTTCTGATGGACCTCGAGATGGCGGTGGCCGCGGAGACTGCGATCCCGGTGCAAAGCGAACCCGGGGACGGCCGTCCATCTGCAAGCGAGGAGGCCGATGGCGAGCAAGAGGAGAATGCCCGGATCATGCGCGAATGGCACCAGGAATTCATGGATGCCGACCATCGGTGCGTGGAACCATGTGCCTTTCATGAACGGCTTCAGGCCCTCGTTTCGACCCTCGCCCTTGCATGCATTGTAGTGGGGTCCTACGAGCGCGAGAAGCCCATGTTCACCCAGGACCGTGGAGTTGCGTGAACATGGACTAAGTGACGCCTTGTTTTCGCACCAGCGCTCTGGGGCCCCTTCGGCGACCGCCGACGCGTGGGACAATGCTGGCCTTGGCGGCCACTGTGACATTGATTCCGACGATCTCTGTAAATTTGCCGAGCTTTGTTTCTCTGGTGAACAGGTTTAGATCATATTGGACCATCATCAGTTGGAAGCCAGTGTCCCCGATTAATTGGACGCCCTTCGCATCGACGTTTCAGCCGAGCCATGCGGGCGTCGGCTGTCAAGGATGACGATGTGCTTGCCAAGCAGGACATCGTCAACGAGCCGACGCATGCATTATCCGCGCTCTGGGCCGAATTCAGGATATGGTTGAACAGACGATGCTTCGCCGAGGAGCGGCTGTCCATGACCCAAGACGTCATCGCTCCACTGTGCCAATGCAGATTGCAGTTCGTGAAGACTGTCTGGGCGCGCGGGGGAAACTTGCGCGACCTCGCCGTGCTTCGTGGGGTTTCACGGGCCAAGGGGCTGCCTTGTCTGGAGCGGCGCGACGCATTTTCTGGCGCTCTTCGGCCGAGGCAGCACGTCGCCGTGACTGGGCCGCGGTCAGTCTCGATGTAGGCGGGGCTTTCCACGTGGGCCTCGCGCGCAGAGAACTTGTCGAAACCGTGGGTGAACGGGGGCGCGCTGCGCGTTTCATGCTACTTCCTGCAGCGCCGCTGTCCTCCGCGCCCGACCTGGCCGCGAGGGCTGCGACGAGCTGCGGCGCTGTCTAGCATGCCTCATGCCCGGCGCCGGCACCGCGGGCGCCCCTCGAGCCCCCCTTCGCCGCGGAGCGCATCGGCCCCGAGGCCGCGTCGCACGACCGGGAGTGGAGTTCGAGGCCGCTTGGCACCTGCCTGCCGCCGAGCACGCGGACGACATCAATGCGTGGTAAGGAGTCCCGCGTGGACGTTTGCGTCAGTCAAGTCGACCAGGTATTTGGCACGCGCAAGTGGAAGAAGCGCACCTGCGCGATTCGCGCAATGATATAGTCGGACGGGAAAGGGGGCTCTATCATGGATCAAGACGAGTGCGCGCAGTAATTCCGCCGCACTGCACATCCTGGTCGCGCGGGGGCCTCCCCAGAAACATAGGCTACCGATGTAGTCATCTACGTGCCCGTCAGCCTACGGGCAGCACTTGCGTATTCCACGTTTTCCCAATTCTGGTTTGTGGTCTGCATCTTTTCGTTGCAGCGTGGCCGGGAGACGACGGGCGCGCAAGTTTCGCGCCGGAATGCCATTGCCCGCAAATTGCCGCAGGAACCCGAGAAGGTCATCTACCGATCCATGTCCCTTGATGGCGCCGTGGACCTGCGCGGGGACTCCAGGTGTCGGGGGCTCGGGCGAAGAAGGCGACGAGGCTCAAGGCTTCCTCCCTCGTAGATGTAATCTACTGCGTCATGGGGAAGCGAGCCGCATAGAGGAGGTCGCGCATTGCGTCGACAGCCCATGGACATCGCATCGCCTTCTTATCAGGTCCAGCCGCGCTGCAGATGCACGCGCCGCCGCTCGCAGTCTGGGTGGATGGTGTCCTTTCCTGGCAACCGCGCTCGAGCTCATCGAGGGCCCCCTGGGCCCCTCCGAGCCAAAGCGCCTCCATGCATGCGGCGGGGCCCGCGCGCGCCCATCGCGATCGACGCCGAGACGCGCGAGTCTCTTCCCAGCAGAGATCGCAAAGCACTTGCGGAGTAGAGTTTATTTGGGCTCATCTGCTGGATTAAACATTTCGAACTCCTCTGCGTCATCGACGACGCGCAGCGGCCCGACCCCCGCGACGCGGCGGCGGATGGCGACGCCAAGGGCGCCATCGACCGCGTCGTGTTGCTGCGAATCATGGCCGGCAACCAGAACTACGTGCGCGAAGTAGAACCGCGCGTGCCGCATCGAGGCAACGGGCCCCGCATCGCCGACGCATGGCCGCTGCTGTTGCTCGCGCGCCTTGATGGGCCCAGAGCTTGGTGAATCAGTCAGCTGCGGCCGTTCTGCGCATGAAGAGGGGGGGCGGAAAGGGGGGCTCGCTCTGGGCCCGCGCAGAGCTTTCGCGGTCCCGCGACTGCTCAAAAGCGAGCGCGTTTCCGCGCTCCTTTAGGAGCATGCTGTCGCGGAGCCGCCACCGCGCTCATTCTGCTTTATTGTCGCGGAGTAGCGACCTCACTCAATGTTCTCTGCGCCGATTTGGGATCAGCCTTCATCGGGCGGTTCTTGGGCTGGCACCGCCACTTGCTCACGATCTGCGGTGCTGTGGTGGGCAAAAGGCATCTGCTCTCTCCCATCGCCATCGCAGTGCAACGCTCACCTTTTGCAGCTATTCCCTACATGAGATGCTGGCATTCGTTGGAATTCTCTTGGGTCGTCGTGGGGCCCTTTTGTGGCGTTTTGCGGCCCTGTTAAGGGTTTCCTCGGCGATCTTGGAGGGCTTCTTGGGCCGTCTTAAAGCGTTGGAAGTTGAAGAGGGAGAGAAGACTAAACGCATCCAGGATCTTCGGAACATGGGCCTTATTGGGGGTCTTTTTGGAACGTTTTTGGGGCCTCCTGGGGGCCTCTTGAATTGTCTTGGGACATCTTTGGCGTCTTGGAACGCTTTTGACCTGTCTTGGAGGCCTTGTGGGCCCTCTTGGTCGCTTTTGGAAGCTCCCAGCGCTCTCTGAAACTTCGGAAGCCCCCAAGCGTTCCAAGACGATCGAGGCCCGGGATTTTCATAGCCTTGCAGCTTTTTTCGCCTGTCAGGGCTACAGGGCTGCATGAGCCTTGACTGGGGCACTCCAGTACGTATTGAAGGCACGGCGACTCTCTCACACACTCTCTCTCTTTTTCCCTTCCTTCCCTCTGTTCCCTGATGCGCCCGGGAGGGTGGGGCCAGGAGGATGCGACCGCGTGTTGGGTTGCATTCTCTTCCGATCAGCAGATCGCTGCCGCCCCTACCAGCACCTGAAAAATGACGGGCTCGTGTTCAGCCGTTCTGATAGACGTCAGGCGGACGAGCAGGAGGGGGAACATGATGAAGAGCAGCAGCAGCAGGATCAGGAACATCATGTGATTTGAAGAGAGAGTGTGCGATCAGCAGCAGGATGACGAGGACAAGGCCGAGGGTGATAACAGCAGTAGAGGAGAGGATGCGGACGCATCCGAGGAGGATGAATTTGAAAACACATTAGAGGGGAGGTAAGGGAGATGGAGGAGGAAGGGGGGCCTTGGCGCTTGGTACGGGCAGTGGTAGAATAAAGCTCCCTTGGAGCGGCCCCCCCCCAAGACTCCACGTAGAATTCACCCGTGGGGTCGAAGTTCCAGGGGGGGAATCTACGGCTTGGGAGATATTCCGACCCAGTTTTTGGAACCTGCGGTCTTCTGGCCTGCTTGTCGTTTCCGAGCTAGGATAAGCCTGCGTCAAGCAACCACAGTTTTACGAACATCACACTCGCTATCAATAGCACGCGGAGTGTATGTCGTTGCTCGTCCTCTGAAGGCCTCTCCCTGATGAAGCTCACACACGACCGGTACTGTATTCTCATGGTTGCAATAACAGTTCGGCTCGGAAGGACCAGCTGAACATGTGCCGGGAAAAGAAGTTCACGGCGCCTACAGCGGTGTTGTTGGCAGAGCAGATCTTGTGCCGGATTGAATATCTTCATTCGAAGGCTCCCACGTAAGGAACGAGGAGGGATTAGATCCAGTGGGGCGTTTCTCCTCATCTTGTCCAGGTCCCTCCATTATCCACTGGACCTCAGGGTCGTTTGGAGCACTATTGCAGTGTATGGTGGTTGGCCCGAGTATCCTTGCTCAAAAGCTAGGAGTGAAGCGTGGCACCGTGCATCCCGAGAGCGCTGTGCATTGTCGGAGAGGATGTTGTTTCTGATTCTTTTGCCGCCAGATGGGGACATGAGTTTGACGCGTGATCGCTCACGCCCTGGTGGCTTGTCTTACTTAGGTAGCCAGGTTGACACACGATTGCCCAATAGAGAGAGAGAGAGAGAGAGACAGAGAGAGAGAGAGAGAGACGGAGAGGACGCCAATATGCATGTGCCCTCGGCGTTTGATCCTAACTCGTATGATTACAAGTTTTTACTCGGCGAAGACGTTAGCGTCTTACCCTGGCTTTGGCATCTGGAACCGTAGCGTCTTACCCTGGCGTTGGCATTACAGTATACACACTTTGGAGTGCTTTGGCTTACAAGTCCACCCTGCAATGTGCAGGATGATGGTGGTGGTGACGACGGGCACGACAAGGGATGTGGCTGATGAGGCTGATGATCTGGAGGGCGAGGGCGAGGAGTATCCCACGGGGGCTCTTGGCTGAAGCATGTGTTTGTGGCGAGATCTCGTCAGCGCCGTGCGCTCTCATCCGGCTCTTCCTCCCCCCCCTCCGGCCTTCGCCGAGGGCATCGTGCACAGAGACATAAAGCCTGACAACTTCATGTCGGGCGTGGGTGCCAAGGTCGCCGTCCTGTCGTGTGCGTGTGTGTGTGCGTGTGTGCGTGTGTGTGCGTGTGTGTGCGTGTGTGTGCGTGTTTGTGTGTGTGTGTGTGCGTGTGCGGGGGGTGGGTGGGTGGGTGGGAGTGGCGCTCGCTGAGCTCGGTGCAGTGGGCGTTCCGCTGCCCACCGGGGCCGAGCATGGTTTGGCGCAGCGCCGCCGAACGACGGCGGCAGCGCCAGCCCGGAGGCGAGCCGTGGCGGCTGTAGCATCCAGCGGGTGGAATGTCACAAAGTTTCGCAAGCACTCCGCGTCTGCCCTCTCTCTCTCTCTCTTTCTCTGTCTTGCTCGTGCGTTAGATCCATCTTGTTTCGTGTATTTTTCCTCTCGATTCGCTCTGCTCTCTATCATGGAATCTCTACTCTAATGCATATTTTTTCTTTCCTCTCTCTCTCTCGCTCCCTCTGTCTCTCTCTCTCTCTCTCTCTCCCTCACTCTCGGAGGGAGAGTGAGCGGGCCGATTTCAGTTTGCGGTCACTCTCCTGGGTTCCTGGTTCCGGGTTCAGGGTTCCTGGCACGGTAAGGTTCCGGGCTTCTGGAGTTATTCGAAGTCTCGGTGATCTCGGTCATGTTGAGAGAGCCGATATTAGGGAGAAGGGAAGACATTTCAGAGAGTAGTCAGTGAAACCAGTAAGCAGCGAAGGGAGGATAGATAGTATATACTAGAGAATAGAGGGCATAACGATTTTAGCCGGTAGATCTTGCAAACTGGGTATGGATTTATTGTTAGAGCGAGAGAGAGAGAGAGGAGGAGAGAGAGAGAAAGAGAGAGACACGCACACGGAGTAGGGAGAAAGAGAGAGAGAGAGATAATGGTTGTGACCACGGTCATATGTATATACAGGCAGAGGGATACATTGAGCTATGTATAGAGAGATCGGTCATGATGATAGAGTCGTTACCACACACGGGATGTTATGCAAATTATTGTAGCGCACCGTTGAGAGAGAGAGGGATATCTAGCAGACATATCTCCCATTTCATGGTATGTATCCATACATGTACAACAATATGTTGATGTATATCATACATTGTAATATAGCCATCTGTCGCTTGCTTTCTCTCTCTATCCCTCTCTCTCTCTCGCCTTACTTATCTCTTTTGCCCTCTCTCGCTCTCTCTTGCTCTGTGGCTCTTTCTCTCTCGCACTCCGTCTCGCTCCAACTCCTCTTTTACATACACATGCAAGAGTTCGGGGTTTGCCTCAAGTTATCTCTCTCTCTCTCTCCTCTGTCTCCCTCCCTCCCTACGTATACATATGCTTGATTGATGTGCAGTTGTTGTTTGTCGTTCTCCCTCTCTCTCTATCTCTTTCCCTAGTATGGGCATATGTATATACGTGTACATGTAGATACGGATCCTGTGCACATGTATGCCCTACATACATACGTGTTCTGCGCGTATCTTCTCGGAAGTGCGGTGGTCCGCCAGGATAGGCCCGGCATCGGGCACCGGGGAACCCGGCGGCCTGCCGAACTCGGCCTGACATGTTTACTTGTCTTCTTGCAGTATTTGCGAGGGCGCCCTCAATGCAAGCACTGGCGGGGGAGCGTCTATAGCAACTATGGTGTGTCTCGCGATGCCGCGTCCTGGTGGATTGCTCTGCTTCCCCCCGCCCGCTCCTTGTCCCCTCCTGTAATATTTGCTCTTACTTTCTGCGCGATAGAACTCGGGAGATGTTTCTGACACTTGTGACGGTGCACGGGATTTTATGTGATGTGTCTTGTCTCGTGTCTCTCGGCTGTCGCTTCCCGTATAGACCTGGCACGGCTCATGGATCTGCAGAATCAGGACTCTAGGGATCCAGTGTCCTCTTGGGCACAGTAGATGAGCAGCTAGCCCTGTAGCCAGTGCTTGAACTGAGGTGTCCTTTCCTAAAAATCCCGCGTGCTCGGGTGGCGCCTCCAGGGTGTGCCGCCCGGCCGCCGCTCAACGGGCGCCCCGTGGGTGCCTAATGCGCCGCTGCTGGCCTTCCGAGGTCTTCGCCCGATCGTCGCCCGCGGGCGCACCGTGGCAGGGGAACGAACCGTGACGCAAATCGACTGCATCGGAGGGAAAAAACACACAGACACAATTCATCGGCGATTCCCCCGAACATGTGGAATGTATGGTCCCGGGCTCCGGGCCCACGGCCCCCCCCCTTCCCAGATGGTATGGTCCCAGGATTCCTCGGGCCCCCCCCGCCCCAGATGGTATGTATGGTCCCAGAGACGACGACGACGACGGCGACGACGACGACGACGACGCGATAGAGCTCGGGAGATGGTTCTGACACTGGTGACGGCGCACGGGATTTTCTGTTATGTGTGTTGTCTCGTTCCTCTCGGTCGTCGCCCCCCGTACAGACCTAGCACGGCCCATGGGCCTGCAGCATCAGGACTTTGGGGGTCCCGTGCCCTTGTGGGTACAGGAGATGAGCAGCGAGCGCCCAGACAATGCCGTTTTTAATGCATGCTCCGCGCGCGGATCATGTATTAAACATGCAGGGATGTAGTATTAAAAGCAACGATGAGTTCATGCATGCATTTATTCATACATTAACCATGTATTAAAATTCTGTCTTTAAAAAATCAGCGAACGAAAAACGGTAAAACATTTTTTTCGCTGTCGGGGGCGCCTGTCCCTGGGCGGCTGGAAAGTTTATAGCCCTACTGCGCCACCGTAGGGGTATAAACTCTCCAGCCGCCCAGGGACAGGCGCCCCCGACAGCGAAAAGTTTATTGTTTACCGTTCTTCGCCCGTTGAAAAAGTCCTATGTGTTAAAAGCTGCCCTGTAGCCAGTGCTTGAACTGAGGTGTCCTTTCCTAAAAATCCCGCGTGCTCGGGTGGCGCCTCCAGGGTGTGCCGCCCGGCCGCCGCTCAACGGGCGCCCCGTGGGTGCCTAATGCGCCGCTGCTGGCCTTCCGAGGTCTTCGCCCGATCGTCGCCCGCGGGCGCACCGTGGCAGGGGAACGAACCGTGACGCAAATCGACTGCATCGGAGGGAAAAAACACACAGACACAATTCATCGGCGATTCCCCCGAACATGTGGAAAATATGGGAAGTGGGGGGGAGACAGAAACCCAGAAAATATAGGAAAATATCGGGAATCTGGTTATTTGTGTCTATTTATTTCTGTTTTGAGTCGTCGTTTGACGGCCTCGAGGCCCGGTAAGGTCGGGGGTGGACAGACCTCCTACCCTGACACGTCGATTAGTGAATTGGTCGTTTTCGGTTCGCGAGAGGGCGTCGCGGCCGTCCTTTTTGCGGGTCCATGTCCGTCGGTCTTGGTCCCAGGCCGTTTTCACTCAGGGGAGGTCTACTACAGGGAGGTTTGTCCACCGCCGACTACACGCAAGAGTGACCCTTCGCCGGCGTGACCTTTGGTGCGGGCTCGTCGGGCTCCCCCCGATCGCCGAGCGCGGTGCGATGCAAGCGGCCCGCGCCCCTGGGTCTGGTTCCCTCGCGCCCCCAGAAGATGCGCACCAAAGGTCACTCTTACCCGTGGTCACTCTTGCGTGTCGCCGAGTAAACATAACAACTCGGAGGTCCGCGCGGATTTCTCGGATCCGCGCTGTACCCCCCTTGGCGGCGCCTCCGGCGCCGCCCCTGGCGCGCTCCGCTTGCCAGGGATTGGGGTCCAGCGCCGATCCGAGAAATCCGCGAGGGGGGAGACAAAAAGGTGCTGATGCCGCTACCCCCCGGACCTCTCCTGGGGTGCGATCTGACCAGGCGTTCGAGGCGAATCCAGCGGTGGCGACGAGGGCCTCCCAGGAGGCCCACAAAAGGGGAAGACGCGGGAACGGCAGCGGCATGGGCACCATGTGGCGGCAGCATGCTGCTCGCGGTACTGCGGAGCAGTGCGCAGCCCACCAGGCGGCAGCGAGCCGCCCGGGCGGCTGCGACGGAGCGGCCTCGGGCGCGAGAGCCGAACATGCGGCAGCGCAGGCGGCGAGGGCACCCCCGGGCCCTCGGAGCAGCGTCCCAGCGCTTCGGAAGAAGACTCCGGGCAGATTCGCGGCACGTTCACGGCAGGGCGGCGAGAGCTATGCATGGCCACCGGCCCTGGCCAAGATAGGGGGCCACATGCGAACCCTACCCCTACCCCCCACGATCTCTGAGGGGGGGGTAGGGGTGGGGTTCGCATGTGGCCCCCTACAATGGCCCGTCCTGGGCCCAGGAGCTGCGCACGTACGCCCTCCTGGCCTGGCCACGGGAGGCATCTGCGGCACCACTCCCTGGGCCCCGGAGGACTGGCCTGGCCCATTCTCGAGCCCGGTCTCTAGAGGAAGGAAAACGCCATGAACATAAACTGTTGGCGCTCCACGCAGATTCAAGATCCCCGCGCGGACTGGCGACAGTTTACTCTCCACTCGTTTAAATTAGATATCAGATTGCGACCTAGTTTAGCCGAGATCTATGTTTACCGAGTCTAGTTTTACCGAGCCGGGACTCGAATACTAAACACAACGTTCTGTATGTCTGGGGTCAGGCCCGGGTCAGTCCGGGGTCACTCCAGGGTCAGTCCGAAGTCGGTCCGGAGTTAGTTAGGGGTAGGTCGGTCCGGGGTCAGTCCCGGGTCGGTCCGGGGTCAGTCCGGGGTCAGTCCGGGGTCAGTCCGGGGTCAGTGTCCGGGGTCAGTGTCCGGGGTCAGTGTCCGGGGTCAGTGTCCGGGGTCAGTCCGGGGTCAGTCCGGGGTCAGTCCGGGGTCAGTCCGGGGTCGGGGGTCAGTCAGTCCGGGGTCAGTCCGGGGTCAGTCAGTCCGGGGTCAGTCCGGGGTCCTGGGTCAGTCAGTCCGGGGTCAGGGTCAGTCCGGGGTCAGTCCGGGGTCAGTCCGGGGGTCAGTCCGGGGTCAGTCCGGGTCCGGGGTCAGTCCGGGGTCAGTCCGGGGTCAGTCCAGGGTCAGTCCGGGGTCAGGGGGTCAGTCCGGGGTCAGTCCGGGGTCAGTCCGGGGTCAGTCCGGGGTCAGTCCGGGGTCAGTCCGGGGTCAGTCCGGGGTCAGTCCGGGGTCAGTCCGGGGTCAGGGTCAGTCCGGGGTCAGTCGGGGGTCGGTCAGTCCGGGGTCGGTCCAGTCGTCCGGGGTCAGTCCGGGGTCAGTCCGGGGTCAGTCCGGGGTCAGTTCGGGGTCAGTCCGGGGTCAGTCCGGGGTCAGTCCGGGGTCAGTCCGGGGTCAGTCCGGGGTCAGTCCGGTCAGTCCGGGGCCAGTCCGGAGCCAGTCCGGGGTCAGTCCGGGGTCAGTCCGGGGTCAGTCCGGGGTCAGTCCGGGCCAAGTCCGGGGTCAGTCCGGGGTCAGTCCGGGGTCAGTCCGGGGTCAGTCCGGGGTCAGTCAGGTCCGGGGTCAGTCCGGGGTCAGTCCGGGGTCAGTCCGGGGTCAGTCCGGGGTCAGTCCGGGGTCAGTCCGGGGTCAGTCCGGGGTCAGTCCGGGGTCAGTCCGGGGTCAGTCCGGGGTCAGTCCGGGGTCAGTCCGGGGTCAGTCCGGGATCAGTCCGGGGTCAGTCCGGGGTCAGTCCGGGGTCAGTCCGGGGTCAGTGTCCGGGGTCAGTGTCCGGGGTCAGTCCGGGGTCAGTGTCCGGGGTCAGTGTCCGGGGTCAGTGTCCGGGGTCAGTGTCCGGGGTCAGTGTCCGGGGTCAGTGTCCGGGGTCAGTGTCCGGGGTCAGTCCGGGGTCAGTCCGGGGTCAGTCCGGGGTCAGTCGGGGGTCAGTCCGGGGCCAGTCTGCGCTCCGTGCGGGGTCCGTCTGGGCCGGGGTCAGTCCGGGGTTGGTCCAGGGTCGGATCCGGGGTTTGCCTGAGGTCTGTCCAGGGTCTGTCCGGGGTCAGTCCAGTCCGGGGCCAGCCTGGGTCAGTCCCGGAGTGACCTGCAGGATTGACCGTGCAGACCGACCCTTGAATGACCCGTGTGTATATGGAGCCTGGTCGGATCGAATTCAGCGCAGCCGAGCCGACCGCCACATTACGTGCACGCGTATGTGGGAGCGCCCGAATGGAAAGGAAAGCGGAGAGTATTTTAATGCATGGGAAATGAAAATGCAAGCGGGCCGATCTAGTTTTCGGAATTGCAGAAATCGGGGACCGAAACTTCCGATCTAGTTTAGCCGAGACCTAGTTTCACCGATTCTATTTTTAACGAGCGGAGTGTATGTTTATGCGTTTTTATATATACATGTTATAGACAATACACACACATACATATATATATATATATATACATCGGAGGTTGGGGGGTGAGATCGAAGTGGAACGGAGAGCCCCCCTACCGGGAAATCGATTTCGGTTTCGTGTTCGTGCGTGCCGTGCGTGCGGGCGAGGCGAAGCTGCGTGGGCGGGCGAGAGGAAAGTCTCCTGTGGCTGAGGCGCGGCCGGACCAAATGATTCTCCACCGGGGCGCGGGGCCGCGCGGTGTCCCGCGGGTGTCCCGGTGGTGTCCTCTGTGGCTGAGGCGCGGCCGCACCAAATGATTCTCCACCAGGGCGCGGGGCCGCGCGGTGTCCCGCCGGTGTCCCGGTGGTGTCCCGTCGGTGGCCCGTCGGTGTCCCGATGATGATGTTGATGATGATTATGATGATGATGATGGTGATGATGATGATGGTGATGATGATGTTGATGATGGCGATGATAAAAATGATGATGATGATGATGATGATGATGATGATGATGATGAATGTGATGATGATGATGATGATGATGATGATGATGATGATGATGATGATGATGATGATGATGATGTGGTGGTGGTGGTGGTGGTGGTGGTGGTGATGGTGATGATGATGATGATGACGATGACGATGATGATGTTGATGTTGATGATGATGATGATGATGATGATGATGATGATGATGATGATGATGATGACGACGACGACGTCGATTGTGAGATCGATTGTGATCGGAGGTTGGGGGGTGAGATCGAAGTGGAACGGAGAGCCCCCCTACCGGGAAATCGATTTCGGTTTCGTGTTCGTGCGTGCTGTGCGTGCGGGCGAGGCCCGTGCACCCACCAGTACAGGCTAGGCTTTGCCAGCCGCTCTCTCCGAGCGCGCCCCGTTCCTTCGGGCGGCCGCGCGGGCTCGCTGCCGCGGCTGGAAGGACGCCGCCGCCGTCGCTGTCGCAGCAGTTCTCATCAATTGCATTTGCACCATGTGCAACCCGACAAAGGAGAGGAGCCTCAGCAGGCCTCCGAGAAACAAATCTCCACTGGCATCGTCAGGAGAACAATCACCACTGTTGCCGATTGCTCGGCCCCTCCACCCCCCCCAACCTCCTTATCACCCGCAGGGTGGTCGTATAGGTATATAGATATATAGTTATGTATATAGCGTTCATAACACAGCGGATCGTTCAAGGAATCGTGCATCATGTTGTTTCGGTGGCAAAGGAAGTGCCCAGCGAGGGCGTTGTTTTCAAGAGTACCCCTCCGTCATCCAAGCATGCGCTGAACATGTGCACGTGTGAGAAATCAACGTCCTCCACAGGTGTAGCCGTCACAGACTTGTAAACCGTAGGTCGCAACATCGGGCGACACCGTATTGTGAAAATGATTGTCGGGCGGCTGGGGTTCTTTTGAAGCGAATGTGCGCGGTTCTGGGCGCGATATTTTCAGGGATGCACCCCCCGTCTGTGCAACTGCGAGGAAGACTCGTGTGGGACACCTCTGCCGCCCTTTACGACACTTGTTTTCTGCTTGCTTATGGGGGACAGGGATGGCACAGAAGGGGACGGACGCCCTTCTCTTTTTCAGGAGGGGAAAAAACACACAGACACAATTAATCCTCGATTCCCCAGAAAATATGGAAAATATGGGAAGTGGGGAGGAAGATAGAAACCCAGAAAAGATGGGAAAATATGGGGAATCATTTTATTTGTGTGTATCTATTTGTGTGTCCTGGGGCCCCTTCACTTGTTTCTTCCTCCTGGTATCCCGCTGGTGTTGCGCAGCCCTTGCGCGCCGATCTGAGAGGCATCGTCACGGCCCCTTCTCGGAGTCGCGGGGGACCCCGTGGGTCTCGCGGACACCGCGAGGGCGCCCTTCTCCTCCCCCTCCCCCCACCTCCTGGAGCCTTCTCCTGCTCCCCCCTTCCTGGACCCTCCTCCTGCTCTCCCCTTCCTCCTCATGCTGCTCCCGCCCTCCCCTTCCCTCCTCCTGCTCTCCGTTTCCTTCTCCTGCCCCTCCCCCTCCTTCCCCTTGCTCCTGCCTCCTCCTCCCCCCCCTCGGGCGTGCTGCCGGGATCCAGGGTTTCTTCCTGGACGTCGCCGTGCAGCGCGCGCGCGCGCGCGCCCTGGCAGGGAGCAGCCTCGTGCCCTGCCCGGGCGCAGCGGCCCGCAGGGACCCGGCTCCGCCCCGCGGGGCCCGCACGGCTGCCCGCCAGGAGTGCCTCGGGCCCTCTGCCGTACCTCGGGGGGGGTCGACGCAAGCGGAAGGCGGGGGGAAGGTCCAGAAGTCGTAGAAGAAATAGTCTGGGGCTTAGTGGGCCCTGGAAACGGCAGGGCCGTTTTTTTACCGGTTCCGTTCTGCCGTTTTTTTGCCGGTTCCAACGCCGTTTGTTTACCGGTTCCGTCGCCGGTTTTTGACCGGTTCCGGCTCCGGTTCCAATCCTGGAGCCGTTTTTTGCCGTTTCCGGTCGCAGTTTTTTTTGCCGTTTCCATTTTCAAGGGGCATTTTTTGGAAACGGTGGAAAAACGGCCCTGCCGTTTCCGGGGCCCACAAAGGTTTGGGGACGATGTTTCTGTGATGTGTGGCTACTTTTTGGAGTACTGTTCTTCGTTGTGGCTATTACTTGTTTAAGTTGTTCTGTTATTTGGAGTACTTTTTGGAGTACTTTTTGGAGTACTTTTTGGAGTATTGTTATTTGTGGCTATTAGTTGTTTAAATTGTTCTTCCAAGACCCGCCTGTCGGAGGACACGCCCGATCGAAACCCAAACGGCGTTTCTGGGCGAGTTCGTGGACCGTTTTCGTGTCGGCGTTTTTTTTGTTGCAGCACGGGCGGGTTGAAGACAAAACGAGGGACAGCGAAAACAGCACGAAAATGAGCAATACTGTTTAGGTTGATCCCTGTTGTACCTCTCTCCGTCGTCTCCTATTGTCCCTCCTCCCTCTCTCTGCGAGTCTCTTCGCTTGCCGTGCAAGGCCTCTGCTGCCGTGCGCGTGGCGACTGCCGTGCTCGGTGGTGTCGTACACACGCCTGCACGGTGCTCTCTGGAGCCTCCCCGTTGTCTTGCCGTTGCCAGAGCAGGCCCGTCTGCCGATCAGGTCCACCACATCTACATGATCGACTTTGGCCTCGCCAAGAGGTACTATACCGATGGTCAGCACATCAAGTACAGGAACCAGGTGAGCTTCACGGGCACGGCCCGGTACGCATCCATCAACGCTCACAAGGGTATCCAGCAGACCCGGCGCGACGATCTCGAGGCTCTGGGGCGCGAGTGGTCGGGGCACCGGGCCAGGAGGGGGCGGAGGGGATCGGAGGGGAAGAGCAAGGCTCTCTTCCTCCTCCCCCTCCTCCTCCTCCCCGTCCCCCTCCCCCTCCTGCTCCTGCTCCTCCTCCTCCTCCACCTCCTCCTCCCCCTCCTCCTTCTCCTCCTCCTCCTCCTCCTCGCAGCTGGCACGTTCGGCGTACACAGGGGGAGCGCAAAAAATCCTCCTCTCCCTCTTCCTCCTCCTCTCCAGGCTGGCCTCAGCCGGCCACCAGGGTGGTTTGGGGCGGCAGCATCATCACCCCGCGTCGCCTGCGGGGCATCACAACACACCACCCTGGCGGCCTACTGAGGCCGGCCTGGGCTGTCTCTCCAGAGGCCTCCGGGGGCTGTCTGGTGCAGAGTCGCAGGCTTAAACTTAGGTCGGGCCTGTCCCCCTACAGGGGGATCTTCGACGGAAAAAAAGAACCAAAATATTCCAAAAAGGTCAAAACTATTCAAAAAATAGGCCCCAGACTATTTTTGTACAAATTTTGGATTATTGTTGGGGTATTTTTTATTTTTCGTCGAAAACCCCTCTGTATGGGGGACAGGCCCGACTTCAATCCAGGGGTCTCTGGGGGGCTGTCTGGTGCAGCGTCGCCGAGACAGGCGCACACCTCAGGTTTCTCGCCTCGACTCCGATGGCGCCGAGGCGCGTCGGCCCGACTCTGGAGCCCAGCAGAGCGCAAGCCTGGATCACGGTACGCGCCAGCGTCCCACATGTTGGGCAGTTGGGGCTTCTATACGCCGAGCTCCTTGGCCTGGCAGACGGCGTGGTGTATACTGGAGTCGGACCTGTCCCTCTACAGGGGTAATACCCAACAACAGTCAAACAGTAGTCTGGTATCCATGTTTTGACTAATTTTGAGCATGTTTGATTCTTTTTCGACTACGTTACCTAACAGCGAAGACTGATAGGTTTCTAGTGGTCTCAAAAGAGCTCACAGATCACTCCACAGGGGGGTCCGGGCAGGTGTTGGGGCGTTTCCGGGCGGCATGAGCCGGGCTCGTTTTTCACCAACAGTCACACACTTCGTGCTCTTCGCCTTCCCAGAACTCCATTCCCAGGCCACATTCTGGGGGGCCGGATGCAACAGTCACACACAAAGTGCTCTTCGACATCCCAGAACGCCATTCCCGGGCCACATTCTGGGGGGCCGGATGCAACAGTCACACACTTCGTGCTCTTCGAGTTCCCAGAACGCCATTCCCGGGCCACATTTTGGATGCCCGGAGCCAACTGTAGGCCACTTCGTGCTCTTCTATTTCCCAGAACTCCATTCCCGGGCCACATTTTGAATGCCCGGAGCCAACTGTAGGCCACTTCGTGCTCTTCGAGTTCCCAGAACTCCATTCCCGGGCCACATTTTGAATGCCCGTAGCCAACTGTAGGCAACTTCGTGCTCTTCGACTTCCCAGAACTCCCATTCCTGGGCCACATTTTCAGCAGGGGCAAGAGCACGACGAGGAGGAGGACGAGCAAGACCAGGAGGACGAGGACGAGCAGGAGCAGGACGAGGAGCAGGAGGAGCAGGAGAAGAAGGACGAGCAGGAGGAGGAGGAGGACGAGCAGGAGGAGGAGGACGACCAGGAGGAGGAGGACGACCAGGAAGAGGAGGAGGAGGAGGAGGAGGGGAGGGGGAGGAGTACCAGGAGGAGGAGGAGGAGGAGGAGGAGGAGGAGGAGGAGGAGGACGAGGACGAGGAGGAGGAGGAGGAGGGGGGGGGAGAGTACCAGGAGGAGGAGAACGAGGACCACCAGGAGGAGGAGGAGGAGGAGGAGGAGGAGGAGGAGAGAACACCAGGAGGAGGAGGACGAGCAAGACGAGGAGGACGAGAACGAGGACGACCAGGAAGAGGAGGAGGAGGAGGAGGAGGAGGGGAGGGGGAGGACTACCAGGAGGAGGAGGAGGAGGAGGAGGAGGAGGAAGAGGAGGAGGAGGACGAGGAGGAGGAGGAGGAGGAGGAGGACGAGGAGGAGGAGGGGGGGGGAGAGCACCAGGAGGAGGAGAACGAGGACCACCAGGAGGAGGAGGAGGAGGAGGAGGAGGAGGAGGAGGAGGAGAGAGCACCAGGAGGAGGAGGACGAGCAAGACGAGGAGGACGAGAACGAGGACGAGCAGGAGGAGGAGGAGGAGGAGGAGGAGGAGGAGGAGGAGCAGGAGAAAGGAGGAGGAGGAGGAGGAGGCAGGCTGAGGCTGAGGCTGTGACTGCGACTGCCGTTGCCGCTGCGACTGTCATCGCGAATGCGACTACGACTGCGAGAACAGCAGAATTCGACAACTGGATTTTCATTACCTAACAGCGAAGACTGATAGGTTTCTAGTGGGATCAAAAGAGAGCAGCAGATCACTCCACAGGGGGGTCCGGGCAGGTGTTGGGAGTTGCCGGGCGGCAGGGTGCCGGGCTCGTTTTTCACCAACAGTCACACACTTCGTGCTCTTCGCCTTCCCAGAACTCCACTCCCAGGCCACATTCTGAATACCCGGATGCAACAGTCACACACTTCGTGCTCTTTGACATCCCAGAACGCCATTCCCGGGCCACATTCTGGAGGGCCGGATGCAACAGTCACACACTTCGTGCTCTTCGAGTTCCCAGAACTCCATTCCCGGGCCACATTTTGGATGCCCGGAGCCAACTGTAGGCCACTTCGTGCTCTTCGAGTTCCCAGAACTCCATTCCCGGGCCACATTTTGAATGCCCGGAGCCAACTGTAGGCCACTTCGTGCTCTTCGAGTTCCCAGAACTCCATTCCCGGGCCACATTTTGAATGCCCGGAGCCAACTGTAGGCACTTCGTGTCTTCGAGTTCCCAGAACTCCACACATTTTGAATGCCCGGAGCCAACAGGCCACTTCGTGCTCTTCGACTTCCCAGAACTCCCATTCCTGGGCCACATTTTCAGCAGGGGCAAGAGCACGACGAGGAGGAGGACGAGCAAGACCAGGAGGACGAGGACGAGCAGGAGCAGGACGAGGAGCAGGAGGAGCAGGAGAAGAAGGACGAGCAGGAGGAGGAGGAGGACGAGCAGGAGGAGGAGGACGACCAGGAGGAGGAGGACGACCAGGAGGAGGAGGAGGAGGAGGAGGAGGGGAGGGGGAGGAGTACCAGGAGGAGGAGGAGGAGGAGGAGGAGGAGGAGGAAGAGGAGGAGGAGGAGGAGGAGGACGAGGACGAGGAGGAGGAGGAGGAGGGGGGGGGAGAGTACCAGGAGGAGGAGAACGAGGACCACCAGGAGGAGGAGGAGGAGGAGGAGGAGGAGGAGGAGGAGGAGAGAGGAGAGAACACCAGGAGGAGGAGGACGAGCAAGACGAGGAGGACGAGAACGAGGACGACCAGGAAGAGGAGGAGGAGGAGGAGGAGGAGGGAGGGGGAGGACTACCAGGAGGAGGAGGAGGAGGAGGAGGAAGAGGAGGAGGAGGACGAGGAGGAGGAGGAGGAGACGAGGAGGAGGAGGGGGGGGGGAAAGCACCAGGAGGAGGAGAACGAGGACCAAGGAGGAGGAGGAGGAGGAGGAGGAGGAGGAGGAGGAGGAGGAGAGAGCCAGGAGGAGGAGGACGAGCAAGACGAGGAGGACGAGAACGAGGACGAGCAGGAGGAAGAGGAGGAGGAGGAGGAGGAGGAGGAGGAGGAGCAGGAGAAAGAGGAGGAGGAGGCAGGCTGAGGCTGAGGCTGTGACTGCGACTGCCGTTGCCGCTGCGACTGTCATCGCGAATGCGACTACGACTGCGAGAACAGCAGAATTCGACAACTGGATTTTCATCTGAATCTTAAGGGGAATGCTTTCAGATATGCTTCTACACATCGCTGTTAGGTTGCTTTGCCGGGATAATTTGTTTTTTTGTCCAAAGTCCGCCTGTAGGAGGACGTGCCCGACTTGAGTGCATACGTCGAGCCCCTTCCAGCAGCGCCCTCGCTGGGCGAAAAGGTTCCCGAAGGGGCCCCCGACGGGGCAGCGAGGATGCGGTCGAGCCGTGGTCGGCGCCGCGGCCGCGGCCAGTGCTCTTCTGTGTGCTGGGCGGCTCGTCGGCCAAGCTGTCATGGGCCTTGAGGAGGATGCGGAGGAGGAGGAGGAGGAGGAGGAGGAGGAGGAGGAGAAAGAGGCAGAGGAGGAGGATGAGGAGGAGGAAAAGGAGAAGGATGAGGAGGAGAAGGGGGAGGTCGGCCGTTGGACGTCAACGAGGCAAGAGGCCTCATCCCCACGGTGCGGCACAAGATGCTGCGCCAGAACTTCGACGACCGCCCCTCCCTTTGGCCACGCTGCAGGAGGGGGAGGATGAGGAGTATGAGTTGAGGAGGATGACAAGGGCAGGATGAGATGAAGAGGATGAGGAGAGGAGGGGGAGGCTGAGTATGGGGATGAGGAAGAGGATGCGATCTGATGATTACGATGGTGTTGCTGATGATTATGGTGATGAAGATGATGATGATGATGATGATGATGATGATGATGATGATGATGATGCTGATGATGATGATGATGATGATGATGCTGATGATGATGATGCTGATGTTGATGTCGACAGTAAGTATGAGGATGGTGATGGTGATGATGATGATGTTGATGATGCGAATGATGATGGTGATGCTGATGAGGATTATGATTGTGATGGGGATGCTGATGATGATGCTGATGCTTATGATGATGATGGTGATGATGATGATGATGATGATGCTGATGATGATGATGATGATGATGACGATGATAGGGATATTCTTCTTGTTAGTGAATATGATGATGCTGGTGATGGTGGTGGTAGCGATGATGATGGTGCGGATAATGATGCTGATGATGCTGATGATGATGCTGATGATGACTATATAAATGCCGACGTTGATGGTGATGTTGATGTTGTTGATGACGGTACTGACGAGCATGCTGATGCGACTGGTGATTGGTGGTGATGATGCTGATTATGATGATGATGACGATACTGCTGCTGCTGATGATGATGATGATGCTGCTGATGATGATGCTGATGATGATGCTGATGATGATGATGATGATGATGATGATGATGATGATGATGATGATGATGATGATGTGGAGAAAGAGGAGGAGGACTAGGGACTAGGAGGAGGAGGAGGAGGAGCGTAGTGTGGATTCATGGAGGGTGAGGAGCCGAGGGGGCTATCTCTGCCCCCCCCCCTTCGGCAGGCGATCGGGCACATGCTGCTCTACTTCCTGAGGGGCTCCCTGCCGTGGTCGGGCATGAGCGGCAAGACGGAGGAGCCGGGGAGCCGCGCGAGCTTGGTGGGACGGGGAGGACGGGGGCAGTGAGACGGAAGGACACCCGGATGATGAGGGCCGACGGTGGTGATGCTAGTGGTGGTGACAACCAGTACGGGGATGATGATGATGCTGCTGATGATGATGATGATGATGATGATGATGATGATGATGATGATGATGATGATGACGAGGATGAGGATGAGGAGGAGGAGGAGGAGGAGGAGGAGATGGAGGAGGAGGAGGAGGAGGAGGAGGAGGAGGAGGCCAGAGGGCCGTCCGTGAGCCCGAGTCGTGCCTGTAGTCGTGCCGACGTCGCCCCCGCCGCCTTGCAGAAAGCGTGGCACACCCTTCACCGTGCCTTCCCGATATTCTTGGCCACTGGTGCCAAGGGGGCTACATGTGCCGTGTGTGGTGTGAGCGGCGTCACTCTCTCTCTCTCTCTCTGCCAGCTTTGGCCTTCAGTGCGCACAGCGCTTCTCAGTCTGAGGTGCGCGCGTGCGCTCAAAAAAAACTTGGTCGAGGGAAGATCATAGCAGGGGAAACTTGGGATTCCGTTGGCGGAGCCCTGGCGTCCTGGGGACGTCTGGCCTGGCCCGCAGGCCTGGAGAAAGTTGTTGGGGACGGGGCCCTGTCGCTGGCCCTCACCTGGGTGGATCGCAGCCCAGGCGAGGTGACAAACATGTCTCGCTCCGATGCCCCCCCCTCGTTTATGTTCAGGATCGAGGGGCCTCTCTCCCCTTCCCCCCTTCTTCCTTCTTGATGATCGCGCAGGAGGAAGAGGAGGAGGAGGACGAGGACGAGGATAAGGAGGGGAATGAGGATGAGGAAGGGGAGAGGGCGAAGGAAGAGGAGGAGGAGGAGGAGGAGGAGGAGGACGAGGAGGAGGAGGAGGAGGAGGGGGAGGAGGAGGAGCAGCGGGAGGAGGAGGAGGAGCAGGAGGAACGGGAGGAGGAGGAGGAGGAGGAGGAGGAGAAGAGTAGAATCGACACTTCTGACACTGACTGTGCACCTCGGGGCACAGGAGCAGCTCACCCCACATGCCTCACGACCCTTCTCCAATGCACTTCCTGGAGTAAGTGTAGCTCGATGCAGATCGATGGAGAACTCCATGCGACCCTGGGTAGCGCCGGGTGCATCCACATATGCTCAGGCGAGGTGCGCACGGGTCGAGGACGCTCCGAGGAGCGAGCCGAGGAGCCGCGGAGCCCTCGGCGATGTCCGCTACGAGCGCTGTTCAGCCAGGAGCCGTGCCTGGGCGCCCGAGCGAGGGCAGGTCCCAGGCCTTGCTAAGCGGACACAGGGGGAGCCCATGTTGATGGGCCTGTCTTCCACCACCACCACCATAAGTTGGAGGGGGAAGGAGGAGGAGGAGGAGGAGGAGGAGGAGGAGGAGGACGGAGAGAAGGAGGAGGAGGAGGAGCAGGAGGAGGAAAAAGAAGAAGGAGAAGAAGAAGGAGGAGGAGGAGGAGGAGGACCTCCTCCCCCTCCTACTTCTGGTGGTGGCGGCACGGCTCTGCTGCGCGCCGGTCCTCGTGCGCCATGGCGGACCGGCCGGCCGCTCCCGCGCAGACGTGGTCCGGTGTGCCTCGGGGTGCGGGAGCGGTCGAGGCTCCTCTCAGGAGGGAAACAAAACACAGACACAATTAATCGTCGATCCCCAGGAAAATATGGGAAAATATGGGAAGTGGGGGGGAAGACAGAAACCCAGAAAATATACGAAAATATGGGGAATCCTTTTATTTGTGTGTATTTACTTGCGTGTCCTGGGGCCCCTTCATCCTCTGGCCCGGCCCTGGCGCTCTGTCGGCGTGCTGCGGGCGCTGGCGCCTCGGAGGGAGGCCAGCCTCGCTGAGCTCCTGCCCCTCCCCCCTCCTCCGCAGTTCCGCACTTCCTGCGGGCAACACTTACATCCATATCCAGAGCGTCGTGGACTTGTTGGGAAGGGGTGCCGCAAGGCCGAGCCACACGGGATATGGGAAAAAACAACAACTCCTGGGGAACAAACTCATCCATGTCCAGTGCGCCTCCGGTTTCTGGGGGAGAGAGCCCAGAGCTCCAAAACGCACTGGATGTGGATATAACTATTGCCCGCACTTCCGTCTCCCCGTGTACCATGCTTCTCCTTCTCCCTGTCTCGAGGCAGGCGCCCTGCCAGCGGAGGTTCCAGGGTGCGCATGGGAAGAGGCCGGCCCCCCCTATTTTCGGGCATGCGCTGCCTGTCGTAGTGCCTGAGAGCGCCCTTGCTCCAGGATGGCATGCATAGGAGGCCACATGCGACCCCTACCCCTACCCCTACCCCCCAACGTTACCCTTCCCTCGTTTTCCCCCCCTTTGGGCTTCCCGGGTGGCCCTCTTCGCCACCGCTGGATTCGCCTCGAAGTCCTTGTCAGAACGCACCCCGGGAGAGGTCCAGGGAGCGGCGGTACAGTCAAAAACCCTCATAAGGACGCGCGATTTTGCTCAGGGTGCCCTTGCGTCCTTGCTCTTCCTTGCTCTTGCGTCCTTGAAGTTTTCGTCATCCGCCGCCCCAAAAATCCCAACTTCGGCTTCCAAGGGTCTTGCGTCCTTACCGTGCGTCCTTATTGGGTTTTTTGACTGTAATTGTCGGTGCCTTCTGGTTCCCCGAGTGTCAGCCCCCGCGGCAGGAGAAGTACCGGAAGATCTGCGCAAAGAAGGCGACGATTCCCCTGGACGAGCTGTGCGCAGGCAGCGTCGGCCAACGGAGCGGGAAGGAGGCGGTGCACTTGTAGTAGGTGCAACTGCCTCTGCATCTGCACTCATCTCAATCGCCGCCGCATGGGCTCACGCAAACCATGCTGCGGGTGGGTGGGTGGGATGATTGCGCCAGCAGTGGAGTTGACAATTCACTGCGAACAGAAGTCAATTTTCCTTTCTCTGAAAACAAGATCGGTTTACCAACCTCCCCCCCCCGGGGTTGAAGACCCCCCGGGAACCGATGCAAAACACATCCCCGCCATCATTCTTGCAAGAAATACTATGCGCGCGCACTCGTTCATCCAAAAACCCTAAGTTTGCAATAACCCCTTGCATAACAAATGACCAAGTGCACGCGCGCGTCGTCGCGCGTGCATGCCGAAATCCTTCGAAAACCTGTGCTTTCGGATGGTTGTCAAAGTCGAGTTGCCAAAAAACATACAACAACACAGGGTTTCGTAACACGGGTTTTCTAAAAAAGCTTACGCGCGCGCGCGTTTGCGAAATCTTGCGAAATCCGTGGTTCTTCAATGTTTTAAACACGTGCTACCAAAAGGGCTTCGCGTGCGCATGTCGAAATCGTTCGAACGCCCTTGCGCGCGTGCCGTCGCGATAATCCTCTGCAACAAATGGGACGGAGTGCACGCGCGCGCGCCCTCGCGCGCGCATGCCGAAATCTTTTAAAAACTTTCGGTTTCGGAAGGATTTCAAAATCGAGCGTTCAAAACACATACAAAAACACATGGATTCGCAACACGGGTTTTCAACAAAAGCGTGCGCACGCGCTCTTGCGTAGTCGTCGTGGTCGTCGCCGTCCCTCCTCCCTCGTCGTCGTTGTCGTCGCCGTCGTCGTCCTGTCTTTCCTCGTCCTCGTCGTCGTCGTCCTCTTTGGCGTCGTCGTCTTTTCCGTCATCGTTGTCGCCGTGGTCGTCCTTCCTCCTCCCTCGTCGTCGTCGTCGTCCGTCGTCAGCGTCTTGTCGTCGTCCCTCCTATTTCGTCGCCGTCGTCTTCGTCGTCGTCGTCTTTCCTTCTCCCTCGTCGTTGTCGTCGTCGGCGTCGCCGTCCTCCCTTCTCGTCGTTGTCGTCGTTGTCGCCGTCGTCGTTCTCCCTCCTCCCTCGTCGTCGTCGTCTTCGTTCGCGTCGTCGTCGTCGTCGTCGGCGTCGTCGTCGGTATCGTCGTCGGCGTCGTCGTCGTCGTCGTCGTCGGCGTCGGCGTCGTCGTCGTCGGCGTTATCATCGTCGTCGTCGTCGTCGTCGGCGACGGCGTCGTCGTCGTCGTCGCCGCCGTCGTCGTCGGTGTCGTCGTCGTCGACGTTGTCGTGGTCGTCGAAGTCGTTGGAAACGCCGTCGGTGCAGTCGTCGTCGTCGTCGTCGTCGTTGTCGGCGTCGTCGAAGTCGTTGGAGACGTCGTCGGTGTCGTCGTAGTCGTTGTCGGCGGCGTCGTCTTCGTCGTCGCTATCGCTGCCGTCGTCGGCGTCGGTGTCGTTGCCAACTGCCATGTGGTACCTACCGTCACGGTCTTAAGAGGTCTTGCGACCACGTTGCGGGTGGGAGGGTGAGATTTTTGTACGAGCAGTGGATAGGACAGTTTCAAGTTGAGCAAGTGATTGATTCTCCTAAAGAAGAATGGACTCTACCCCCCCGGGGTTAACGGGCCACTTTTTCGTATTGCAATGTACATATGAGTCTGCCCCATCGTCCATCCCACCTGTGAATTCATACCATCCCAGCCAAACCAGTATCGCCCCCCCGCCATCCTCTGCAACAAATCATTAGATTTCACGAATCCCTGCCAAAAAATGAGACCAAGTGCACACGCGCGCGTCGTCGCGCGCGCATGCTGAAATCCTCCAGAAATCTTCGATTTCGAAAGGGTTCCAAAATCGAGTTCCCAAAACACATACAACAACACAATATTTCTTTACACTGATTTTCTAAAAAAAACTTACGCGCGCGTTCTCGCGAAATCTTAAGAAAACCAATGGTTTTTCAAGGTTTTCAAGACATGCTACCAAATGGGCTTCGCGCGCGCGCATGTCGCAACACGTCGTCGTCGTCGTCGTCGTCGTCGTCGTCGCCGTCCTCTCTCCTCCCTCGTCGTCGTCGTCGTCTTCGTGGCCGTCGTCGTCATCTGTCTTTTCTCGTCGTCGTCGTCGTCTTGGCGTCGTCGTCGGTTCCGTCGTCGTTGTCGCCGTGGTCGTCCTTCCTCCCTTGTCGTCTTCGTCGGCGTTCCGTCGTTGTCCCTCCTATTTCGCCGTCGTCGTCGTCGTCGTCGTGTTCCCTCCTCCCTCGTCGTTGTCCTCGTCGGCGTCGTCGTCCTCCCTCCTTCTTCGTCGTTCGCGTCGTCGCCGTCCTCCCTCCTCCCTCGTCGTTGTCGTCGTTGCCGCCGTGGTCGTCCTCCCTCCTCCCTCGTCGTCGTCGTCTTCATTGGCGAAGTCGTCGTTGTCGTCGTCTTCGTCGTCGTCGTCGGCGTCGTCGTCGGCGTCATTGTCGTTGTCATCGTTGTCGTCGTCGTCGTCGGCGTCGGCGTCGTCGTCGTCGTCGGTGTCGTCGTCGGTGTCGTCGTCGTCGTCGTCGTCGTTGTCGGCGTCGTCGAAGTCGTTGGAGACGTCGTCGGTGTCGTCGTCGTCGGCGTCGTCTTCGTCGTCGTTGTCGCTGTCGTCGTCGGCGTCGGTGTCGCTGCCAAGTGCACGGCCTTAAGAGGTTTGCAAACCAAGTTGCGGGTGGGTGGGTGTGATGTTTGCGCGAGCAGTGGAGTGGACAACTCATTGCGAACAGAAATTAATTGCACCACACAGAGGGCACACTGCTTGCACAACTTATATTGAGCTGCGTAGTTTGCGCTATGTGGATTGCACAACATGTGCTGCACCACAGAATTTGCACATCATACATTGCACCACGCGGATTGCATCAATTAGGCTGCACAGCATATATTGGACAACGTAGATCGCACCGCACATCTGGATATGTGTATATATTCATTTATACGTATATAATGTACAGACTGCGCCTGTCAGATGGCACCACATAGCTTGCACAGCATACATTGAACCGCTTATATTGCACACCATATCTTGTATCACATAGAAGGCGCAGCATACATGGTACCACACAATTTGCACAACGTAAATTGCACAACATAGGTTGCTGGAAACACAGCGCTTGGAGTCCACGATGGCTAACCTTCGAAAATGTAGCGTAACCCAGGGGACCTTGGGAGAGGGAGGCGCTGAATGCAAGTAGACGCGGCTGGAGGGAGCGGTCCCGTATCAGAACTGACAAACCTTGACAGGTAGCCCTTGGCATTCTTCCACGCCTCGACGTGCACGAGGCACGGTGGCGGATAAAACTATACGTATCACTTTTCAGTTGCGGACAAGAAGGAAGGCGGCGTGCGCAGGGTGCGTCGCTGGTGGGTCGCAGGTGGGTCGCGGAGTGGGTCGCGGGTGGGTCGCGGGGATTCGCGGGCGAGGGCGACGACGACGACAACAACAACGACAATAAGGCAACAACAATGCGCTCCGCGGAACGCCACTTCAGCCACGCGCCCAGGGACAGTGAATGACCGTTCGTCCTCGTCGTTCTGATAAATGAAAGAGCGCGTTCTGTGGTCGCTTGGAAGGGGGGGGGGTTGGAACCGGACCCCCCCCCTGGATGGAGGGGGGGGGGTTCGAACCCCCCCCCCTGCCCTGACGGAGAGGGGGGGGGGGGTTCAATCCCCTCCCCCCTCCCCCCTCCCCTCCCCCCTCACCCCCTGCTTCCCCTCTCCTCGGGCCGGCGCTTGCGTCGGCGGCGGCTGGCGACGGCGGCGGGGACGACGATTTCCATTTCTGAGCCGGCGCCGGCCGGCGCCTGCGGCGACGGGCGCCCGTGGCGGGGAGCGTCGACGGGACGACGGCGGTGGCGGGCGGCGGCGGCGGTGGCGGGGAGCGTCGACGGGGAGCGGGCGGGGCGGCGGGGTGCGGCGGGTGGTGGTGGTGGGTTGTGGCGGTGGAGGTGGTGGCGGTGGTGGTGGTTGTGATGGTGGTGGTGTGGTGCTTTGTTGTGGTGGTGGTGGTTGTGGCGGTGTGTGGTGATGGTGTTGGCGGTTTGGTGGTAGTGTGGTGGTGGTTTGTGATGGTGGTGGTGGTGGGTTATGGTGGTGGTGGTTTGGTGGTGGTTTGGTGGTGGTGTGGTGGTTGTTTGTGGTGGTGGTGGTGGTGGTGGATTGTGGTTGTGGCGGTGGTTTGTGGAGGTGGTGCTGGTGGTGGTGGTGGCGGTGGTGGTTGTGGTGGTGTGGTGGTTTGTGGTTGTGGTGGTGGGTTGTGCTGCTGGTAGTGGTGGTGGTGGTTGTGGTGGTGGTGGTGGTGGTGTGGTAGATCGTGGTAGTGGTGGTGGGTTTTTGTGGTGGTGGTGGCGGTGGTGATGGTGAGTGTGGTGGTGCTGGTTGTGGTGGTGGTGCTGTGGTAGTTTGTGGTGGTGGTGGTGGTGGTGTGGGTTGTGGTGGTGGCGGTGGTTTGTGGACGTTTGTTGTGGTGGTGGTGGTGGCGGTGGTGATGGTGGTGGTGGTGTGGTGGTTTGTGGTGGTGGCGGTGGGTTGTGCTGCTGCTAGTGGTTGCGGCGGTGTCGGTGGTGGTGTGGTAGAGTGTGGTGGTGGTGATAGTGGTGGTTGGGTTTTTGGTGGTGGTGGTGGTGGTGATGGTGAGTTGTGGTGGTGGTTGTGGTGGTGGTGGTGGTGGCTGTGGTGGTGGTGGTGGTGGTTGTGTGGTTCTGTTGGTGGTGGCTGTGGTGGTGGTGGTGGTGGTGGTGTGGTTCTGTTGTTGTTGGTGGTGGTGGTGGGTTGAGGCGGTGGTGTTGGTGGTAGTGGTGGTGAAGGGGTGGTGGTGGTAATCGTCGCTGCGTCCCCGCCGTCGCCGGCGCCAGCGTCGGCGCTGCGGGCCGCCGCCAGCGCCGGCGCCGGCGCGAGGGGGGGGGGTTTAAAACCCCCCCCCCCCACCCGTGGGCTGCCTCTGGTCATCGTCGCTGCGTCCCGGCCGTGGGCGCTGCTGGCGGCCGCCATCGTCGGCGCCGGCGCCGGCGTCGGGGAGGGGGGGGTTCGGGAAAGGGGGGGGTTTGGGGGAGAGGGGAGTCCCCCTGGTTTTGATCGACGGCGCCGAGTGTTGGTGGGGGGTCCACCCCCCGATTCGAAACGCGCCGCCGAATGTTCCCAAGGGAAGCGCCCGTGAAACGCGTTCTCCCTGATAAATCTACGCATATAATGTTTATTTGTCCCGTATATCCTGATTACTTTTGGAACGCGCCGGCTCGCGCATCCACATTCCCGCTCAGACTCAGGGGTATATGCGTAGATGCGCAACCGTACTCGCACGGTGTCGTACTCAGATTCGCCCGTGCACATCACTCCAAATGGGAAGTCGCTCGCTTTCTGACCAATTGGCATTGAATTTCGGTCATCGCACTCATATCCGCCCCTGCTCAGGCAATGGAGGACGCGACGTGCATTAAATGAACAGGTGGGGAACCTTACGCTGAAGAGTTATCAGCACTCTACCCCTTGCCAGAAGAAGGTCGTCCATGCCCACGTGCCATGTGTGACGTTTTTCTTGTTTTGCACCAGCTTCCATCGCAAGGTTTGAGGACATGTTCTTCCTCTTCGTCCTCCCCCTCTTCTTCCTTTTCGATGGACGCTGTGCGTTCCCCCCTCGCCCATGGTTGCCACGTACATGTGAATGTGGCGCGAGGCTTTCCTGACGAGTTCAAGACCTACCTTCGCGACGTCCGGAAGGCTGGCGCCCCCTCCTCGTGCGCACATATCCCCCCTAGTCACCGAACGTACAGTCCAGCGATACCTTTTGCAGATTTGCCCGTGGCCTTGCCTGTGGGCAAGGTATGGTCCATCCATGTGTTGCTATTTGGACGGCCGAATGTCTTGCAGCCTTATTTGGCATCCTGGTGACAATTTGCGAGTGTGGTGCTGGCTGGCTTCAGCAGGCGCCTGGCCAAGGTAGTCAGGGATAGGTACGCTGTTATCATCTCTGCAGCCGTCGACGCGCACCTCCAAGCTTGGCCAATAAGGGAGAGACACGTGATCTGCTCCGATTCCCTTCGATTCGGCAAGCGAGCTGGAGTTGTCTCTTGCGTTGCTGTCCTAATCGTTAGGCGTGCCCGCTCTTAACTTGTGTTTGCCTGCCGTACTCATCGGGTCGAAAGGCACTGTGTGTTGACATTGCCGATTCAGATGAAAACTCGTGCTGAGCAATCTGCGCACCCAATATTTTCCATTGTTGTACGATTGATTGTGTTGTGCTCCCTACTGAGTTGATGCTGATGTGTGAACTCGTGGAACGCGTTAGCCATAGCAGGACCCAGCCCGGCGTCTGAATTGTAAGACACGTTTCTGCTCAGATATGTAATCTGTCCTTCGAGCACAAACCATGATAGTCCTACCTGGGGTCCGATTACAAGCATGCCTCCCTGGCCACCCTACGCGACACTTCAAGAGGCCATGTGCCAAGCTTTGTTCTGCGAAGTGCCGTCCTGTGGGCCTGTGGGTTCCAGCTACCGCTACTCGTATAGGAGCCCCTCACAGCAGTCATTGCGTCGCAGCTCTCGACTTACTTAGTCGATCCCCTGGTCCCCTTCGCGCTTCCCCTTTCTTCGAACTCATCGCCCCTACTTCCCACATCGCCCCTCCTCCGCACTCCTCCCCCTCCTCTTCCTACTCCTCACTCCTCCCCTCCTCCTCCTCCTCCTCCTCCTCCTCCTCCTCCTCCTCCTCCTCACTCCTCCTCCTCCTCCTCCTCCTCCTCCTCCTCCTCCTCCTCCTCCTCCTCCTAGGTCTCTTGCGTCCAAAAGAATAGGAAGCGGCATAAACCGAAGCTCTCGGAGGTCCGCTCCCCCCATCATCCCACGGCGCGCACAGCGCGCCGGGGGCTGTGCCGGAGTCGCCGCCAGGAGTATACGGGGAGCGGTTTCCGGTGCCGGCCCACGACATCAGCGCTGACCTCCGGCAATTCGGGGGCGGCAAAGGGGGGGGGTGATTTCTTGTGCGTGCACACTTATGCTGACGTGAAAAGACGCCACGCGGTACTGCAAAGAACGCCACCTGCAGGATGATCCAAGGGCCCTCTGAGCTGTGAGTATGACATCTGTTTACAGAGCGGTTTTCTTAGGAAAAAGCTCAAGGGGGGAAATTCTGTACAAAACAATCGTTTTGTACAGAATTTCCCCCCCGCCTGTTTTTCCAGCGCTGTTTGCGCGTCCTCTCGCACCACTCTAATGAACGCAATGGCATTTCAATGTAACAGCTTAGAAGTAGCTTGCATCACTTGTTTCTGCAGTCTGTACGCTTTCCTCCTCCGTACTCGTTAGGGCTCGAACTTTTCTGGGGAGAGTTGGGGTCCATGCATGGCCGCTCCTGGGCACCACCGGCAGCTGGCGCTGGTGGCTGCGCCCGGCTGGGCGGCCCTGGGCTGGCACTTCCTCGAGCAGGCGTTGCCCGGCGCGGGATCAGCGGCTGCTGCGTGGGCCGCGGGCGGGCTGAACTGCCCTGCGTGCAATATCACCTGCCCGGCTTGCCCTGCGTGCGAGCCGGCCCCTTGCTCGTGCCCGGCCTGTCCGGCGCGCGGGCCAGCGCCGCCCTGTGCGGCGTGCCCGGGGTGCGAGAAGCCCCCGCCGTGCCCGCCTTGCCCGGGGTGCCCAGAGGCGCCCCCTGCGTGGGCCTTCGCGTTGGGCCCTCTCGGCACGGTGGTCCTCCACCTTGCCGTCCGCTTCAACGAGTGCCTGCGGGACGGGTGCCGTCGCCGCGGGCGGGGGCGCGCCGAGGCGGTGGCCGGCGCGCGCGAGCAGGCCGAGGTGGTCGCCAGGGCCCGTGAGCAGGCCGAGAGGGCCCGGCAGCGGGCCGCGCTCCAGTTCAGGTCGGCGCCCGACGCGGGTCCCGCATCGACCCACTCGCTGGAGTGATGGCGGCGCCCGGAGACTACATTTTGCTGCTCTACAACGAGCCTGGGCAGCCCCTTTATCATGAGGCTTTGGTGACAGGAGTCTCGGTTGCGACGCCGACGACGATCACGATGGCGACGCCAGACGGGGACCACTACCCCCAGAGCATCGAGATCGGCGACGACGTGCTCGAGGTGAGATGGATCGGCATGCAGGGGGCGACCCCGCCAGGAGTCGATGCTCGCCACGTGTATCGGTTCCGGCAGGTGCCATCGGCACAGGTGCTGCGGCAGTACTACAGGGACGCGGCGCTGATGCTCGGCAACATCGCGCCGCCGCCGGCTTTGCAGCAGAGGCAGAGGCCAGCCCCAGGTGCGGAGTTGGCGGCGGCTCCCCGAGCCGTCCCCGCGGGAGCGGCGGCGGCGGCAGCGCCGCCAGGCCGCCTCTGGGTGTACGCCGAGGATTGCGAGGGCCATCGGCGAGGCGATGCAGTCGGGGCGCTGCCAGCCGACGCGGTGACGATGGGAGACCACGGGCTCGTGCAGCTCCAGGAGGGGACCGCCTTCATACAGATGGTCGAGCGGCGCAATCTGGAGCAGTATGTCATGGAGGACCTCCGCGTACTGCCAGTGAAGTTCGACGGCACTGGTCAACGTCGCCGCCCCTTCGCCGAGTCCGTCCAGAAGACGGCGGGAGAGGAGCCGGAGGGGGGGCTCGATTTGACCGGGCCGAGGATGTGCTTCAACCGTTTGCAGCAGCTCGCCGTGTCCAGCCAGACGCCGATCACGCAGAGCGAGCAGTGGCGGCACGCGGCTCGGATTCCGGACGGGGACCGCAGCCCGTACGAGCACGAGGCGCTCTCCCACATCATGGAGGCGATGTGCACGGTCGACCAGTCGAACGCGCCGGCGTTGAAGTCGGCGGAGCTGATCAGCCGGCGTCTCCAGCTGATCGAGGACGCGCACGCCTCTGGCGGCATCGCTGATTACAGCGCGGCGGACCACTACATGGGCTGGTCGACCAGACGGTCCGGGGCCGTCCCGGACCCAGGTCTGCGGAGCCACGTGGCCGAGCGGGTTCGCGGGGAGGCAGCCGTGGCCAAGGAGATGAGGAAGGTCAAGGAGGAGCAGCGCCTGCGCAAGCAGAACCCAAACAGGAAGAAGAACGACGACAACGGAAATGGCTAAGTCTATGGCTGGCCTCGGGGGCGGGAGAGCGCCGGCCCGTCCCGACAAGCAGGCGCTGCATCAGAATTCATTCCCGAGTCATGTGGGGGCTCGTCACGATGGGCGACGACATCGGCCTCGGGAACTTTTTCCCCTTCCACCTGTGCCAGCGGAGCCAGCTATCCGCCCGGGCACGCCTGGTTACCTTCGTCGGCGACTACTGCGACGTGCGGGAGTCCAGGAGAGGGCAAATGAAGTCCTCGAAGTTTTGCATGAGATGGCCGGCGCGGCTCCTGGGGCTTCGGCCACGGCCAGTCCGAGTCTCGCCCAGCTTACGTCTCAGAGCTCCGTCCTCCAGAGGGTGGGGCAGCTGCCATACAACGAATCCTTGTACACCAGGCACGGGGCCTTCAATGAGCTCATGCCCACTGTGATCGACTACGCGGGAGTCGATCAAGCCACTGCCGTCAGACCTTACCAACGCTCTCTGGTATCCATACCCGTAGCTGGTGCGTCCCCAGTGCCGCTCAGTGCCGCGTGCGGGAGGCCGGAGAGGACTTTGTTGGAGCGGTCGGATGAATTCATGCTGTCAGACCCAGATGACGTTGGATGGCAGATGGAGTCAGGTACGCCTCAACAGCTCTACATGGACGAGGTGCTGCGCAAAGATCGGTCAGCTTACGTTGGCTTCATCGCAGACGTCCTGGGCGCTGGGCTGGTGGACTTCTCTGTCACCCCAAAGGAGATATGTACACCGTTCTTCGTCGAGAAGAAGAACAAGAATCTTCGGCTCATCCTGGATTGCAGGTGGTCGAACTTGCACTTCCGCCCAGCGCCCAGCCTCGATATGGGGACGGGCGCGGCCTGGGCCCGCGTCGAGCGGCCCGCTGGCGACCATGACCTATACTTCGCCGGGGCCGACGTCAAGGATTATTTCCACAGCCTCGAGAACTCCGCCGAGCTCAAGGATCCCAGATGATGCGCTACCGAAAATTTTCGGTAGCGAGTTTGCATGATGGGGAGCGACCGAAAATCAAAACGAGTGGTCCAATCCCGGTATTGCAAGACGAAGTGCGCGTGATGTCGATACTGGGATTCAGATTCGGGATCTCGGTATTTCGCGACCGATTCTTCGGCATGTTCGCTCCCGAAAACCGACGACGCGAGCGTCCTCCAATCCCGGTATTTCACGACCGATTCTTGCGCCCCTCGATCGCGTGTAAATCGCGCTTCGAACACACATGCGCGTCAAACGTTTGCTTGCCAATCGCTGCAAACGTTTGCTGCGTACGTGTGCTTGTAGGTGTAAACGACTAACCCACGAACTGGACCATTAACCAAACTACACTAGATTCCGAAGTTACTTACATAAAGTACCCACTGCACTCAGCTAAGCTACTGACTACTTACTAAACTATTACTAGCAGCACTGTGCATGCACATTCTAAACTATTAACCTACGGCTGCGACTTCAATTCGGCCGCGGCTTCAATGCACAACCCGCCTTACTAACTAGCCACCACCACCCCCACCATCACAACCATCGCCATGATCATCGGCATCGGCAGACACACCAGCGTCACCATCATCTGCGTCAACATCGGTATCATCGTGGGCGCCATCGTAAGATCAGTACTGCCACCATCACCACCTGAGCCATCGCCAACACGATCACTACCACACTCACACCAGGCACAATAATGTCGTTGTAGTGGTGCACGTGCAAAGTTCAGTGATGACCGTGTGCATTCTAGTTCGCTGTGTTGGGTCTCCGACGTGCAACGTCTCGGGAGTTTTCAGGACGCCTCTTTAAGCACCCTAGGGGCCATCTCGAAGCACAGCGAGGACCCCGAAGGAACCCCCTCAGGGAGAATGTACTTGCAGGGTGTCGTTGCGCAGGGCATTGCAGGGTTGCTTAAGTGAGTTGCAATGGGTTGTATGGTTGCTTTGCAGGGTACATCAGGGTATCGCAGTGTCGTTTTGCAAGGTACCGCACGTGAAATTAGGCTTAGGTATGCCCCATATGCCACATGTGTAATCTCATCGCGCTGCCCCAAACAGTGCTTGCAACCATGCTACACAACATGCGGTACCCATCAACTACCACGACAACACAGACCACCCCCCCCCAAAAAAAAAAAACTGGCACAACTTAGACAGTATGCCCAAGCACAACCATGCTGTCCAGTCATGGACTCATAGCCTGGTGGAGTTCTTAAGCCAGAAGCCTGGGCCCCTGTGTCACAAGACTTGGCGTCTGAACCCTGAACCGCAAACCTTCACCACATATAGAGGAGGGTGGGTGGACGAGGCGGAGGAGATGGATGGGGCAGCCAATCATCCCAGACCACCGTTGCATAACAATGAGCACGCGGTTTGATATGTGCGGTTGGTTAAGGAGGGCTGGATTAGCGTTCGTTTGGGCGTGGAGGTCGTGAGCGGTATATCGAGCTCGTGTTGGTACACTGGCATGTGATCGCACTGGTAGGGTCTCGGCGGACGGCGCCGCTGGGGGCGTAGGGGCCACTGCGGACTGCGCCGTCCGCAACCATGCGGACGGCGCCGCTGGGGCCGTAGGTGGAGCTCCCTTTGGGGTCACGAAGCGTGTGAGGGGTGTGCCAAAGTAGGGCGGCGCCGCCGTGCGGACGGCGCCACTGGTGCCTTCGGTGGGGCTTCCTATGGGGCCACGGCACGTGTGAAAGGGTGTGCCAAAATGGCCGTCGATGATGGTGACGATAACGGCGATAATGGCGATGACGATGATGATGGTGATGATGTTGATGATGATGATGATGATGATGATGATGATGAAGGTGATGGCGACGGCCATGATGATGTTGATGATGCTGATGATGACGGCGGTGACGATGACGATGGTGAGCGATGGTGGTGGGTCGGTGGGGAATGCTGACGATTTTGATTGGCGGTGCTCTTCATCATTGTAGCGCTTCGCTATGCAAGTATCGTGGTCACCAGTATCAGGTTCACAATCGTATTCGTCAGCGTATCATCATCAACATCATCATCATCAGCAGCAACATCATCATATCAATCGCCTTTGCAGCATGCACGATTTCGATTATCATTGCCACATTCATTACTGCACATCACAGCCATCATTTGAAATTCCATGTTACCACCATCATGTCCCATAACGTCAACCATCAATCGCTGGCATCATCAACATCATCCTCCTATACAGTGTGCTCCTCCTCCTGCTGATCATCCTTATCCACGTGGTGCTCGCCCGCCTGCTGAGAATCCTGTATCCTCCTTTTCTCCCTCCTCTACCATATCTGATTTCCGTTCTACAATTCCTCGCAATATTGATTATGGGCTTGGTTTGTAAGGACCCGGGGAAGCCTCCAGCGGGATCCCCGAGTCCGAGGGGCCCAACGCGGTCCCGAGAGTGCCCAAACAGGGCATCAAATGTGCGAAGGGGTGCGCCAACGTGGGGCGGCGCCGTCATGCGGACGGCGCTACTGGGACCTTGGGTGGCGCTCCCTATAGGGCCACGAAACGTGAGTGGTGTGCTACGAAACGTGAGTGGCGCTCCCTATAGGTGCCACGAAAGCGCAGCCGTCGCGCCAATCCTGCTGCCCTCCTCCTCACCCTTGTTTTTGGGCTGCAAGCTCGCGGCGGTAGCCGCGCGCAGCGCGGCCGCGATGGAGCAGCAGCCTCTCGTGGAGGAGCAGCCCTGGCGCGATGGAGCGGCGTGCCCCGCAGGGCCGTCGCCGCCTGCAGGTCCGCCCCCAGCCCACTTGCTGGCGGACAGGGTGCCCGAACCGCCAGCGGCGCGCCCCACCGTGCCGTCGCCGCCAGCAGGTCCGCCCCCAAGCCACCTGCTGGCGGGCAGTGCGGCCGAACCGCCAGCGGCGCGCCCCACAACGCCGTCGCCGCCTGCAGGTCCGCCCCCAGCCCACCTGCTGGCGAGGCATGATGCCGAACCGCCAGCGGCGCGCCCCACAACGCCGTCGCCGCCTGCAGGTCCGCCCCCAGAACACTTGCTGGCGCTGGCGGACAGTGCGGCTGGACAGCCAGCGGCGCGCCCCGCCGCGCCGTCGCCACTTCCGCCCCCAGCCCGCTTGCGCTTGCTGGGGGACGACGCTTTCGAGGCGTCCGACGTCTTCGATGCAGAGACGTTGCAGGCGGCCGTCGACGCGGCGTGGCGCTCCTGGGCCCGCGCCCGCACCCAGTGGGAGGATGCCGTGTCGGTCCTCGCGGCCGCCGTGGCGGCGCGCGACGCAGCGGAGGCGCGGGCCCGTGCTCAGGCCCAGGCGCCCGTGGATGGGCGGGCGCATTACCACTTGCGCGCGCGCGCCGATCATCAGCCCAGGACGCGTTCGCAGGCGCGCCCTGGGCTGAAGATCGGCGCGCCCGCGCGGGCGATTCTGCGCCCACCCCAGCGGGCCGAGGCTGACAAGCAGTTCTGCAGCCGCAGCCGCAGCCCTGCAGGTCGAGATCGCTGAGACGCCCGTGCCCGAGGCCCCGCATGGGGTAAATGGGGGAGGCGGAGGAGGTCCCCCCCCTCTCCCCCCTCTTTCCTTCCCCCCTCCGTGCTCCGCCCTCCTGTCTTGCAGCGCCCTTGCGGGCCCCATCGGGGCTATCTGGGCGCCTCCGCGGGGCGTCGGCGCTCGGGGGCAATGGTGTCGCGAGGGGCCCCCAGAGGGCCCCGACATCCGCCGTAACTATCACCATCATCCGCAACAACGTCCGCATTCTCAGCATCGCCCCAACAATCATCATCACCATCATCACCACCATCGTCATCACCATCATCCTCGTCGTCATCGTGGCCGTCACCTCAACCGTTCGCACTGGTGATGATGATGCTGCTGATGATGATAAGGATGATGATGATGATGATGATGATGACGATGATGGTGATGATGATGCTGCTGATGATGATGATGATGATGATGATGATCATCATGATGATGATGATGCTGATGATGATGATGATGATGGTGATGATGGCGATGATGACGAGGAGGATGATGATGGTGATGGCGATGCAGATGGAGGGGTGAGGGGAGGAGTGGAAACAGGGAGGAGGGGGAGAACGAGGAATTTAGGAGTGAGTGAGCACGACAAGTATGTTCCTAGCTGCTCTTATTATCTTACCCCCGCTCCCCCCCGCTACTCCTGCACCCAATGGTGCGTCCACTCATGCTCCATATGCTACCCCAACCTCCATTACCCCACTTCATTCTAAACTCCGTTTACAGTGCGCATTGCTCTCTTCTCCCATCCCCGCTCTCGGAGTTCCACTCCCACTATCGCCAGAAGGAGTGGGGGCCAGAATCAGAAGTATGGTCACCCCTGATCAGGGTTGAGCATGCTTCTGATTCTGGCTCCCACTCCTTCCCCTATGCACTTTTACCACCATTGCAACGCGCGCGCACGCAGCCTATTTGGCTGTGTTCCAGCATGTCTGGCACCATGAGTGCCCCCCCCGTGCGTCGCCCCGTCCCGGCCGTGAATGCCGCCGACCTCTCCCGATCATTTGTTGCGTACGTGGAGGAGGTCGGCTCGAAGAAGAGTTTCGTTTTGGGCCACTGCGAGTTCTTGAGGCGGGACTGCGCGGTGCACGCTCGATCGTTGCACCACGTGTCGGAGCTGGCGGCTGGAGCGCAGAAATGCGGGGCGGAGGGGGGGAGGTGAAGGAGGAGAAGGAGGAGGAGGATGAGGAGGAGGAAAAGGAGAAGGAATGCGAGGATTAGAAAAAGGAGGAGGAGGATGAGGAGGAGGAGGAGGGGGGCGAGGAGGAGAAGGAGGAGGAGGAGGTAATACAGGAGGATGGTGACGATGAGGAGGGAACCTAGGATAATGACGAGGTGGATGATATGGAGGATGAGGATAATGGAAAGATCGAGCGACAGGTGGAGGTCCTGCTGACCAACATCCCAGAGGTCGACGCGACCTTCTCTGTGCTGCGGACGGCTTGCCACGCCGCCATCGTTGCGTGCCTTTGGGCGTAGAAAGCGCCTTCGGGGTTGGCGGGCGGGAGTGGTGGCGTCAGAGGGGGACTGGGCACGGCGATGAAGGGATGGAGGAGAGGAAGCGAGGAGGGTGGAATTGAGAGGTGGGAGGTGGGGGAGAATGGAAGAAGGAGGGGGCAGGAAGAGGGCCAGAATGATAAAGAAAATGCGGAGGGCCAGGATGACAACGAGGATGATGATGCTGATGATGATGATGATGATGAGGATTGTGATGATAAGGATGCTGATGGTGATGAGCATGATGAGTTCGATGATGCTGATGACGATGCTGATGGCGGTGATGATGGTGGTGGTGATGGTGATGGTGGTGATGGTGATTATGGTGACGATGCTGATGCGGCTGATGACGATGGTGACGAATCTGATGACGACGATGACGATAACGATACTGATGATAATAATGATCATAGTGATGATAATGACTGCGATGGTGCTGATGATGATGATGATGATGATGCTAATGATGATGCGGGTGATGATGACGGTGGTGATGATGATGGCGATAATGATCGTCATGGTCTCCCTCTGCTGCTTCCACTGGTACCCCCCAGGTGCCCCAAGTGCACGTCAGAGAAGTCCACGGCCCCAGCCTTGGACAATGCCGCCAGCCTCGCCGACAAGATCGGCGTGATTCTCAAACACTTGCGGCGCCTCCGAGACTGCCAGACGCGGCTGCGCCAGGTCGCCGCGAGGAGGGGGATTTCACATCAGGGGGATTTTGATGAGGAGGTATTGTCACCTCCGATTGTTCCTCCTCATCCTCCTCTTCCTCCTCCTCTTCCAACTCCTCGATCCTCCTCTTCCTCCTCCTCTTCCCCCTCCTCCTTCTCCTCCCCCTCCTACTGCGGCTGGGCGTCCTCCGAAGGGCCGAAAATGTCAAAATGATTGATTTCCCATTAGTGTTTGAAGGATTGTGGCATTTGCTTTTTTTTTGCCCCTGCCTTCCAACGGCCCCAGACGATTCAAGTGCACCCAAAGATCGCCCGAGAGGCCCACGACGGCCCCCAGAGGCACCCGAGACGGCCCAAGAGGCCTCCAAGACGCTCAAGATGGCCTCCAAGACTGCCCACGAGCCCCCAAGACGGCCCACGAGCCCCCACGGGCCCCCAATGGCCTCCAGGCGGCCAAGATGACTTTCAAGATGCCCACGTGTTCCCCGAAGACTTTCCAAACCGAATCGGGGAACGCATGGTCCGATAGCTTGGCAGGCCCCTAATCTACCCGCGCGCCCCATAGGCCCTGGCGACCTGCAATGACAAAGAGGTGAGCTCCATCAACTATTTCTTGAACCTCATGGGGCGCCCGCCGACCGTCGCCGCGTCCCCGATGGCTTCCCAAGAGCCGCCCCCGTTGCCCTCCCCGAGGCCGCCGTCGTCGAGGGCGTCGTCGGCGGGGGCATCGACCCGCCGATGTCGCTTCGACCCAGTAGCTCGGGCGTCAACCTTCACTCCCCTACCCTGATGGCGATGGTGATGGCGATGACGAAGACGATGATGATGATGTTGATGATTGGAATGATGGTGATGATGATGGCAATGATGATGACGCTGATGGTGCTGATGAGGGTGATGATGATGGTGATGATACTGATGATGATGCTGATGATGATGGTGATGATGGTGATGACGATGGTGATGCTGATGATGGAGGGGATGATGCTGAATATGCTGATAATGACAATGCGCATGCACATGATGATGCTGCTGATGCTGGTGGTGCTGATGATGTTGATGAGTATGATGGCGTCTGTGGTAGTGATGGTGATGATGACGATGCTGATGATGATAACGATGATGATGCAGTTGATGGTGATGATGATAAGGCTGATGATGAGGATGATGCTGATGATGATGCTGATGATGAGGATGATGGTGATGATGATGATGATGATGATGATGATGATGCTGATGATGATGGTCGCGCCTCCTCACCACGAGGTGCCGATCGCGGCCCTCGAGACGGCGGCCGCCCCCGACGACGACATGGCCCACGACTCCGTGGAGGACGACGCCATGGCCCACGACTCCGTGGAGGACGAGGATCGCCTTGCTCCGTTCTCCAACGAGTCAGGAAAGGAGACGAGGACTCAGGCTGGATGGAGAGAGGGGGAGTAGGGATGGAAAAGTACGGGAGCAGGGAGGGTAGGAAGAGGAGCAGACGACATGCGGAGGGTCAGAATGGTGATGAGGGTCAGAAGGATGACGGTGGTGATGATGATGATGTTGATGCTGATGAGGTAATGAGGGGAGGATGAGGAGGAGGAGGATGGTGGTGGTCATGATGATGCTGGTGGTGGGGGTGGGGGTGAGGTGGCAGTGCTAATGATGGTGGTGTTGAGGATGGTGACGGAGAAGGGGGTGCTGATGATGAGTATGATGAACATGATTAAGATGATGACGATGCTGACGACGGTGATGCATAGGATGGTTATGATGAGGACGGTGATGGTGATAATGATGCTGAGGGTAATGATGCTGATGCTGATGGTGCTAAATGTTATACTGGCCATGGTGATGATGATGATGCTGATGGTGTTGATGATGATGGGTGTGGTAATGATGATGATGCTGATCATGATGAGGAGGAGGAACATGACAATGACGAGGGCGATGGTGATGCTGCTGATGATGATGAGGAGGACTGCGAGGGTAATGCTGAGGCTGACGATGATGTTGATGCTGGTGATAAGGATGATGGGTATGATGACGACGATGGTGGTGATAACCGTGATGATGATGATTATGATGATGATGATGCTGATGATGATGATGATGATGATGATGGTGATGCTGGTATTGATGCTGATAACGAGTGTTTTGCTTTTCGGTGACGACGATGATGTTGGCGAAGATGTCCATGATGCTGGATACTGACGGGGGGGAATCATGCACCCCCACCGAAATGGCCCGAGGACTCCAGCGATGATTTCGAGCAGAAGCTCAACCAGCTTGGCGTGCCGAAGAACGACCTTCAGGACTGTCGCGGCCACGGGGGGCTCCGTCGACCTTCCCCCATCCTCCCCTCCATCGCCCTCATTATCCTCCCCCTCCTCCTTGTCCGTCTCCTCCTCCCCCTCCTCCTCCTCCTCCTCCTCCTCCTCCCCCTCCCCCTCCTCAATCGCAGTCTTTCCCATCGCCTCCCTTTTTCACCCTCGGTTGTCCCTGTCCGAGTCTGTTATGTTCTCGCCAACCACCTCGTATTCCCCCGCCCTCTGCCCCCTCCGCCCCTTCAGTTTCGCGACTGGAAGCGTAGGAATAGGGGGCGCGCTGGGTGTTTGAACGGGGTCGGGGGCGCCCTCGTTGCCCCCCCGATGGCCTTCGGGTGGCCCTGTTGCGGCCTAGGCCCCATGTGGTCTCTTGGAGGGGCTGGTTTCGGCAGGGTAGATCGGGGCCAGGGAAATAAGAGGCGGGCTGGCAACGGGCGGCGGGCCCCGATAGTTCGGCCACAAATCATGGGAGCCAGGTGCTATAGCGTCGAGTAGCGTCTGGGAGTCGATGGGATAGCTCCGATGTTGCGTCGGCTAGCCTCGAGTAGCGTCGATTTAGCGTCGACTAGTGCTGACTGGCGCCGATTCGCACGAGCCGACAAGATGGCATGGGAGGCCCCCGTGAGTTGCCACCGAACGACGTAGACATTCCGTAGAGCACATTTGGCTCTTCTTGCCAGGCGGAGCCCTGGTCAGGCGCCAGGCGGCGCCCTCCCAGTCCCTGCAGGCCCTTGCTGGTGCCTGCATGTCCGCCGATCGTCATCAGGCCGACGAGCGTGGTCTGGATGAGGTTGCCGAGCAGATTTTCTTCCCCGAGCGCTGGGCGCTGCTGAAGGAGAGCAAGGACAAGCTCCTCCTCTTCATCCTCCAGGCGTGCGCCCCTTTTCCTGGCCGCGCTCCTGCCCGAGCGGCGCGACCTGGTGTGCCTGGAGGTGATTGGGTCCACGGCCATCTCCGAGGAGTGCAGCATGATCGGCCCGAGCAGACCCTACAACGACCTCTACGGTCGCCAGCGCGACGTATTGACGGACGAGGGCTTCGCTCACCTCCTCGAGCTGAGCCTTCGCGTCCAGCAGGGGGGCACGGTGTTCTTTACGCCCTTGGCTGCGACGTGGCTCCCCTCGGACTCGGCCGCGCAGTCGAGGACGAAGGACAACCCAGGGGGGGGCGCCAGCCAGCAGCTTATACACGACGCGAACCTCCAGGTCGAGCGGTGCACCATCGTCGGGACCATTTGCTGGCTTCGGGGGGTGCCTGCGATTTAAACTCCATGCCCGCCCAGGGCGACGTGAACGAGGAGGGGGGATAATGGGGGAAGGGAAGAACATGTTCTTCCGTTCCCCCATTCTCCCTGCAGCCACGGCCACCTCCGCGTCCACCTCCACCTCCATTCCCCCTAATTTCCACGTCCACCTCCGCCTCCTGCAGGAGGCGGAGGTGGACGTGGAAATTCGGAACACTGAAGATGGTTTTCGATGTTCGGTGTCAGGTGCATCAAGCGTGGGTGCACCCGATGCCCTCGATCATGTGGGTGCACAAGCCAGTGCATTGCCTGCGGACCCTGGTTGCCAACGTCACGAGTTTCACGTGCCTCGGTGCTTTTGGAGGCGATGCCCTCGGGGAGATTCACATCATTTCTGATGACGCGGCGTTCAGGGGTCTGGAGAAGGCCGCTTGGGAGAACAGAAATACTCAGAGGCACATCCAATGCAGCCCCCCCCCCCGTCGAACCCTACATGGGTGCCCGCGCTCCCGTTGCACCCCCCATTGCAAACGTGCCGCTGTGTTTTTTTCTGTTGTCCTCCGAGGCAAAACCATCGGGTGACGAGTTCCAAGCTGCGCCTGAGATCAGAGGCGCGTATATGCCAGAGTTTCCGATTCAGTTCGTTAAGAAGTGCGCCGAGATCATTCGCGGCCTCTATATGACAGACCCCTCCAACCAGGCCCAGGAGTCTGCGATGCCAGCTTCCAGTCGCCCCGTCGAGAACAGCGGATCGTTCGAGACCGATGGCAGTTGCCCCGCGCGTGCCAGCGGATCGTGCGAGACCATTTCTTCGGAGGAGCGGCGCCGCAATCGATGGCCTGTACCACCCTCCCTCTTCATTTTTCTCCCTCCGCCTGTGATTACCCCTCCCCTCCTCGCCTTCAAAACTCCTGTCCCTTCCCCTACTCGTGCTCCTCATCTTCGACATCCCCCTCGGCCGATCTTTGTCGAACACTAGGACGCGTCGGCTACCCCGAAGAGACGGCGCCTGAGGGAGAAGACGAGCCCGCCCGAGCAGGTCAGCCAGAAGCCAGCCGATGATGCGCAGTCCGATCTTCAGCCGAGATGGGCGCCAGCACCATGCAGCACGGCAGAGGACTGGGCCATGGAGTACGCTCGGCGTCAGGCGAAGCGCGAGAGTTCGCGGCCCGACATGCCTTGGGCGGAGCTTTGCCCATCGCCAGCCGAGCGGATCATGGCGCGCCAGCTTGGCTTCATAGTTGGCACCCAGCCAGCCCAGGCCGCCAGCAGTCCGGAACCCCCGCCCCTCGAGGTCGGGGCCTGGGCCAGGGGCCAGACTCCGCGTGGCGACATGGGCTCGGGCACGCAGCCCCCCGTGGAGCAGCCAGAGCCACCGAGTCTCGAGGCGGGGCAGGAGAGCAGCGGCCAGAGTGACGCAGAGCAGGAGACGAAGCTCGCGCCGCACCTCGAGGAGCCGTCGGCCGACAGCCCGAAGCCGCTGGAGGACCAGTCGAAGGGCCCAGAGCACATGACTGCGCCATCGTGCACGCCGCAGCCGAACCAGCCGAAGAACCACGAGCCGAAGATCCCGAAGAAGCCAGAGCAGCAGCGCCAGCAACCATCGATGTTGACGCAGGGTGGAGCAACGGCCGAGATATCCGAGCTCGGCGATCATGAGATGAAGAACTTGGCTTTCTGGCTGAAATTTGATCGCTTCAGGGACTGAAGCTCTGCCTGCGCACGCAGTTGCCAAAAGTTCCACCACTGCGGTCGGGCAGCGTCATCACTTCTAACCAAGTACCCCAGCGCTATGAGATGGAGGAGGGCGGGTGGTGGTTCAAATCCTCATGGCACCCGCTCTGGCTGCACTGGTGGAACTTTAATTCATTTTCTTATTCGTGGGAAGCCAACGCAATGCACTCGCAGTGGACGGAGTGCACGTTGACGGGAAGTCAAGCCTCATGCTGTGCTTGTGAATTTCACATCATCATCATCGTCACCATCATCACCAACATCACTAACATCACCTCTATAATCATCATCCGCATCATCACCATCACCATCAGCATCATCATCATCGTCATCATCTCCAACCCGTTCACCACCATGTGTAACCGTACTCGGTTTTAAGTTGGCAGGGCAGCTGCATTTCGGAATGATGACGTGCTTACGCATCAAATTTCTGAGGTTGTCCGAATCACTGTGGCCCTGGACTGTGTCGAATGGAGGCTTGAAGATGTGCGCCTGACTGGCAGAGTGAGAAGGCGGACATATGACGAGGGACGGAGGAATCGGGGGAAGAATACGAAGAGCGACGTTGGCATAAGATGATGGACTGACTAGGGAAAAAGGAGGGGGGATAGGGGCAATGACCGAGGGAGGCAAGAGGGCTGAGGAGCCAGGGGGAGAGTGAGGATGAAGCAACCTCCCGTCAGACGGGGCCCCCTCCCGCCACCGCGCCAGGACGTCTGCCAGTGGCTCATGGAGACCCCCGCCGCGGTCAAGCGCACCGCGAAGGAGAACGTGCGTGATGACGACACCACGCCGCCCAAGAACGGCGCCAAGGACCCGTCCCGTCTACTTGCCATGGCCAAGATGGCCGACCAGATGCCGACGAGGAAGGCGCGGGGCATGTTCTGTGAAATGGGATGTTGTGGTTATCTGTGTCTGCTTGTTCGGTCGTGGGCCCAGCTCAAGTGTGCTGCTGGTTCGTTCGGAAAGCGTAGGGTGGCGAGCTGATGTGTGCATTGACTGATTGGATTGGCCGACGGGCGCTCCAGATTGGGTTAGTTGCGCCCGTGGGACCCCAGCTCATTCGGAGGCCGCTTCAGATTCGACCGAAGATGCAGACCAGTAATGGGATAGCAGAGGTGGGGAGGGCGGTGATGATGAGACTGATAATGCTGAGTGTGGTGGTGATTATGATGATGATGATGATGATGATGATGATGTTGATGACGATGATACTGATGATGGTGATGATGATGCTGACGATGATTATGATGATGGTGGTGATGATGCTGAGGAGGATATTGAGGAGGGGGGGACGAATAGGAGGGAGCAGCTGCGGCGCCTCGCCCCCAACCCGCCGCTGTTGCTGAGAGGCCGCCGTCCAGAAGCTGAAGAAGGAGAAGACCACCACCCAGAAGGAGACGGCCACCATCCAGAAGGAGAAGGTCACCATCCAGATGACGAGGAAGGAGAAGGCCGTCATCCAGAAGACGCTCAAGCAGAAGGCCACCATCCAGAAGACGCCCACTGAGAAGGCCACCATCCAGAAGACGCCCACTGAGAAGGTCACCATCCAGAAGACGCCCAAGAAAGCCACCTCCAAGACGTTGATCGAGGAGACTGGTGCCGTGGACAGCGAGCCCCTGGTCAGGAGCTGGAAGCACCCGATCATGGGTGACATCGTTGCTGTGTACGGGACTCACAAGAGTTACTCTCTGTTTTTCGATGATGAGCAGAAGCGCCGTCTTTTCGTAGAGTGCAGCGCGTCGCATACCCCGAAGCACGCTGAGCTTCTCATGAGCATAATGAAGCAGTCTTGCTCTAAGAAGCTGAGCAAGAGCTCCACTGTGCTGCTCCGTGCCCAGATGCTGGCAGCCGATCGGGATTGATCTAGCTGTCGCAGTTTTCGAGTGTACATTATATGTGATGTCAGCGTCTTTGCAGCGACGTGGCATGATATGTGTCGCGACTGGGGGCTGCACAGGGATGCACGCTGCAGGATCGACAGGCACTGCGATTCGATTGCGAGTTGTCTGTAATGTGCACGTTTGGTTTCTTTTTGCAGGTACTTATGCGACTCTCAGAGTCTGAACATGCTATGCCTGAAGAGCAGGAGCGCTCTCGATATGGATGTGGCGTGTACCACGATGCGCTCGGACTCATCGGCCGATGTCGAACAAATCTCAGGATCGTCGAACTGAGCCAGGATCTCCGATGTGCACCTTGCTAGCCTCAGGGTCGAGGAAATACGCGTTTCAGATTTCGTTTGGACATGACAGTCGGGGCGCTGAATACGGAACGCATTTCGTTGGGGGGGTGATTGGTGTCCCTCGAGTGCGTCACATCCTCCTTAAGGTTGTCAATAAGCTTTCGATTGAACGCCGAAGTTTAACGCGTGGGAAAGGGGCTCCCGTTCCTGATTTAGGGTTCCTTAGGTCAGCGCCCCGACTGCAGGAGATACGGAGAGCAAGGTGACGTCGATCGGTTTGGTAACCCGTGAATCCTGGTCATGCCACCCCCCCCATCACCCCCTCTAGAGAACTCTCGTTCCAAAACGCGGTGGCATCGCAATTAGTTCAACGTTCCTTTTCCGTGCTCATCATCGTCCCCCATACATTGGTCAGTCTCCCCTGATCTTCCTCGCAATCCTCCACGTCGCCAGTGGACGCCCGCGGGGCCAGAAAGTCTAATGTCAACGCGCCAACCATGAGACAAGGTGGCGCCATATTGCAATTTTGGGTGGTCGAGTCACCAAGTGTCCACGTGCCGTAAATCGTAATGCATAACATATGCTGTCGCGGATCGAGAGGGGGAATTCATCTAAGGTTCAGGTGAGGCATCGAGCACAATACAAACGGTGGGCGTCAATTTACTATAGGAGCTCGGGCATCTCACTAACGATCGCCGAATAAAACAATATATACGGAGGGATCGCCCAGTCAGATCAACACGTGCAAGCATAGTTTCACGCATGGGCGATACCTGCGCAATGCGTTATGTGGGTTGTGCGTGCGTACATGTGCGTGCACATGTGTCGCAAATGTTCAGAATTCAAATGTCTAAAACTCAGTTATGTGAACAATTAATCACCACGTATGTGCATCACATTTGCAAGTACAAAACACTGTGACAAACGTTTGTCAAACGTTTGTCAAACGTTTGTCAAACGTTTGTCACATATGACAAACGTTTGTCATTTTTGACAAACGTTTGTCGTTCGAGACAAACGTTTGACAAACGTTTGACAAACGTTTGGCAAACGTTTGTCGCTTAGCTTTTATATGTAAAATATATGTTCAAACCTGGTGGCTAATTGTGTGTGAATCCGTTTAAATAAGCGCTCATGTGTTATCAATTGCATGGCCTGGCTATGCCCCAGCACACGCAATTAGGATTGTACTGTTAGGTGAATGCGGCACACGTGCACGTATTTGTATCACTGTGGCGTGAACCTCGCACGCATAACACTGCAACACAGTCCCTGAACACGCTCAAAAACTACCCCTGGCCAACTTCAGTGGCGGTGTGTTCGAGTTGTTTTGGCTCCAGGCGGGGCCGCCGAGCAGATTCTCGATTCTACCCTCGGTGCGCTGGTCTATTCCACCATGCCTCCCAAGGACTCGAAACGGGGTGCTCCAGTGATCAAGGTACGTTTTGGGTTCCGTTGTGACCAGTTGGATGGCGCGGCAGGCGGCGCGAGCTGCCCCTTTCAAGGTTGCGATCTGACGCAGTGTTTTGGGCGCCGCGTCAGTTTGCAACCTGGAAAGGGGTTGCTCGCAACGGCTGCCGCGCACGTGAATTTGCATTTCGTGCACCCTCATTGTCAGGCCAACTTGAAGAAGGCCACCAAGACGCAGGCGCAGCCGAAGAAGCGGGGCGTCGCGCAGTCGAAGCAGAAGGGCAAGAGCAAGGGCAAGGGCGAGCTCACATTGGCCGTGTACGGTGACAAGGGGACATCTGGATGTTATTAAAGCGGTTCGTAGAAGCACATTGAATAGAGAGCGGAGAGTGCACGCGGTTTTGAGCAATGTTGTTGTTCCAGAATTTGGTTCGATGTAGATGAGTTGGGCCACCCAGGCCTCGTCGCAATAACAGCCGTTCCATGCGATGCCACGAAACCTCTCCGTCCAATAGTGCAGGTCGTTCCCCCCCCCTCCTCGACGAATCCAATTTGTTGGACTGGGGGACTGGACGGGCATCGGCGGCCCCGATGCCCTGCGCGCTGAGTCGTGCGCGACTGCGTGCAGTGATTGTTCTTGGTAACTCTTCAGCCCGCCCGCCCTGTGCCCTGTCCACCTCTCCCTCCTCGTCGTCGCCTCATCGTGGTCATCCCGTCGTGCGCTCACATGCCAGATGACGTGAAACAAACACCCATCGAGCAGGAAATCCACCGCAGAGCTGGTCCGCAAGGCGGAGGGCAAGTCGTTCAACGAGAAGAAGGAGCTCTTCAGGCTTGCGTTTTGAATGTTCGCACCGTCGCGAGAGCGAGCGCGCGCTTGTGATCGGGCCAAACGTGGGGACGATATCAGGGGCAAATATAATGACGTGGGTACTTAGCAGGCCGACGCGAACGAGGATGCGATGACTGCGATGCTTGCGATCGTCTTCGCCACCCTGTTGACGCCGTGGGGCATCAACAGGGTGGCGAAGACGATGCCAAACACAGGTGCCGATTAAACGAAATCGGACGTATCCCCATCGTTCTCGTCGCCGTCCATTTTAGCCCGACCGCAAGCGCGCGCTCGCGTGCGCTTGCGACGGTGCAGCATCAAAACATCTTGCCAGGCAGTATGGCGACGGGATGGATCCGATCCAGCTGCGCGCCATCTTTACAGCCGAGGAGGTGAAGCTCCTGCACAACCAGTTCAGGACGGCCCGCAAAGGCAACGATCGTGTCTCCACGGCCTTCGAGGAGGCCGACAAGTTGGGAGTGCGGGAGGGGAAGAACAAGGCGAAGCTCGGGTACGTGATGGCATGGCTCAAGGATGCATCCGGTGTTTGTTTGTAGTTTCCTTCCTGCCCTACCCATATCAACATCATCCATGCAATTATTACGCACAGCATAAGTCGGCAAGTTGCGTGGGTCGTCCCATCCAACCATCTATCTGTCACACCTCGCACGCCCGTCCAGCTGCCCCACCGAACCCGCTCATCCAGCCGACTCTATCGATGTCTGCCTCAGGCGCATCCCTAAACCACCCGCCACCACATCTGGCCAATTGCATCTACTTACCCAACCTCGCTTACTCTACGTCGGCCAATACCGCGCCACGACATGCTCGCCTACCAAGCCAAGTGCAATCGGTTTCCATGTCCAGGGGCATCCGTGCACACTCGCACGTAGCGTCGTAGTTGAACATCCCCTTGACGCGCAGCTGTGTCCTTCCCCTGCACGCCCCCCTCCTCTTCCTGGCCCGCGGATGAACGCGACCCCGACTGCTAAACCCTCGGAACCGAAACATCTTGACAGCTCTAGCGGCTGCCCCCTGGGTGTCCCAGCACGTCCCCATCCCTCTCTCTCCCCGCCCCCAGATGAATGGGCACGAGGGCCCTGGCAGATCTAGACCCGCGCGTGATCTCCGAAGCGCTCAGGATAAACATCGCAGCTCTGCAGGACCCCTCGATGCAGGAGGCCTTCTGGGAGCTCTCGGTCAGCACCGCGACCAGCGAGGGCATCAAGCGCAAGTCGGTCTGGAAGCCGTGGAAGCAGATGCTGGACAAATACGGCGAGGAGGAGGCGGAGGAGCGGCTGGAGGCTGGATCCATCAAGGTTGCACTGGATGCCAACTAACAAGGAGTTGCCAAACGAGGGGGGGGGGGGGGGGGATGGGGGGGGCAAGGCGGAGGAGGATGGGCCACCTTCCACCCAGCATCGTTCTAATGCACCCCCTCCTTCCATCGAGAGGGCGGTGCCATTTCCCGTTGGAGAGTAGCGCGGGCCGAGTGCGGCCCAGGCAATCCCGAGAGGGATCAGCGATGAAGGGGTGGGAACAAAGAGTGAGAAAAAGGGGGGGATGAGGGGGGGGGGAAGAAGAGGAGGGGCAAATCGGAGGAGGATGGACCACCTTCCTCCTCCAAATCCTTTCCGTCAATCCCACCATCCTTCAATTTGGACGGGTTGGATTTCTCGTTGACCAACAGCCCAGGCCCCAGGATGAACCAGTAACGAGGGGGGTGCAGAGGAGGAGGAGGAAGACGACGAGGAGGAGGAGAGGCAAGAAGGATGCGGATGGACCACCTTTCTCTTCCCATCCTGTTTGGCAGGCCCCCTCCTCATTCCACCCTGAGGAGGGGGAATTCTCGCTGGTCTGCAGCCCAGGTCAGGCGCGACCCAGCCCATCCCAAGAGGAGGCAATACCTTGACGTGGAGGACGAGCACGAGAAATCGTTCAGGCGCGACAAGGTCGGCACCGCGCGCGGCAGGAAGGCCATTGACAACGACGAGTTCCAAAACCTGTCGTCTGGTCTGGGGTCCGCCAAGATGGTCGAGGACATCCGCAGAGGATTGACGTGTTTAGTAGTTTCAGAATGCTCAGCGAGAGGCATGGCAACTGGTAGTGTCTGGCAGTGCCTGTGGTAGTGTGACGAGCCCCACTGCAGCTGGCGGTGTCAGAGGTGCATGGAGAGGAGGGGCCAGCGCGATGCGTTGCTAGTAGCTGTTGGTCATGCACTGCCAGTTGCAGCGGGGCTCTTGCTGCCGCGCGTGCGCGAAGCGGGTAGGGGGTGTCGGGCATTGTGTATGTATGTGCATATATACACAAAAGTACCTACATCTACGGCACATGTGTTTACACACATGCTGTGTGTTGTCTGTGGGTGGTGGTTGCACGCATGTGCACTGTGCTGCATATGCACAGGTAGAAGTACATGCGCACACGTGCAAAGATATTGGGGAGCGACAGCCCGATCTGAAACAGAGAGGGAGAGCTATGGCTACTACTTATATGTATACACATAGACATGTAAACATGATTGCATGTATGCGTGTATTTAGGTGCAGGTGTACATGCATTCGTGCACACGGGGGGCGGAGGGCGATAGAGAGAGAGAGGGGGGAGAGAGAGAGAGAGAGAGAGAGAGAGAGAGAGAGAGACCACGAGGGGTGGTCAAACGAGAAAGAGAGAGAGAGAGAGAGCACGAGAGAGGGCAAGATGGGAGAGCATTGAGAAGACCGCGACAGAGCTTAGCGTTGACGGCGGCGTAGTTGTGTTGTTTTGCTGCTGGGCTGGGTGAACTGGCCGCCGATCGTTCGCAGACCCATCGGTCCATGGTAACCATGGTGCGCCATGTGGCACCACCTGGCAGGATTGCGTCAGGAGCTACGTTGCTGCTTGGACCGATGGCGACATATACAACATCTAGAGGCGATTTCCAGAACATGGGCTACGAGAGCAACGACGAGCAGGATGATGAGCCCGAGGAGACAGGCAGTCAGAATCGCGGCCGCGGTCGTGGTCGCAGTCGCGGAGCTGCAGCGAAGCCGAAGGCGCGGGTGGTTGCTTCCCACCGTCGCTGTCATCATCTTTCTCCACCTCCGCATCCTCCGATTATTTCCTCCTGCTCCTCCGACTCGCCCCAACCCGCTTCCTCGCCCCCACCTCCTCGCACTCTCAACTCCTCCGCGCCACCGCGCGTGAACCCACGCGCCCCACTCTTCGTCCTGCCCCCCCCCGTCGCCCCGCGCATCCTCCCACCCGCCATGCTGCCATCGCCCACCGCCCTCCCTCCAACGCGTGTGTTCGTCCTGCTTCCTGCGCGCCCGCCCCCGCGTACCCCCTCCACCCCCCCCACTTGTTCGCCCCCTCCTTCACTGGGTTGGGCCTTCTGGACGGGCCACGGAGCTGTTTGCCACCGCTTGTCAGCGAGGCCAAGTCGGTCAAGATCTCCGACTGGCAGGGCGTGCTTGCGACGGGCAAGCCGCAGATGATGAACTACCAGGTCGCCGTCGAGACCATGTCGAACATGTACCTCGCCTCGACGGCGCCCTGGCAATTGCAAACATGTCGCATCCTGGCTGGCCGTCGTTCAGGACATGCGCGTGTCCGTGGATGGTTGTTGTTCGCATGCGGTCTAAGCTGACCGTCGCGCGCCTCCTCGGGATTCCCGCCACGCATGCAACGCGTGCCCTCGTCGCCCATTTCGGCATTCCCCACGTGGCCGCCACGTGCTGCTCCGCGTTCTTTTGTTTTCCCAGCGTTTCGCTTAGGGGGTCTACTACATATTTGGTGTACCCCAATGGCGCGTCCTTCGGATCTACGAAACAAAGTGTGGAATACACCGCAGTTGTGAGGACCAGCAGATTTATTTTTTGTAGTTTCGAAGGGCGCGCCAATTTCGGTGCGCATCAATTACGTAGTCGATCCCCTCACTCGAGCTTTCACGTGGGCGCGCCCTCTCGCTCGCAGCGCGTTTCGCCTTCGCCCCTTGCCCAGGGCCTCGTGGAGAAGCTCCAGCAGGACATCAAGAAGGCTGCGAACAAGGTCAAGAAGGACCAGCTCGAGAAGGCCAAGAAGGCGCCAGTGCACCCTTGTCCTCCTCTGCCTCCCCCCTCCCTTCCATCGTTCAGACGAGCCCCCCCCCACCCCCCACCCCCCGCTCCCTCCAACTCCGCCTCGCCCTCCACGAGAGTGCAGGCAGGCACGTGGATATGACATGGGCAAGTGGGGTGCGTACACCCATCCTCTACCCACTCCGCACCGCCCCCCGTGCCCCCTCACGCCAACCCCAACCAGTACATGCACGCGAGGGACACGCATATAAGTAGGAGCAAGCGTAGGGCCAGCACTGGTCACGCACCCAACACCCTACACCCTAATCTCTAAACCCTACACCCTAAGCGTTATGCTATAAACCAGTTTGCGTCGGCCCTGCAATTCGCAATTCGACGTAGCCTAATGCTCGAGCAAAGGGATCACCCCATGAATTCTTGCGACCCCCTGGGGGTAGGAGCTCACGAACTGGGGACTGCCCGTGCCGATGCCAGGTGCTCGCGGACGTCCGCAAGAACCGCGACGTGCTCGGGGACTTGAAGACAGAGGAGAGCCCGTCGCTGGTGGGGATGCAGAAGGCCTGCAACAACATGTACAATGCGTTCGCTGCCGTGAAGCAGCTGAAGATAATTTCGTAGATGATTGCAGGGGGGGATCATATTCCTGCACGTGTGAGTCTCCGCCGCTTGAGGGGCGTCATACGGATCTGGGCACTGCTCGAAATTGATGTAATCATGACTGGGCATTATGTGCAATACAATTGTATGTGTATGTGTAGATAGTTATACATGTATGGTGGTGTGTAAGCTCATATGTGCACGTGTACATGTATATTGCATGCGTGTGTACGTATGTGTGTACTACATACACATACATACATGTTTACATGTACAGGTATAGGTACACCTATAGGTATGCATACATATGTATGTGTACGTTCGTATGTATTCATGGTTATGTGTCTGTCTGTCTGTCGCAGTGATCGCTAGCGAGCGATGGTTGTGTGTCTGTCTGTCTGTTAGGCGCTCGCAATGAAAGCTCATGGTACTGCTCGTTGCGCAGATCCGTGCGCGCTTTGCCACTGAAATGCACGCGCATTTCAATTTCAAGTTAGCCTGGCGAACTGACTAGCAGCGAAGCTCATCGAGGCTCACTGGTTCCAGCGAGCGTTCGACGAGCGGTCATCGAAGCTCACTGTTTCCAGTGAGCGTTCGATGATCGCTCATCGAGGCTCATTGTTTCCAGCGAGCGTTCGATGAGCACGCGCAGTACCCTAGTGTGACAGCGATGCCAGGCTCACTGGTGCTCACTGTTTGCAGCGAGGCTCGATGACGTTCGCTGTGGCAGAGCTCGTGGAGGCAAACAACGATGCCATGAGTCTAGTTCAGGGCCCAGGATAGGACAAAAGTATTTGGTTCCAGCATCGGACCAAATTATATCTGGTTCCAGAATACATTCGGGTCATGTGCTCAGCTCGGATATATAATTTGCCACAAACGACGCGAACACGAGGCAGTACGGGGTGAGTGACTTTAGTTAAGTAGGACAAGGGTCACTAGTGCAAAGAAAGCGTATGCGTTCAAGGGGGGATATGACACAGGATATGGGGTTACACGTTGGGCGCACAAGTGCGAGGCACGCGGTGCATTGAATAACGCTTCTGGCACGCGTGGGGGGAACACCCCTAAACAGCTTGTCACCTCCTGAGTCCTGGGGCCGTGCGGTGCCCTTCTGGGCCAGTCGGGGCGTTGGCTTCGGGGTCTTCTGGTACTGTGGCATAGCAGTGGCAGTTAGGTTTAGAATGAGGGTGCAACACTGTGGAGAGAGCTCACCACCAAATATTCCTTCCAAGGAACCCGTTCAGGTAATCCTTCCAGATCGTCCCGCATCCCCCCATATTGTCCTCCTCCTCCCCATTCCTCCCCCTCTTTCTCCCCCTCGACCCTCCTTCCTGGAAACAACGGTCAGGGTCACGGGGCACGAGACTACTAAGGAAACTACGGCTAAAGCAACGACGCAGACACATAGGCTCTCGTATTCATACGTAGCCATTTCCCTCGGTTCAACTGTGCCAGCAATCGCGACCTACTCCCCAGGAGGTTACCGACGCCAGTGCAGTGTACCAGCCATGGCATCATCATCGATCATGAGTGGCGAGATCGCTCTGATCACGACTAACAGCTTTGCCGACGAGATGGAAACGCAGGCCATCAAGATCACGGAGGCGATCAAGGCGATGCACGCCCAGAAGGCGAAAGTCACCAAGGCCATCGCTCACACCAAGCACGTGGCGCTCAGCCCTGGCAGCTCAGAGGAGCAGCGAACGGCCAACTTGCTCACCCTGCACTACCACGACTCGAGGATCGACCTGGTCACAATGGAGCTGCAGAAGATCAAGGGCCTCTTGCTCGACAACTCCAGCGTGAAGATGGGCACCACGGAGGAGAAGACCGCAACGCAGTGCGATTCGCTCAGCAAGATTGTGCAGCTCACCCAGCAGTACGACAAGCAGCTCACGAAGCAGAGCATCGAGCATGGTGGCCAGCTGCCGTGGGATGCAAATGACGAGGACACGTGGGTGCAGTACGGTTGGCAGCGAAAGGACGACTCTAAGTGGATCTCGCCAACTGTCTGGAACGCGTTCGACGTCAATGATCCCGCTACGTGGGTGCCCTTCGGCTGGGCCGACTACAGCGCCACCTCCGACGCGGATGATCCGATTGAAGTGTTCGAAGTCATCGAGCGTGCTGATGTCGAGTCCAAGTGAGTTCAGTCAGTGCAGCCAGTCAGCCAGCCAGTGCAGCCAGCCAGCCAGTTTGTTTTCACTGCGCAGCCAGTGTACGGCGTCAACGCGCAGCCCGAGACGCCAGGAGATTTGGTTGCTGCACTTCCCAACGCTCCCGACCTGCGATCGCGGGAGTGCGCTTGCGCACCCGCATTCACATGCCAGGAGGGACGGGTGGAAGCGTAATTCGCCACTCAGGTCTTTCTTCCCGTCCTTCTCGACCTCCTACGCCTCCTCGAGGTTCTCGATCCTCCTCCTCCTCCTCCTCCTTCCCCTCCTCATCCGCCTCCTCCTCCATATCTTCCTCCTCCCCCTCCTCCTCCTCTCCCCCTCTTCTCTGGCAGACGGACATGCTTTCACTGATCGCTCGCTCTGCTAGCGGTGCAAACGCGGGTTCGTAAGAGGACAAAGACTTGTCGCTGCGTCCGGAGGGGGCGCGGGGGGCGATCGCGACCAGGATTCAGAGTGTCACGGCACTGCCCGCGGGGACAATTCGACGCGTGGAGGGGCGCGCCACATGGAGAGGTGGGGGGAACGGAGGAAGGCAGCTGTTTGTTTTTTTGGGGGGAGGGGGGCTGAATACAGGAAGGGGAGGGAGGACGATGGTCTGGGGGAGGACGCTCTCGACGGGTGTTGCCAGGCACCGCCACTGTGGCCGCCAATCGCACAGCCAGTTTTGTTTGCGAGCCCGTCTGGGCTCGAGTTCGTGCGCTGCCATGCGGCGGTGTACGAAGAGGCGCCTCGATCCCGATCCACCCCCTGACTCCGAGGAGTCTGAAACTAGCGCTCGCGAGGATGTCGATGGGCGGGGCCGCCCTGAATTCTCAGTATTCGCTTCTATGCTGTTGAGGGAATGGTCGTGGGGCAAACTCTACGGCGCGGAAGTTCAGAGATATGCCCTCGCGGCGTTCAAGGACGGCCTGACATCTTACAGCGAGGTGAGGGAGCTAGCATCAATGGGATCCTGGGGGAGGTGTCCTTCAAACGTGCATCAACAATTAACTAAGAAATACCTACGCGGGAACCCGTTTCCAGAACCTGAAGAGTTTGACGTTCATTGTCGCCACCCGAAAACATTACAAGTAATTGAATCACCGTGCTGCATTTTACTTCCGCACGAGATGTTCTCTGCTTTGTTCCGATCGCATCCTGACGAGTTCAGGGAGATGATGGGCCTTGGTTCAATGCAAGAGTTTTGGGGTGGCGCTTCCAGGGGCGACCCTAGGATGAAGCATCACCCCGTTTGGCTGGTTCCAAACTACTCTCGGTGGTGCATCCCGCTTCGGATACACGGAGATGGAGCAGAAATGCAGAACAACGATCCCCTCATGACTGTCTCGTTCACAAGCTTGTTGGCTCTAGGGTCGACTCGGGCATTAAGTTTCCTAATCGCGGGCTGGCCCTACTCAACTACTTTGAAGCAGCAGCATGATGGTTTCGACACATGGCTCGAAATATGGTGCGTCATAGCATGGTCTCTGAAGTCTTTGGCGAGCGGGAAATTCCCGACCAGAGATGCAAGGGCTCCGCCATTCCGCATGCTCGAAGGGGTATTGTGTTTTGGTGACGAAAACCCGAACGTAGGGGGGATTGCGGGGGGCTGGGAAGAGCGGCGACTCATGCGGGGGCGAGGGGGAGACATGTGGGGGGCCACATGTGGGAACCTAATCCCAGAGCATGGGGCAACGAGCAGTGGCTGCAGCGGACTGGCTCGGCCGACCGTTTCCAGAGGGTTCTCGCCATCGGGATCAAGCTGGCCAATATTTGTGCAGCCGAGAACTCCCATACCGCGCGTTCCTGTACGCGATTTTAGGCTGTGGTCGCAGTTCGAAGCGCCCCGATTTACCAATGCAACTTCGGTTTCCCACCTGCGGCATCTTGTTTGGAAACCAGGTTGAAACCTAGGGGCGGTGAGTGCATGTGCGTTCCAGACTGCGACCAACGCCGCCAGGCGACATGGAGTTTTTTAGCCAGCACCTCGGCTGCCCTCACCCGAATGCGCATGAGATTTGCTTCCTCTGCGAAGCCAACCGCACGACGCTGCCGTGGAACAATTTCGTCAAGGAAATTTGTGTAAGACGTTCGAGGCATTACCGCGCACGCCCAGTGAGCAACGTCTATCTGTAAGCCCACTCCCCCTCTAATCCCCTAGCCCTGACCCCGCGCAGGGATGCCCCAGTGAGCCTGATCATACTGCCACTCCCCCTGCGTTTGCACCCCCCCCCCCCATTCCACTCCTCCCCTTCGTTTCTCTTCCCTCGCTTCATATCCACATGCCTCCCCCTAATCCTGTTCCCCCCCCCCCCCCATTACCCGTACCTTCGTTTCCCGCATTGTTGCTGCGGCCCTGTCCATCCCATTCCGCCAGCCACGCCCACCGTATGTTCTGGAACAGACCACCTACCCCTCCCCCACCACCCTTCCACCCTCTGGCTCCCCCCACCGCCCCCTACGGAGCACCGATGTACAGGCTAGTTTCGCTTTCTCCTTGTGCTCGCCATCGCCGTGCCCGCCCCCCATGCACACGCATGCCCTCTGGGCCGCGCGGCAACGCCCTAGCCAGGATCGGTGCTCCTCAGGACATGCGTTAGCCCAACGTGTGTTTACACCATTCAGCTCAGCAAGTAGATCATTACATCGCCTGCGTCGTGTTGGAGGGCCGCATAAGGCAAACACACGTTGGTGCTAACGCGCGCGTTGCGGATCATCGGCAGGACAGCTATCCCAGGCATTGGATGCGCTTCCGACGTCGCGAGCCCTTCCCGTTCACGCATCCCGTCTTTTCAGTTTTATCTATGAGCAGCTTCCCCCGCCAGCCACGAAAGCATGCGAGATAATATGGCGGCGAATTGTCGAATTGTACGATGAACTCAAGATTCCACACAGGATCACACACTTCGGGCTGAAATTTTTTATCGCCGACACCGAGAGCCCGCACGCAGAATGCCCCGTCATGAAAAAATCAGTTAAAGCTGCAGAACAACGATGGCTCGTGCCCGTTATTTACAAGCTCTGCCTCGAATATGAGGACGGCAGCGATCGCAAGGCGATGCGCTCATTGATGGTAGAGAATTTGTGCAAATACTACGACTACATGGATTCTTCTGGGATGTACATGAGTAAGGAAACGGCAGATAACCTAGCAACAGCAGTTGAGGCAGCATTGATTTGGTATCATTTTCATTCCTCCTACGCAGTTAAAACAGAGCACAAGAAGAAATGGAGCATTGTGAACAAACACCACATGTGGTGGCACATCGCTGAGGGCGCGGCACACATGAACCCGCGTTGGTTTTGGTGCTACATGTGCGAGGACTTTATGCGTCATATTACTAAGATCGCTTCTACAACGATGATGGGGTCTCCGATACTAAGCCTGTCGCGAAAACTTTGCGAGCGGTGGCGCATAGGAAGGTATATCGCTGGCTCCGCCGACTGGCCGCTCGTGCCTCGTGGTCCCCTCGTGGCCCGTCGCGGGGGGGGGGGCTTTCAGGGCGCCGTTCGAATGGTCTGGCGTAGTGGCGCACCCACTCCCCATTCTAATACCTCCCCTCCCCCCCCCCCCCTGTCTGTGACGATCTGCTCTCCCACCGTGGCCCGCAGGGGCGCGATGGCAGTTCCTGTCTACCTACCATGTCACCCCGACCTAACCCGAAGACCCCAATATCTGGTTGGAGGGGGGTATAAGTTTCACGTGTTGCCTGGCGCCCACTCCCCTCCCCCAACTGGGTGGCGAATTGGGGCCTTCGGGGTGGGGGTTGGGTGGGTTGGTGGGTGGTGAGTGTCGCGCAAGGGCGTTCAAGATGACCGCGGTTTGAAGCATGGAACGAAACGGGGCCAGAATGGAAACGGAGGAGGCAGAGCTATAGCATGGGAGTGGTGACGTGGAGGACTGACGCGCGGTTTGCTGGAGACTGGAGGGGGGGGCGTGCGAGCAACAGGGGCACGGGGAGAGGGGGTACGGATGATGAAGAGAGAAGATGACGCAGGAGGTAAGGCCAGATAACAGCCTACGAGGTCCTGGCCCTCCTAGCATGAGGGGGAGGTGGATTTCGAGATTGTGCGCCCTTCGCACTAGGTTGCAAGCAGCGCACCGTTCGCCTTTGTTGGCGGTGAAGTTCGCCCGTCCTTCGCCCTCCCTTTCCCCGCCTCCGTCATCGCCAATATTATCAGCATCGGCATGGTTCTACATCGCGTGCCTTGCTCCCTCCTCGCCAGCACTTTTCAGGATTTGCGACGGGATGTCGCATTCAGGCGCACGGTTCGCCTCTGCAATGGCAGATGCGCATAGAAAACATGTCAGCGCAATCATCGCACTCGCCCCAACCAGTTGATCACACGTTTGTTCTCACAATCTCGGGAACGCAATAATATCCACACGATCTACCAACAAAACGTCTGCCAAACGTTTGTCAAACGTTTGCCAAATGTTTGTAGAACGTTTGCCACACGTTTGTCAAACGTTTGCAAACACGTCTGTAAAACGTTTGTCAAACGTTTGCCAAACGTTTGTAAAACGTTTGTCAAACGTTTGCCAAACGTTTGCACTACGTGTGTAAAACGTTTGTCAAACGTTTGCCAAACGTTTGTAAAACGTTTGTCAAACGTTTGTCAAACGTTTGCACAACGTGTGTAAAACGTTTGTCAAACGTGTGTCAAACGTTTGCCAAACGTGTGTCAAACGTTTGCCTGGTGATTTATCGTCATACTCGCCATTGCCTTACCATCATCATCAACAACATCATCAGCATCATCGTCATCACCATCCTCGTCATCATCTTCACCATCACCGTCATCAGCAGCATCATCATCAGCACCACCATCAACCCCACCACCATCACACCATCGCCATCCAAACCAGCAGCATCAACATGATCACAATCATCATACTAATCATCGGTACCACCAACATCATCATCATCACCATCATGACCGTCACCATCATCAACCGAATCAGCATAGTCGGCATCGGCGTCACCATCCCCGTAGTGGCCGCCCCCACAACCGCCTTCAGCATCGGAGGGGGAGAGAGGACACATAGGAGGGGGGGGGAGCTCAACGCTTGAACGACAAGGCTTTGCCGAGCGGGGGCAAGTCAGCAATTTGCTAGAAATGCTCCTCGGGAGATACCAATTCACGACAACGTCTAGGAGAGAATGGGGAGAATGAGGAAAAGGAATAGGAGGAGGGGATGGGCAACGAGGAAAAGGAGACGAAGGAGGGCGACGATGAATTTCCCCCCAAGATGTTTATGATAGTTATCGCGATTCTGAAGGGGATGGTAGGGGATGGCGACGACCCTGATGATGGCATCGATGCCGACTACGATGAAGAATGCGAATGATGATAACGATGCTGATGATATTGATGAAGCTGGTGATGATGACATTGATGATGATGTTGGGGTGATGAAGGTGGTGCTGATACATATGATAGAAATAACAATGACGTTGGTGATGATGGCACCGATGTTGACGATGGTGGTTTTGATAATACCGATGATGTTGATGATGTGAATGATCATGATGGTGGTGGTACTGATGATGATGATACTGATGATGATGATGATGATGATGATGAGTCGTATGATGGTGACTGTGTCGACAACGACGACGGCGACAACGGTGATGACGATGATGATGTTGGCGATTTTGATATTAATGCGGTCTATCTTGATGTTTATGATCATGACGATAATGATGATGCTGTGAATGACGATGCTGGTGATCGCGATGATGGCGGTGGCGCGAATGGCACAACTCGCCCGACAAACGTTTGACAAACGTTTGTCCGTGGATAGTGTTATGATAACTTCATGTCCAAACGTGTGGGGGACAAACGTTTGACAAACGTTTGTCAAACGTTTGTCGCGGCGCGCGCGCGGCGTTTCGGTCGCGACCGAAATTTGGCGACCGAAATTTGCATAGGAAACGTGCGTGCGCACGCGTGAGATTTACTCGCCTGGCGCAGTGAAATCTCGCGACCGATTCCTATGTGAGGCGAACGTGCGTCTGCGACCGAAAATACCGGCACTTTCCGGTACGACCGAAATTGCATCGTGCATGTTCTCGCTACCGAAAATTTTCGGTATCGCATCATCTGGGATTACTTCTGCTACCCCTCCCTGACCTTGGAGGAGTTTGAGAGGGGCTTCGTAGATTGGCCCGGGGCCGAGGAGCTGCTGTCAATGGCGCGCCGCTCCGGCCTTCGGGAAGTGTGGCCGAGGGCTGTCACCGTCCCAATGGGATGGTCCTGGGCGTTCTTCCTGGGGCAGAAGGCTTTGGAGAACCAGATTTCAGTGGCCCTCCAGGGGCGGCCCCACGGGCAGCTCCGCGACGCCGGGCCACTCCCTGACATCCTGGGCGGGGTGGGCGTTTTGCCGTACTGCGACAACCTCAACGTGTACGGCGTGAGTCGCGAGGAGGTGCAGCAGGCCAAGAATTTGGTAGTGGGCCAGCTTCGCCGCGTCGGCTTCAGGGTTCACGAGGAGACCGACGCTTCGACCGACCGCGAGAGCCTGGGCCGGAAGCTGGACGGCGCCCGCTGGCTGGTCATGAACAAGCCGGAGCGGGCGGCTCGCCTGCAGCGGGCGTGCCGGCATTTAGAAGGCTGCCGTCGAGTGACTGGTCACATGGTCAGGCGGTGGCTCGGCCATGTCGTGGATCACTTCCTCATCATGCGGGAAGGTTTGTCGCGCCTCGGGAGCTGCTACGACTTCGTGGAGAAGGTCGGCGGGCAGTGGGCCGAGCCTTGGGCCTCTGTCAGGAAGGAGGCGAGGTGGGTGAGGGTGCTCACTTACCTCTGCGCGGCCGAGCTGTCCCGCGAATGGCACCCTGAGGTCCTTTGCGCTGACGCCTGCGAGAGCGGGATTGGCGTTGCTAGTCGCGTGATTCCAGTGCAGGAGGTCGCGAAGTTCGGTTGCATATCAGAGCGTTGGAGATATCGGGGAAAGCATCCTCTCCATCAACCTCGTCGCAATGCCATGGGGCCACGGGGCCCCTTCAGGGACCTCGATACCGTGATCCCCATGGGCCCCGGGGGCGAGTTGGAGATGCTCGAGGGAAACAATAAATTCCAAGAGGTACCGGAAGGCATCACTGACCAATCCAAGTGGCACGTCATTTTGTCGACGAGGCTTCATCGGGAGGAGGGGGTGCCGACGAAGGAGGGCCGGGCCACGCTGCTGGGGATGAGGTGCAAGCTTCGCCATGCAGGGACTTTTGGAAAACGACATTTGCTTCTGGGGGACCAGCTGGGGAACACTGTGGCTTTCGAGAGATCCAGGGCTCGCAGCTATGCGATCCTCACTCTTGTTCGTCGAGCCTCCGCCTTCGCCATTGCCACTGGCTCCAGCTGGTACTTCCGGTGGGTGCCGTCCGAGAGGAACGCGGCAGATGCGCCGTCGCGGCGATGGGAGAGAACAGCGCCGGCTCCGGCCTGCCGAGGGCGCCGCGAGGGCCCCGCCTGGCGCCGGCCGCCGAAGCCGCCCGGCCTTGGCGCTGACGCAGCGCAGCCAGGGGGCGGGCCCCGCGGTCCACAGGGGCCTCCGCAGGGCGCAGCCGCCAGCGCGGCCGGCCAGCCAGGTGGCCACGAGGCGGGCTACCACGCTGCCCCGCGGAACGGCCCGCCCCCTGGTCTCGGGGGAGACCCGGGAGGAGCGACGCGAGAAGCGGGCGCGGGTATTGCCCCCGTTCCAACCGAGAGAGACCAGCGACCAGCTTTCCATGTTGGAGTCGCACGCTGCCACGGAGCGGACGCTGGCGCTCTACGAGAGCTGGTGGAAGGATCTCCAGGATTTCGTGCAGTCGATGGGGGCGTACACGCTGGACACCGTGCAGAATGCAGACTCTGCCATGGTGGACTTCGCGGACTTCTTGTTCATGGAGGGGTTCGAGGTCGCGGACATCTGGAAGGCGTACGCGGCGGTCGTGTGGCACCTTGTCGACCTCTCGCCATGGGGCCGGCTCCGGCTCCCAAGGTTCGCGCGGGCCATGAGGGGGGCGCGCCATCTCGACCCCGGCGTGACGACCCCCCCAGTGCTTTGGGAAGTGGTCTGCGGCCTGGCGCTGTACGTGTACGAGGCCTTGGGCAGCAGGATCGCGTGCCTCGCCTGGATCCTCCGGCCAGCAGACCTTCATGCGCTGCGGGGCGAGGATCTGGCGGCCCCTGCGGGGTCCAGCCAGTGGTGGGCCCTCAACCTGCACCCGGCTGGGCGCGGCGACGAGTCGAAGGTCGGCCTGAGCGACGAGAGCTTGCTGTTGGACGCGCCGTACCTCCCAGGCCTCGGCGCAGCGCTGGCCGCGCTGGCGAAGGACCGCGAGGGCGAGAAGCTTTTCGACATCTCGCCGGCGGAGCTGCTGAGGCTGTGGAACCTCGCCCTCGGCGGCATCGGGCTCCCCGCCAGGCAGAGGTGCGTGCAGTACCAGCTGCGCCACGGCGGGCCCAGCCATGACCGCCTGACGAAGACACGAAGCGCGAAGGAGGTGTGGCGGAGGGGTCGCTGGGCGAGCGCCAAGTCTGTCAAGAGATACGAGGCCAGCGCCCGGGTGCAACAGGAGATGCAGAGGCTTCCAGCCGCCGTGCGCGCCTACGTCGAGCGGGCGGCTACTGCTTTGCCAGCGTTGGTTGAGTCTTGGGCTTCGAGGTCATTTACATCGACACCTGGGTCGAGGCGCTCTCGCAGACAGCGATAGGAGGTCTGTCGCCCCTTTTGCGGGCTTGGCGCCACAGCAGAATCGCCGCCGACCTGTGGCCAGCAACGCTGTCCAGTACACTACTGTTTGTGGGTATGTGACTCTGTGAGCTGGACGAATCCAGCTACCGGCCGCCGCGAAGCACGGCGGGCCGGGCCTCGGCATTCTCATCGCAGGCGAATCGGCTTTTCTTGCATCATCACAGAGCTCTGGCGGAAAAAGGGAAGGAAGCATTTCTTGTGCGTGCACACTTATGCTGACGTGAAAAGACGCCACGCGGCACTGCAAAGAACGCCACCTGCAGGATGATCCAAGGGCCCTCTGAGCTGTGAGTATGACATCTGTTTACAGAGCGGTTTTCCTAGGAAAAAGCTCAAGGGGGGAAATTCTGTACAAAACACAATCGTTTTGTACAGAATTTCCCCCCCGCCTGTTTTTCCAGCGCTGTTTGCGCGTCCTCTCGCACCACTCTAATGAACGCAATGGCATTTCAATGTAACAGCTTAGAAGTAGCTTGCATCACTTGTTTCTGCAGTCTGTACGCTTTCCTCCTCCGTACTCGTTAGGGCTCGAACTTTTCTGGGCCCACCCGCGGTCCACCCTGCTTGCTGCCTCCAGCGCTCCAACCAGCACTGTCGTCAAATTTTCTGGGACTCTGTGAGCTGGGCGAATCCAGCTACCGGCCGCCGCGAAGCACGGCGGGCCGGGCCTCGGCATTCTCATCGCAGGCGAATCGGCTTTTCTTGCATCATCACAGAGCTCTGGCGGAAAAAGGGAAGGAAGCATGACTAGGGGGGGGTGGATATCATGGCGGGGGCCATGATATTTCCCCAGATCTCATGGCGCCTCTCCTTATCTCATGACGTCCCTGCCCCCCCCGCTGGGCCGCGCACGTGCCGCCGGAGAAAGGCGACTGCTCCCTCTCGAGGATGGGGGGAAGGGGGGAGGAGGAGGAGGAAACGAGGAGGAGGAGGAGGAGGAGGAGGAGGAGGAGGAGGAGGAGAGGGAGGAGGAGGAGGAGAGGAGGAGGAGGAGGAGGAAGAAGGAGGAGGAAGAGGAGGAGGGAGAGGAGGAGGAGGAGGAGGAGGAGAGGATGAGGAAGAGAGGACCCTACTTGGACGCCCCCCTCCTTGGCCGCTCCCGAAAAAAGTGCCTCGGCGGCGCCCCGGCATATGCGGATGCGGTGCGCGCGTCGCTCCCCCCCCCCCATGGGGGCGGCGGCGCGCGCTCCGAGGAGTCCGAGAGTGCATGTATGCGTCGTGGCGGGCGCTCTCTCTGGCCGGGCTGCTCGGGGAGCGGTCTGCTGCAAGATGGGCAGACGACATGGTCGGGAGGAGGAGGAGGAGGAGGAGGAGGAAGAGGAGGAGGGAAGGAGGAAGGAGGAGGAGGATGAGGGGAGGAGGAGGAGGAGGAAGAGGGAGGAGGAGGCGGAGGAGGAAAGGGAGGAGGAGGAGGAGGAGGAGGATGAGGAGGAGGAGGAGGAGGAGGAGGGGTGGGAGAGGAGGAGGAGGATGGGTACACTCCCACGCTTATGGAGAGGCCAAGATTGCACTGCCAAGCCCTGTGGGTGAGGGCCTCGGCTTCTTCCCGGCACCCCGGGCGTGTCGGGTCCGACGCACGCCTCCGAGGAGGGCGTGAAGTACTAGTATGTCCTTGTGCGTCCCAGAGACCTGCGAAAGTGCATGTTCACGCCAGTTTCGTTCTCCCCCCCCCCCACCTGGGGCGCGGTCATGCCAGAGAGGCGGATCCAGCCGTGACGACGATAGACTTCATGGCCCCAAGAGTGGCAAAGGCTGCTCCATACCTCGAACTGCGATGTTCGGGCTTCGATCTCGAGCCTCGATTCTCCTTTTCCTCCTCTGCCTTCTCCTCTTCACTCGACTTTAACTCCTTGGCTGGCGGGAAGTATAGGCCCGATGGGGCCCTTTCACTCCTCCAGACCCGCAGTCGAGTGTTGGCCGCAGGCACGTTCAGATGCGTCCAGGCGGATCAAAGACCCATGGGAAGGTGAGCGCTCCTCTGCCTTCTCCTCCTCTTTCTCCGTAGTATAAGTACTGCGCCATGGCCTTTTCTCACTGTGCGGGTGATCTCACTGTAGCGTGTTGCCGAGTGGCGCTGCGTCTTGGGCATGCGCTCGCTGAGCCTGGAGCCCGAAGCATCTTCTCCTCTTTCTCCTTCGTCCTCTCCTCACCGCTCTGCGAGACCCATTCCAATCCGATCGATCCGATTCGATATTGATTTTGGTCGGCCCGGTCCGATTTGATTGCAATGCTGCGGCGATGCGGTGCGGGGGCCGCCCTGACCTTCTTCTGTCGGGCTGTAGGCTAAAAAATGAGGTGCGTCCTATTTATGTAGCTATATACCTAAATCATATGTTATTTTTAGGTGAAGACCTATTTTGGGAGCTATAATCTTATTTTGGGAGCTATAATCTTATTTTGGGAGCTATTTTAACATGTTATGTTAACTTAGGCCATATGTTATTTCAAGAGCTATTTTTCATCATTCCAAGGCCACTGTCTGGGAGCGTTGGTTCTTCACCCCTGTGCTGCTGCTGCTCTGCAGTTTCTGGCCCTGGCACTGCAGCGGCCGTCGGCCGCCCCGCCGCGCGTGAGCGCGGCTTCACCCTTGCTAGAGGGGACGGGGCTCGGGCAGAGCTGTTCATTCCCCTCTCCCTCCTCCGTTCCCCTTCCCATATCATCCTTTCCGCCCGCTTCGGTGTCCGCGCTTATCCTCCATGCCTGGGCCCCCGCCCCCTTCTCGGCGTCTCGCCCCGCCCGTCCCGCGAGCGGGGTCGTCGGGCCATGGGGCGGCGCACGGCCAACTGGGCGGCGACTCCCGAGGAGGTCGGATCGTCCCTGCACAAGCTGATGAATGGGTGCGACGACGTGTTGTACACGCCGAAGTTCGAGGACACGGGGGGGGGGTAAGAGTCAGTACAATGTCCAATGACCCCCACCCCTGTTTGAATAAACAGGGGGGAGGGTGTTAGAATTTATGGCATTCCGCCACTTGTCCTTCTCCTCCTCCTCCTCCTCCTCCTCCTCCTCCTCCTCCTCCTCTTCCTCCTCCTCCCCTCTTCAGTTTCCCCCGTCTTCCCCCTCCCCCCCCTTTTCCCCCCGCTGGGTTGGGGGGCAGGGGGGGGGGGGGGGGGGGGGGGGGGGGGGGGGGGGGGGGGGGGGGGGGAGGATAGGCGAGGAAGGAGAAAGAGATGAAGAGGGAAGAGGGAGGAGGAGGAGGAGGAGGAGGAGGAGGACGATGCCGAGGAGGGCGACGAGGCGGCGGAGGACGAGGAAGAGGAGGGATGAGTTAGGCAGGATAGGAGAGAGGTTTTCGATGCGGTCTGTGAGCCGATAGATGGTGTTTCCGAGTATCCCCAGGGGCCCGTCGATGTCCAGCAGATGGAGGCCCACGTCGAGGGGATCATGTTCCACCAGACGGCGTGCACCATGCTCAATGCGAGCTGGAGTACACTGGTGAAAGGATTGTTGTGGCGATATCAGGACAACGACGCGAGGAAGGCAAAGGGCCTCGAACCTACGATCGACAAGCCTCCGAGGGTCCTCAAAGAGAGGAAGGCGAAAGCAGAGCAGGTTGCGCAGAAACTCAGGTGCCTGTTCTACCACGTCAGGCGCGAGTGGTACAGGGATTCGACACGCGGCTTCATGATGTACTTCCCTCGCCCCGCGATGTACCAGCCGACCGCTGATCAGTCGCTCAGCGATGGGGCTGGCGCCGCTGGCCCTATGGCCTCGGCGGCCGTCGCGGCGGGCGCCGCTGGCCCCTCGGCCTCAGGGACTCCGCCCGAGGCCCCGCCAGCCATGCCGACGGCGGCGCCGCGGCCGACGCCGCAGCTGGCGGCGGCCGCCGCGCCCGCGGGGTCGGCGGCGGTCAAGCTGCGCCCCGCCCCGACAACGCCGCCGCTGCGCCCCCCGAGCGCATCGATGGCCAGCCCGACGTGGACGACCGCCTTCAAGCAGCACGAGAACGTCGACATGGACAGCATGTTCAGTTGGGCCATCCCCGCCCTGGACGCCGACGACGGCGAGCAGGTGCACATGATGGAGTGCCCTGACGACTTCAACGAGCCCTACGATTGCCACTACGTCGTGTTCGTCAAGGGGGTGCCGCCGTCGCTCGCCGTGTACCGCTCGCTCATCATAGAGGGCGAGGCGCGCGGCGATCCCGAGCAGGCGGTGGAGGTGAGGCAGCCCTCAGTGCCTGGAGATCTGTGCACCGCGGAGTTCCTGGACGGGACACAGAGCGAGGTGCCAGGTTTGGTGTGGAAGGGCGACGGCGCGGAGTGCAGGCCCAAGCCGAAGGCCAAGTCCAACGCCAAGGCAGCTGCCAAGGCAGCTGCCAAGGCAGCCGCAGCTGCTGGGGCCGCCGCTTCCACTCAGAAGCGGCGGAAGTCGAAGGGCAGCGCAGTCGACGACGACGACTCGGACAATACTGACGAGGTGGACGATGAGGACGGGTCCGACAACTTCTTCGGCGACGAAGGAGAGGATGGCGAGGAAGAAGAAGAACGCGAGGAGAGCGAGGCAGAGGACGAAGAGGATGAGGAGCCCGAGGAGGAGGAGGAGGAGGAGGAGGAGGCAGCGGCAGCTGGCTGCGACACCGCCGAGGCGGAGGACGCACGGGAAAACAAGACACCCCCCTGACCTTCCAGGAGGGCTAAACAATAACACGCGACTTAAAACCGACCCCAGAGCTGTTCTGTGTCTTGATGTTGGGCTGTGTTAGGCCTCTCGTGCTAAAACATAGCTCTCTGGAAGGCCAGGGCCGCGCCCCTCACCCCCTTTGCGATCTCCACCCGCCCACGGCCCACCCTAGCCATCGCTTCCTCCCCTCGCCCCGTCGGCGTCGGATGAATTGGCCCCTGGACGCCGGCATCTACTACGTCAGCCCCTGTCCTCAGAAAAGTAATG